CGACCGGGTCATAGGAACGGAACCCGGTCGGTAAGTGAGGAGTGAAGAAAATAGAGGATAGTGGGTAGGCGCTTCACAAAAATGGAAGTATAATAAATATAACAAAGTGGTTGATACAACAGTGTTTCCCAGACACTAGATAAGAGATAATATAAAAAGAAATATATATCAAAACCACATAAAAAAGAATAAGCCCAAAATGAAGTGAAGTGGTAGAAAACAACCATAAAATACAACCTGGACGTTGAAGTATGGCAAAGTGTTATCTACAAAATATAAATACATAACATAACATAGTGTATACTGTATATTACTAATATATATTAAAAAAAATGGAAGGTGGACAACCACTCACATTTACCAGAGCCGTACCAGGCTCTGTGTAGCAGGCTCAAAGGTGCCAATTCAGGCTGACAGGATTCCAGATAACGAATGGAGAAATTCCATAGTAAAAAAGGTATATATTTATTAAAAAATAATAATAAGCAAACTCCTGGTTATAGGGGGGTGGAACCCAATAACAGATGATATATAAAAAAAGGTATCCACTTACCCAAACTGAAATAACCAATGGAGTAATATAAGAAGATTAAAAATTACAATACAAATGATAAATAGCAGCAGTAAAATGAAATCCTTGTGAAATCATATATATATCTTTATATATATCTTTAATATATTATAAAATGCTTTAATTATAAATATACATATATAGTAAATAAAAGTGTGTGTGTGTGTGCATACACACATACGTTTTATATATAATATAAACTGAATAACATTTTTTTTATAAATAAACAAACATGCTAACTTTGGCCAGCGTTTCTGACTAAGTGGCTACTACAAAAGACTGGACATACCCCATTTTGAATACCCTGGGTTGTCTACATTTGAAAATGGTATGCCATGATGGGGTTATTTTACATTCCTGGGCTTCCATATGGTCTCAAAAGGCAACACAGACCCAGCAAACCAATCTGGCAATCTGAATTGGGCAAGCCCTATATTGACCTTGTAACTTTAAAAAAAAAAAACATAAAACCTGTACATGGGGGGTATTGTTATACTCAGGAGACTTTGCTGAACACATCTGTGTTTAAAACAGTAAAACTTATCACGACGATGAAATCACCAGTAAAAGTGCAGTTTTTGTGTCAGAAAAAAAATGCAAAAAAACAAATATGAATGGTAACTTTGGCCAGCGTTTGTGGCTAAGGTGCTACTACAAAAGACTGGTCAGACCCCATTTAGAATACTATGGGTTGTCTTCTTTTACAAATGCTATACCATGATGGGATTAATTTTAATTTCTGGGCTGCTACAGTCTCAAAGGCAACATAGGCCCAGCATAAAACCATAAAACCTGTACATTGGGGGCACTGTTGTACTCGGGAGATGTTACTGAACACATATTGGGGTGTGCTTTGTCAGTAACACATAACAGGAACTGAGAATTCATGCCGAAAGTACAATGTAAGCGAAAACCCCCACAAAAAAAAATGAATACCCAAAAGTTTGAAAAAGACTGGTGGTAGAATTAGTGCATGGAAAGTGTTAAAATACCACCATCTGAAAAAACCTAGGGTGTCTACTTTTCAAAAATATACGATTTGATGGGGGTAGGTTACACTGGCCAGCTTAAAAAAATGTCCCAAATAGGACATGGGTGCATGATGACCAGCTGTGAAAATTCCTGTAAATAAGAGGGCCCACTTTAAATAGTATTTGAATAGAGGGAGAGGAGGGTGGGCCAAACGAGCATCTGGACCAGACGGTAATGAGGTAGGAGGGGGAGTCCCTTTTAAGGGGATATAGCCCCTCCCACAACTTCAGGGCCCGCCTTCCAATTTGTATTCGGGGCCATCTCAGTATAGTATGAAATAGCTAGTGAATATACTTATTATAATAATTAAAAGTCGGTAGAGGTGTGCCGAAACCAACGTGTGTGGTTGGCCTGTAAATAAGAGGGCAAAAAGGAATACCCATATAGAGTTATCAAAGATATTTATTTACGAAACCACAAGACATTAAGTTAGCATATTTACGATGACATTTTCAAAAACGCATGCCTTAATTCTTGTGTTGGCTGTGGTATGTAAACGGCGTAATCCGTCGAGTTCCAGTGGCCTAAGGTTTTAATGATGTGAACCGGGATGTCTAGGCCCGAGGCCGTGGAAGCTGCCCCTATCCGGAATGAATGCCCAGAATAGTTTGCGGCGTTTAAGCCGAGTCTGGTCTACAGCAAGCGAATATACATCACAAACTTGGCGGTAGTGAGTGCTGTACCGTGCAGTGAAAGGAGAGGGAATGAGGCTTGTGAAGATGAAGACTGTAAATATTTGTTAAAAACTTCCACCGGGCACCATGCATTGTTGGTGGGGTAGTATTGAATAAGAATCTCGTGACCCATCTGGCTGGTCTTAGTCGATGGTAAGCTTAATATGTAGTGGTCCTGTTTCCTGTACAGGTTAGAATACCGGAGGCTATGCTTGGACTCGTGTTGCCTATTAATGGTAAATTCTCTGGGTCATAAGAAACCATAAAAAGCCAAGTATATGGCAGTTTTAAGAGTGGTGTTAGTAAGGGGTTCGAATGGTATGGTAAAGTTTGACAAATGTTTAAACAGTTGTATGTCTATAGGCCACCTACGTTGCAGTGTAGGTCCCTGCGATTTGAGCATACCCCTAAGGAGGTTTTTAATGGGTAGGAGGTGAGAAACCCTTGGTTGTTAGGATGTTCTGTGAACATATGATGTTGGATACCCGTGAGGTATAGTTTAGTGGTATTATGCGACATTTTTAATTTGATGTGGCAGAATGAGGCAAAAGCCACCAAAGTTACATTGTCAAACCAATTAGTGAGATGGTGGTCTGCCATGAATTTCTTGTATAGGTAGTAAGCTCTGTCGTATGCACTATGTGTGTTTTTAGCGAGAGCGAGTTTTATAAGTATCTTGCTTTGTTGTAATAATTCCTCTAGTCCATGATTAGATCCTGGAGTTGGGGGGCAATCGTGGCTACCGGTGACGCTGTTGGTAGAGACACCCTGAACGCCTGAAACTGAAAGCGGGACAGCTGGTCAGCGGCTGTATTATAGATACCTGGTACATGGTAGCATATTAGATGAAACTGATGACAGGCCACCAACCACGTAAGACGTCTGATAAAACTCATGATGGTTAGAGACGTAGACCGGCCTTTGTTTATGACGTGGCAAATCGCCAAGTTGTCAGAAAAATATCGAACCGGTCTACCTGCCCAAGACTGTCCCCATGTGACTGCTGCCGCTACTATGGGGTACACTTCAAAGAGTGCAGAATTCCTAGAAAAGCCTTCTATTTGCTTAACTTCTTCCAGCCATCTACTCCATAGCCTATTGTGTCCAAAAATGTTTGACAAATGTTTAAAAAAAAACCTGTGAAGGCTGCTGCGTCAGTCCAAATGGTAGGGGAATCCTCTGTGACTTGGGGGAGGAACATGCTCCTGCCATTCCAGTTTGCCAGGAACACATGTGTAAGTCTACTGTGGCTTGCATATCAAGAGTGGTATGTTTGTGTTCGTCAGTTAGTGTCGGAAGAAGGCACAGGAGTCTGGAAATGAATGCTCTTCCTTGGGGTATAATACGGATGGCAAAATTTAGCGAGCCAATCAGCGACTGAAGCTCTTTCCTATTGCATGAGCCTATGCGCAAGTACTGCTGAATGGTCTGAGTGATGTTGTCAATCTTATCTCTAGGGAGGCTGGCTTCCATATTTATGGAGTCCAGTTGTATCCCTAAAAACTGAATGATCGTATCTGGACCTTCCGTCTTGGTAGGAGATACTGGAACCCCAATGGTGTTAAATAAGTGTATGGCTTTGTGTAAACTGTTAGGGGGGGTAGCGTTATTTTCTATGAAAAGTCATCTAAGTAATGAATGATGCTATGGCACCTGCTGGTATTCAGGAGCAGCCAGCACAAGGTCTCTGCGAAAGTGTCAATGATGTGGAATCAATCAATTAATTGATTATCTTGTGTATCTGCCCCCGGACAAATTAAAGAAGTAGTGCGTGTACACTCCTAAAGTAATTCACACCAGACACAGGTTTCAGGTTAATGAAAAACTTGAGGAATGTTTATTCTGAGGGGATGGCATGCCCCTTATAAAGCAAAATGACCTCATATGCTTTGTCAGAGATAACATGAAATAATACATCAATAATTAGTTAGGTGTTAAGTGGTTCATTTATTGCTCTTCCTACCGGGTGTGATGTCACTGGTATCTTGGAGGTCTCCCCCAGATTCCAGTGCCATCTTGTTAGTGAGGGTGTTAGTCGATGTCGAAGGGGAAACTCCCTAGGGCCCATTTTAGGTAAATCACATATAAAGTTGAATAATGCTGATTGTAGGTGTGCTGAGTAAATAGGCATTTTACTAACATAAATTGAGCTAATATTTTTGTCCACAACAGTCCCCCCATAAAATTACTATTTACTAAAGAGTCAACAACTAACTGACCCTAATAATGTCCCTACTTGGCTGCAGCTCATCTGTCTGAACAGGCCTCGAACGCTTCACTGCGCGGGTATCCCGTAGTGGCTAACCCACTACATCTCCCACGTCAGACTTCTACCTGTGGAGACAGACGTTGTCCCTATAAGGAAGTAGTTGTTTCTTTGAGGTGGTGGGACTGAAGAGGTGTGTGCGGTGTGTCACAGTCTATTTCGTCAATATCCTGATGTAGGAATGTAGCTGTGGTGCGGTCAATGGTCTGACCTACAGTCTTCTGTAAGTATTTCTGCACACAGGGCATCACGCAACAAACCCAGGAAGAGAAAGAGAATTACCACAGTAAGAACTGCCATACCTACTTGAAGGAGAGTTTTCTGCCATCCACTTATCCAACCAAACCATCTGTTCCATGAATTGGGGACACCCGAGTTCATTGTTAATTCATCAGAGAGACTTTCTAATTTCTCTATGGCCTAAGTAACCTTACCATTGGGGCCTGTATTGTCTGGGATGAAGGTACAGCATGTCATAGTATCGGGAAGTATTTAACACACGCCCCCCTTCTCTACTAGTATCATGTCTAAGGCCATTCGATTCTGAAATGTCATTTGGGAGGTAGTCTGTAACTGTTCTGCCAAGCCCTAGAGGGCATCTCTCGTGTAATTGACAAAGCGTTGCGGATTATAGTAAATATAATTGATCCAATTAACATTTTTGTTAGCGGTGATGATTGGGATCAAGGATTCTAATCCTGCTGCAACCTCATCTCTGGCCTTGAACTCGTTTGGTACCCTCCTTGGTACACCTATGGCATCGATATATATATGTGGGTCGAAATTACCTCGAACAGGTGTTTCTCTTTTTACCCTAAAATACGTGTGGTGAATCAAGTGGGCCTTGGTGGTTATCAGAAATTATATGTATGGGCATGATAGCTTTGGGCAGAGTGCATTCTCCCCACCACAGGCCAGTAATTTTAGATCTGAGCTGCATGTCACCGCATAGCCAATAAATGTCTCCCACGGACTTAACATGATTTACTAATAGGGCGGTGGGAGGTTCTCTATAGGTAGTACAGTAGCCAGAAGGGAATTTACCCACAAATTTTCCTGTGGCTCCATGTAAAGTGTAGTTACCTGGGTACATGCAAGTGTAGTTACCTGGGGTACACGGTGATCCCATCAGGTGGCTTGATATTCCCTTGGGTTATTGGGTATAACTTTTTTTTCCATGATTCACACACCGATGAATTTGTTGGTGACTGCACATAGAGACTTAGAAAACAGATTTCAACATCTGAAGGTAGACTGAAGGGCACAGTACCCATATGGGGTCTGGCCCCTCCACAAACATAAGTTAGTTTTATTGTGTGAATTAGCATTATACCTCATCCACTCAAGCCATAGATTAGTATCTGAAAACCCAGTCTCCACAGCCATAGTAACTTCAAATGTGGGATTAGCAATAGCTACCATGTCTTTAAGGGTTTTAATGTGTGGTTTTAGAGGGTAAATGGTCATGTGTGTAGAGTCTACCCAGTCAGGTGACGCAAGCATGTCTTGTAAATAGAAGGTCCCCAACTTGTTATATGAGCCATCCCCTTTCCAATACATTCCGATTACGTACTCTCCAGCGTCCCCTGGGCTGGGATGTTCTATGTTTAAGGTGAGTTTCATTGGGGTAGACCCTGTTGGCTTTCATAAGGTCATTCTGTGTAACAAGGGTTTCCCATATCTGTGAATCCTATCTAAGGCACGTTGTGGTCTGTAGCCCCATGGTCGGCCTGTGTTCCAACCTGCTGCTTTCCAGGTACCACAGTGGTGTCTTCAATGGCCACCTGTCACACAAATGTAGGGGTCCTTCTTGTTCGGTATGTCTTTGTATATTGCTGAGTGTTGTGACTGTGGAAAGGTACAAGAAACAATATCACAGTAATCAAAGGTAAAAGTAGCTACATGCGTGTTTGAAGAGTTATACCAGAATGTGTAAACATGATTATCATTGCTAATAGCAACTTGTTGGGCCATTAATAGGCCTAGCAGCAAAAATAGGCACAGGAAGCTCATGGTTTGGCAGAATCTGCTTCCTCTGGATCAGGAACTTTCTTACAGTGCGAGGGGTGTATCCAGGTACTCTTCCCGGCCAACTTTACAGAGGTGGACGTAGTCAGTAGCACTTGGACTGGACCATCAAACCTTAACTCAAGGGTATGTTTTCTGAGAAACTTCTTGACCATGACCCAGTAACCAGGAAGTAGCTTATGTGTGCCTGTATTTGACTCTGGATCTGGAATAGAAGAAAACACTTGTGCATGGATTTTGGTCCAAGCATGAGAGAGTGCAGTTATATAATCTACCATTGCATCTGACTGAATTTGGAGTTGTTGAGGAAAGTAACAGCCGAACCTGGGTGCTGTACCAAATAAAATCTCGTAGGGGGATTAACTAAATCTCCCTCTTGGAGTGTACCTTACACTAAATAGTGCTATGGGAAGACTTTCCGGCCAGGGTAGGTTAGTTTCTTGGGCCATCTTAAGCATTCTGGCTTTCAGAGTGCCATTCATGCGTTCTACCTTATCACTACTCTGTGGGTGATAGGGTGTGTGGAATACAAGGGTCACCCCCAGTGCTGCCCAGATTTCTTTGGTTAGTAAGGCGGTGAAGGATGTTCCCTGGTCACTTTCGATCACCTCAGGAACTCCGTATCTGCAGATGATTTCGGTAAGTAGGTGCTTTGCCGTGGTCTTGGCAGTGAGATCGGCGACTGGAAAGGCTTCTGGCCATCCTGAAAACATATCCACTATGACCAGTGCATATTCATACCGGCCACTCTTTGGCATTTGGATATGATCAATTTGGATCCTTTGGAAAGGGTACTGCGGCTTGCCCAAATGGTTTGGTGCGGCTTTAATTATTTTCCCGGGGTTACATCTGGCGCAGATAGTACAGGATCTGCAGTAATTTCTTGTCAAAGTGGTGATCCCGGGAGCTTCAAAATATTTATCAAAGAGTTCATGAGATGTTTAGATAAATGAGCTGGTCCATGGGCCCACTGGACGACAGCTGGGTACATATTCTTGGGTAGACAGAATTGTGTATACTTCATTCTGGAGGTTTGCCCCTTTATCTTTCCAGCTTTGTTTTTCTTGAGGGGTGGCTGCGGCATGTTGTTCTCTTAGGAGCTTGAGATCGGTGGGTAAGGTCTGCATAGTGTAAATAGGAGTCTTTTCAACGGGCACTCTTCTGTCCACTTCTCAACACTTTCGCGCTGCATCCTTAGCGGCCTGGTCGGCTAAGTGGTTGCCATGTGCTTCTTCTGAATTTAGTCTCCCGTGGGCCTTTACTTTCAGTATGGCCACCTCTTCAGGAAGCAATAAAGCGTCCATCAATTCTTTGATAGCTGCACCATGTTTCACAGGGGTACCTGTTGCTGTAAGGAAACCCCTGGTTTTCCAGATTAAGCCGAAATCATGTGCCACACCCAGAGCATACCTTGAGTCTGTGTAAATATTAACACGCTTCCCTTCAGACATCTTGCATGCTACCATGATGGCTATTAGTTCGGCTTCTTGTGCTGACTTAGACGATGGAAGAGCAGATGCTTGGAGTATTTGGTCTTCTGTGGTGACTGCATATCTGGTATGATATTGTCCCTGTTCATCTCCAAATCTAGAACCATCCATAAACAGTGTGTAGTCAGGGTTGGATAGAGCAGCCTCGTGCACTGTTGGGAGATGGGTTGTTTCCATTTTCATCTGTTCAAAGCAATCATGAGGGGCATCCGGGTCTTGTTCTGTAGGAGGGATGTCTTCACTTATCTCTGTATGATACCGAGGTTAACCAACTGTGTTGCAGTTTATGGTTCTTTTGGTGACCCCCGTTAATGTGAGCTGTTCTAGGGTTGCAGTACTCCATGTTTTGGCCATTGGGCCAAGTTCTTTCCATGAGAGATCTGGAGACTTGGTGAAGGAGATATGAGGAACAGCCACCTCCCAATGGTGATATAAATGAGAAACCTCCATAGGCAGGTAGACTAAGAGAACAATGTTTCCTTTGGAGTCACAAAATAGGTCTGTTAGTGTAATGCGTATTTCTACCAGGCTGAATAATAATTCTTCATAGTATGGGTCAGGACCTGGGGTGCTCTTGAACTACAGAGTGCAATGGAAGTAGCTCTTGGGCTGTTCATCACATGCAACTTTTTCACTTGAAGGTCCATGTGAACATCAGGATTTATGTCCACACTGTACCAGTATTGTGGTACTCCCCCCTTGGGAAGTGGCAGAAGAGTGGTCGGGTTCAAAGAGTAACATCTTTGTAGATTAACGTTATCAGGCAAGAGGAGGGAGGTTTGGAGGCGGAGGTGTCTTTGGGAGGAGAGGTGTTTTGGTTGGACTTGATTCAGGATGGCCGTGATATCATGGGGAGCAAGGACAGTGAGTTTATGTCCGAGAACAAAGTCATTAGTTTTGTCCAGCAGGGCACTGACAGCAAAAACAGCACGCAAAGAGGAGGGACCACCCCTAGCCCCAGGGTCTAGCATGCATGAGAAGTTACTAATAGGGCGTTGACGGGAACCATATGATTGAGTAAGGACCCCTGAAGCATGGCCCATCTTTTCTGAAACAAACAGCTTGAATGGTTGTTGATAGTCTAGTAGGCCCAAGGCAGGGGCAGAGGAGATGGCTTTTTGAAGGGCATGGTTAAGGTGTGTTAAGGGCACTTGTTAAGGTGCGAGCTGTAGGAGACAATGAAAAGGGTTCAGTCTTCAAGGCATCATAGAGAGGATGCATGAGCTGAGAAGCCTCAGGGATCCAGGACCTGCAGTATGTGATGAGGCCCAAGAAGGCATGAAGAACCTGAAGGGTAAGGCAAGTACTCTGGTCTTCGTTAGATGACGGGTGTCATGGGAAAGGCAATGTCCCAAGAAGACCACAGAGGGCCAGCACCACTGGAGCTTCGTTCTGGAAGCTTTACATCCTTCTTCAGCGAGGAAACAAAGGAGATCTTCGGAATTTTGTTCAGCAGTTGAAAAATCATCCGCACTTAGGAGTAGATCATCCACATACTGGAGCAGGACCACGTCAGGGTGAGACTTCTACCAAGATTCTAGGACAGCTGACATAGCCTTTGCGAATTGGGTTGGGGAATTCTGTGCACCTTTAGGCATAACAGTAAAAGTATACTGTTGATGATCGTGTGTGAAGGCAAACAGATATTGACAAGAGGGATCCAAGGGCACGCTGAAAAGGGCGTTGGCAAGATCAACCACAGTGAAGAATTTTGCTGTGGGAGGGACTTGTGATAACAGTGTATGTGGATTTGGGACAACAGCAGTGTCTCGGTTGTTGACAACATTAACAGCGCGGAGGTCTTGAACCATACGGTATTGGTCAGGTTGGCCTTTTTCAGTCTTCTTTTTTACTGGAAATAGAGGGGTGTTGCACGGTGAAACACACTTGACCAGAGCACCTTTTGCCAATAGACTTTCAACTTGCTTTGAGATGGCGAGTGCAGGTTTCAATGGGTATTGTGGTCGTGGTGGTAGATTAGCTCCCTTTATTAGCGTAACTACCACAGGTAGGACTTGTAGGCGTCCAATGTCATCAGGACCCATGGACCAAAGTTTAGCAGGGACTCTATCCAGGCCACTGGGGGCGTCTGGGACCCTTACCTCCTCGGTGGGGGATGTCATGTGTAGTAGTAAGGGCAGAGAGCAGAGGACAGAAGTATCTTTACGAGAAAGGGGGGTTAATAATTGGACCTGGCCATCAGCAGTGAAAGAGATAGAGGCTTGAAGACGGGACAGAACATCAGCACCTAGAAGGTTAATTGGACAAGTGGAAGAGACAACAAAGGCTGAGAGTATGTCAGAACCCACCCGCAAGAGTTTAGTTAATGGGTTGTTTCTAGGGGTGCCATCGACACCAACGCAAGAGACATCTGTGTCGGATAAGCAAGATGGGTCAGGTAGGTCTTGTTCTCTGAGAACACTGCGGGCTGCACCTGTGTCAACTAAAAAGGTAGTAGGATGACCCTCTACGGGTAGGACTACTGTAGCGAGAGGCCCCCCTTTGTCCCCTGTAGACACTGCCACACAGGTTTGCTGGTTACCTATTGCACAAGGTCTAGATGAGATTGATCAGGGCCAGTGTAGGGACATGTGGTTGTGGTGGAGTGACTGGCCTGATGAGGCTGGCGTATAGGGCACTGTTGACTGGGTACAGGACGGTCATCTGGTTGGTAATCATCTGTGTCATAACTATCAGGGGAAGAGTGAGCATAGCTGCGGGTATCAGCTGGAGAGGGTTGGTATATGGCTTGGGCATATTCCTGAGGAGGGAAATACGAAGTATGTGCCTGGGGAGGGGAGGGGAGGGGAGGGGAGAGTACCTGTGGAGGAAAAAAAACATATGTGGCTGCAGGGGCATTGGGGTACATAGGATAGCCAAACACAGGATTAGACGGTCTAGTGGTCGGCTGTCTAGGCACTCTGGGGTAAGGACAATCTCTCCTGAAATGGCCCAGTTGGTTACAATTAAAGCATGCCCTAGTTTGAGGCCTAGGGGCGGGTATCATCTGCTGTCCTTGTGTAGCTGGCATGGTGGATGACACGGGATATCCTGGGGGGACCGGAGTGGGTCTGATGGCAGGGCTATAAGCGGAAAACATAAGGGAAAAATAGAAACTGTATACAGGCGCTAAAATTATATATATATATATATATATAGAAGATATCTAATGTAGATTACTTTTTATGAAAAAAGCTGCTGTAACACCTAGTTGTAATCTTTCTTACTTACACCAACTAATATATAACACAAATACAAAAAAAAAGGTGTAGTGCTACATACATATGCTCAGTTCTGTGGAACAGAAGGGGTGATGGGGAGAGGGGAGGGAGGAATAGAGGAAAAAGTAAGGGAAGAGGGAGATACGGCGGAGGGAGAGGCAACGAGGGGAACAACGGGTGAAAGCGGGAGGGGAACAGGAGTAGAAGGAATGTCAGGGAGAGGAATGAAGGGGGTGACAGGGGATGCAGCAGGTGGAGATGGGAAGGGTGCAGGAATAGGAGGAATGATAGAAGGAGATGGGAGAGGGGTGACATCAGAAGAAGTGACGGGGGAGATAGTGGAGGGATGGGATTGGCAGTGACAAGGGAAGGTGGAATAGAGACCAGAGGGAAATGGGAGAGGGGCAGAGGTAATGGGAATGGCGGCATGAGGCGGGAGAGGGACGGGATAATATGATCCATCCGCCCCAAGGACGGGGTACAGAGGGGTTGGGACAGAGGAGCCTACGCCAACTGGAGGTGGCGACTGGTTTGTGATGGGGGAGGCGGGGCGAGATTCATTCACAGCGCTCTGGGCGCCATCATAGGGCGGTGGTCTGGGAACAGCGGGAGATGAATCCTCATTGCAAACATTTCTGTGATATACATAAATAGTTTGTCCTTCAAAATCTAGTTCTTCCTCTGACCAACCCTCCCGCTTGAGACCCCTTGCTACCTGATACCAAGCCTTTCTACGGCTTTCGTTAACCCGTTATCCAGTAACAAACCCTCTTTATCAACAAGTAATTTCCTCCAAAACTATGGTTGTAATCTACCACTGGGTGACATTTGAAAACCACAAATCTTTGCTATCTTCGTCATTTTTAACATAGCTTCTTCCCCTGCTCTCTCCTTAACAATATCACAAGCTAAATAGCCTTTAGAAGGTCTGGCATGTTCTTGTCCCATTTTTACCAAACAAGGCTTCCCACGTATGAGAGACAGAGAGAGAGAGAGAAGAAATAGAAGGAATGTCTACAGTGCTTGACTGGCACGAGGAATTGATCCTCGTGCGTCTACCCAAAACGCAGACTAGTCACGGGATCCGCCCACCCGAGATGGTGGCCACGGATCTGAGTTGGCGAGCCTGGGTGACTAACACAGCTCTGGGCAGCAAGTACAGAAGAGGTATAGGGAAAAGGTGAATGTGGAGAGACTAATCAGAAGACATTTACATAAGTCACAAATGTAGAGATGTGCACATAATCCGGAATCAAGGATGAGCCACACAACACACACACACACACACACACACAACTAGGGTACCCACACTATGGCTATAACTCAGTAGAAACCAAAAAATAATAAAGAACAGTATAACAATGAGCATAGTAACGACTAAACAGCAAATAAAACCCTGTTCTACTCTGAACAGTACAGAAAAATTTCCAGCCCTTCTCTAGGCGGATCCCAGCCCTTTACCGGGCAGACACTATTCCCAGCCTTTCTCTAGGCGGTTCCCAGCCCTTTACCGGGCGGATGCGTTCCCTGCCCGCTAGGCAGTCAAGCTATAATAATAAAAATAGTAATAAACCATACACCAGCTGTCTCACACGCATACATACACTCAGGAGGCAGATAAACAATCGACAGGTTCGTTTTAAAAGGCACCGGATAAGAGATTACCCGTCTTGTAGCCTTCTGGAAGCCGGAAGTGGATACAGAGACAGACCAACACAAAACAGGAGAATACAGGCAAACCACTGTATTTAGAAGATCAGGCTCAGATTGTACCACTTTACGGAGGTCCGCTCCGGTCCCGTTTTCCCGCCGTCCGAACCGGTGAAATCCGGTGCCCCATGTTGGGCGCAAAATGATGTGGAATCAATTAATTGATTATCTTGTGTATCTGCCCGCGGCCAAATTAAAGTAGTGTGTGCACGCTCCTAAAGTAATTCACACCAGACACAGGTTTTGTGTTAATGAAAAACTTGAGGAATGTTTATTCTGAGGAGATGGCATGCCCCTTATAAAGCAAAATTACATCATATGCTTTGTCAGAGATAACATGAAATAATACATCAATAATTGGTTAGGTGTTAAGTGGTTCATTTATTGCTCTTCCTACCGGGTGTGAGGTCACTGGTATCTTGGAGGTCTCTCCCAGATTCCAGCGCCATCTTGTTAGTGAGGGTGTTAGTCGATGTCGAAGGGGAAACTCCCTAGCGGCCATTTTAGGTAAATCACATATAAAGTTGAATAATGCTGATTGTAGGTGTGCTGAGTAAATAGGCACTTTACTAACATAAATTGAGTTAATATTTTTGTCCACAACAGTCAAATATTTTAGGACTGCTCTTGGATGCGAAGGTGAGCCTTGTGAAGAAGTAATACTGGCCTCTCCATTTGATACCATGCAAATGCCACAGCGACGGGTGTATGGGGAGTAGTTTAAAGGCATTAACTATGTCGGTTTTGCTCAACTATGCGCCTATGCCTGCTGAGATGATGGTGGATATGGCGTTGTCTATGGTGGAGTATTGTAAAGAGAATGCCTCTGACGGGATCAGGGAATTGAGGCTGGGTATCACCGAAGCATGTGGTGCGGACAGGTCTATAATGAGTCTTTGTTTGTTAGATGTTTTCCCAGTGACTAGTCCAATGGCATTTGTTCTCCAATTAGAGAACGGCAGATCAATAAATGGACCTAAGACAAATCCCTGGTCTTGTTCTATTTGTAGTAGGTAGTCTACTGCGTCTGTGTCACAAAAGCGGATTGGAGGTTGGCTTCCCATGTACCCCCTGGTATGTAAATGAGGCCAGTATGAAACCCTTGGGAAAACCCTGCAATCAAATACTCCACAAGATGTGTAGAATGGTACTTGGAGAGAAGCCCTGCCAGAACATCAACATTCACAGTAGTTAGGTAGGGTTTAACGTGCATTTTATTAGGGCACACAGCCTTTGCGTGTGCCCTGAAACAATAGGAGCAGATATGTAACAGATGGCAAGCACTATAGGAGCAAGCCCCAACATTAAAATTATTACATATCTGGGACTTGCCCAAATACACGTTAGGGCGACCCAGTTTGTCTCTGCCCTGTTTCTTCCCCCTGGAAGTGCTTGGTGTGGCCTTGTTTGGGGTATCATCTGTTGAGACAGGACAGAGATTTGCGGCATGCCTGGTAGCCGCACATATTGCACAAGATGGAGACCTTAGCCCGGCAAAGTGCCTGAGGAACAGCTCCGTATCCATTAGGCTCCAATCCATTCTTGCATTACACTGGGCAAGAGCTGTTGCCGCTTTAGTTGAAAAAGAACGGTGGTAGTCGTAAAATGATGACCCACCTTATTTATTGCCCAGGTCTACCAGCTTGTGCATGTATAGGTCTAATTTTTCCCTTCTCTGTGGGTAAACTGAGCACCATACGTCCCTGTAAATGCCGAATGCAATAACGAAATCTGGGATTGCTAGTTTTTTTGCTCAGTCTAGGATCTCTGGCCTAGAGGACCGCAGAAATATCGCCATACGTATATATCCCGGTTTTCAGTGCTATCCTGGGAGGCAATAAGCAGAGATACTAAATCAACATCCTTGCCCTCCAGGATATCCTTTTTAAGGTTTGCTGGTACCATATGGGCTGGGTTGATCACTTGCAACCCAAGGATGTTGGGGGTATTATGATTACCGGGTTGGGCTTGTGATGGCCCTGGGATATGGGTAGTGGGTGGCTCTGGTGTCACAACTGGACCGCTACGAGCTTCCAGTCTTTCCAGTCTCTCATTGATCTGCCCCATGGAAGACACTAGAGAGGCGACCATGGTGTGCAGATTAGCATTGCTTGAATTACTAGTGCCTTCCCTGGCGTCAGAATTGTCCGGATTGACTTGCATAAGCCTGTACAATTCTGCCTTGCAATTCTTGCTGGATAAGGAATACTACGTTTGCATAGTTCGGCCGTGATCCGTGGGATGGTCCATGATCTAATAGATGACGGGCTGCCGATGTCCCCTTTCCGTGTGGAGGTGCAGTCTTGGTTGGTGTACTAGGCATTGACAATTCATCTCCTTCAATATAAATTTGGGACATGCTGGAATATATATACGTATGGAATCATGAGTTTCATTATAGAGGATGTAAAACGTTGTTTAACTAGTGCTGAAAGAATTCATTATACTTGTGGCAGGTGAGTCCCTATTAAATGCCAAGTGGCTAGTAGGATTTAACTATGGTTGGCACGTGGGGTTGATCTGCTGAATGTGGTTTACAAGTGGCGAGTTTATCGTTTAATTGAGGGTTATGACGGATGATGCCCTAGCTCTGCAACATGCGAGGTGTCTAGCTATGATTTGGCTTGTGGGGGTTTAATACCTCTTTCATAGAGGATGGGTGTTGGCCTCGCGGGACCTTTAACCATATGGCAGAAGGTGCCTGGGTGGAGAATTACTTAAGTGGGCATGTTTAGTGTTTCTTATACTGGTTGCCGCAACTGAGATAACTTACCTGAATGACCAATGTCTGCCTGTTGTCCGGTAGTAGTTTGATTACTGTTCGGGAGGATGGCCTAAACCCGGTGCTGGGTATGGAAGACATAAGGTACCTATAAATGTGTACTGATATCTTTTAGCTAAAGCCCCCCCCCACCCCCTTTTTTGTGGTGTATGCCCTATGACCACCTACCTATGGTTGTGTGGTTGTGGTTATGGTTATGTACAAGTAGGTTCTGAAGGCCAAGTCGGTCTTATTTTGGTTCTTGAGTCTGTAACACATGTTAAAACCGTTATAGCAGTGCCACCAATGTCTGTTTGGCACAAAGTGTACCTGGCGTATAACTGTGTGCATATGCACGGAGTGTGATATGTCTGGTTAACGGAATGTACGTCTTACATATATTGTACGTACCAAGGAAACAATACAATAATTTGTCTTTGTCTCGGTCTCTGACCCTGCCAGGAGAATCTAGAGATCAAAATGACAAATATCACACTTACATATGTCGCTTCTTACAGAATAGAGTGTGATATTTGCTGTACGTACCAGTATACCAGGTCACCAAATAAAGGGAAGATATTTCTGAGACTGCAATTTGTCTAAATTCACACAAGTAATTCTGAAGATTTAAATGAAACCGTGGTGTGAGTATATGGTATATATTCTCGAGCCACATAGATCCACATATCATCAGGTAGAATAGTCACGTAATTACAGCATAATTTAGCACCCGAGAGCAGCTCATACATGACTTAAATGCCTAAGCAGTTGTTTCCACCTATACACTTAACCAGCTATGCATAAATTAAATGAATAATTTTATTATTCCTAAAGAAATTTATATTTATATAACCATTTAAATTATGACCGTTTTGTTAAAACATTTAGACCAGGTATCATTAATATTTATAGGGCGACCTCTAGTGGTTAAAGCCTGCATTGCCATCAGCATTGCTGTAATTCTGTGCTTTCTGGCTTGGCTGACCGGAGGCTGGGAAGGGAGCTCTGCCCGAGTGAGTGAACCTCCGTCTGTAGGTAAGGAAGACTTGTAAAAACAGCATCTATGAGGAGATAAAATGTGTCTTTTGAGCCTTTATTTCCCCTGTGCATATATTCCCATGTGAGCGGTCTTGTGTGCCGGTGCGGGTTTGGAAGCTGGCTGATACAGTAACAAATTTTATTAAGGAGCTGGCCAAATAAGTAATTTTTAATGAAGTAATTGGCACCAATAGTGCCAATACCATAGCCGTGGACCTCGGCAGATCGGGCTACGTGTAGGCTGCAGACCGGTACAATGATACCGGTCTGCCAACTCACCGTTTAGTCGGGAAAACCTGTGGAACAAGAACCTGAAAGCTTTGAAACCACGCCGGCGAACCTGCAATCTGGACCAGACGGTAATGAGGTAGGAGGAGGGAGTCCCTTTTAAGGGGATATAGCCGCTCCCACTTGTAATGGCTCTAAGAAATTGCTGTTTTCAGTTTTCCCTATTGGGTTTCATTCCCCTCTTAATTGTCCCTTGTAGAGGCTTGTTCCCTATCTTCACGGTGTTATTACGCTCTCCATTTCATTTTAGTTCACCTGCCTGCTTCTACTCCGTTCCACTGGGCCGCCTGGACCCTTCCCGCTTGGCTGCACATGCATGTTCCATTAGGAGTGCCTCTGGCTGCCATTTTGTGATTCAGCTGTTTTGGCCGCATTAGTTTCTTTTGGACCCGTGTTTGGCAGGCTTGTGTTCCCATAGCACTGTTCGCGCTAGTATCACGTTTTGTTCCCAAACATACGCTACCAACTTTTTTTACCCATCCGCGGTGGCCATCTTTTTCGAGCGTTTTTTACCTGCTTTTTTTCTCTGGACCGCCTCCTCCTTCCCCCCCTATTGGAGTAGGTGTCCAGGATTAGTAAGTGGTCAGACGGCGCCCTGCGTCCCCCTCCTTTTATTATAAGTGAGTTTGTGAGTACTTTTTCTTAAAAGGTTATTCCTGTGGGTTACTTAACCTTGGGTTTCAACCTTTTATTCAGTTCACTATGCAATCTTCTAACAATTTGCCTGTGCCCTCTGGGTAACAAACTGATCCCCAAGTTCCTTGGGTTTCTGGGGATGAAGCCAATTTCCCAGCCTCTAAGAAAATTCAGGCACTTATGGACACTACTGTCTCTAAACCTACGTCAAAACCCCTAGCTTCTGCCATGGACATTATGTCCTCATATATATCAAAGACTTTTTACGCAGGCCTTAGTACAGGCTCAGTTGTGTCCTTTCAGCCTCTGCCAGCTGCGATACCTCCTACCTCTCATCCCCCAAGTCCCAGACACAAGGCCTCGGCTAAAACAAAGCACTCCTCCAAACCGGTTATGAAGGACAGTTTAAAACCTGTCAAAGATGGCAAGATTATAGAATCAACACGCAAGAGAGGCTCTAGCCAGGCAAAAATCGGAAATGGGCTAAAGCCGAAATGGATTTCTCCGAGTCAGAGCTGCAGAAGAGGATCTGATTCGGTCCATTTTGATATTTTATCCAACCCTGATTTGGATTATAGAGTTGAGGAGGCTAAAATCCTCTCATGATGTTATTGCCACTGGAACTTCTGGCTCTAAATTGTCTCAACCAGTATTATCCAAGGATGGTAAAATACTTGACCCGCAGGGTGAGCCTTTATTTGATCCTGATGACTTATGTCATCCACGCTCAGCCAAATGGTCACCAGCTGAGCATGTGGCACGCTACATCGTGGCCTGGGTCCGCAAGCCTCTTGCTAAGGTGACCCGAAATAAATTGCGGGCTGAATGCCCACACCCCACTGTACCAGACGATGTCTGTAATACTCCCCCAGTCGACCCCAAAATTGTTCAATTCTTGGGCAAGACAGGGTGGAAACCCAAAAAGGGTTTGGATTTTTCCCAGTACAATTGCCAGGATAAAGTTTTAGATATTTTGGGCCCAACAACCAAGATCTTTGAAGTTGTAGAAGAATCATTGGCTCAAGACGATGTACTAGATAGTGTCACAATTAGAGGCTTGATCCACAGGTTGATCTGCTTGATTGGTAATGTAAACACTGCGCTTGCCACACAGCCCGTAAGTCTATACTCTTAAAGATCTAACCAAAATTTGTAAATTTGGCAATTAGAGAGCCAGGCGCTCGTTTCCTGTTTGGCGAGTCTTTTGTTCAAGACCTGGGCTCCTATTTCCAAACATTTACAGCCTTAGACAAGGCACAGTCAAATATGAGGAGGGTGTTCCACCCAAAGGTTTTTGCTGGGGCCGGCGGAATAAAGGGCTGTCTGTCCGGCAGAGTCCACGTCCGAACCAAGGCGCCTACACGGGGAGAAGCCCCCTTTTTCACTCTGACCTTTTTCCCTCAACGAGACTGACCCTGGGTGTCAAGAGGCACAAAAGGCGCTCCTTCAGGACGAGGTCTTTATGGTAAGCTATTACAATCAATTTTCTTCCCTATGGGTAGTGGGGGGCAGCCACCCATTCCCCCGATGTCTGGGCTCTTATTACATCAGATGCTCAGGGCTGTCAAATGATATCTAATAGATTGTTTCTTACTCACTAGACATGACCCTTGGAGGAGATATGAGAATTGGCACACAAAAGGTGCCATCCAAGAAGTCTCAATGTAAATCCCAGGTTTCGTGAGCAATATGTTTCTAGTTTCCAAGAAAGGAGGCGGAGTCCGCCCCGTGATCAATTTGAAACAACTCAATGCTTATGTAACTTACCATCATTTCAAGATGGAGGGCATTCATTGCCCAAGAGATTTACTCCAACCATCAGATTGGATGGTCAAACTACACCTAAGGGATGCCTACATCATGTAACCATTGCAGACATTCATCACAATTTCATGCAATTCACGTGGCAAGGAAGTATATGGCGGTTTCGCTGCCTTCCCTTTGGTCTCTCTTAAACGCCTTGGTGCTTCACCAAGCTCATGAAGCCTGTTATCGCACTCCTATGCGGTCATGGGATCCATCTTATTTATTTAGACGATATCCTGCTGTTTATGCCAGTCGGTCCCACTACTGCATACTCCTCTCGGTCGGACCACGACCTTGCTGCAGAATCTGGGCTTTATTATAAATTGGGAAAAGACCATACTCATTCCCACTCCATTTCTGGGCCTTCTAGTGGACTAGTCTCTGCAAACTCTATACCTACCATGTCGAAACTGAAGATCAAAGATAGATATGGCACATTCTTGCCACTTCACAATTCTCTCTCAAGCATCTGGCCCACGTGATCGGGCTTTTGACTGCCTCCATACAAGCCCTAGTTCTGAGCCCTCCAATGTCTACAGGCATCGTACCTCATGAGGAGCATCTCATACAAGGATATTGTGGCACTAGACGCAGAAGCAAAGGAGGAACTCCATTGGTGTCTCCTACACATGGAGGCGTGGAATGGCAGGGTCATTTTCGGCTCGACTCCAGATGTGGTCATAGAATCAGACGCAAGTTCTTACGGGTGGGGTGCGCACTGTGGAGACGTCTCAACAAGTGGAAGATGGACACTGGAATCAATGTTGCATATAAATTGCCTAGAACTCCTAGCAGGATCTTTTGCGATTCACAGCCTCTCTCCAACCCTATGCCAGTGTACAATCCTATTGAAAATGGACAACATCTTAGTTGCCCGTTATATCATCTAGGAGGCATGAAATCCAGGCAAATTTGGCCTGAGATTTTTGGCAGTTTTGTCTTCAGCACAATATTGCAGTCAGAGTGAAATATATCCCAGGATTGTCCAACATTACAGCGGATTGTTACTCATGCCATCTGCGAGATTCCAGCGACTGGCACCTCGAACCCCAAATCTTTCAATGCATTTGGGATCTTTGCATTCAAGCGAGACGCGAACAAGTATTTCAAACCTTTTCAGTAAGAGGCCGGACCCTGCGGCATTGGCTACGAATGCATTCTCCCAGGACTGTTCCATCGCCAGGAATTATGCATTCCCTCCATTTTCCCTCATCTCTCGCTGCCTCCTCCATCTTCGATGCCAATCAGGGTTTCTGGTTATCATAACCCCTCCGCTTCTTCGCGGCATTAGTTTCGCACACCCGCCTCTGCCTCACTCCTCCTCCTCCTTATGGGACTTTTCCCTGGTACTGAATTTTCTTAACGATTGGCCAGATAAGGAGTCTTTATTCCTGATACAACTCTCAGCTAAACTAGTGATGCTGTTTTATTTGATCTCTTGCAAAATATTATCGGATGTTAGAGCACTCAATGTCTATGCTCGCTCTCTTCCCATAAGAGGTTGTTTTTGCCATTTCACGTATTACTAAATAGTCTACCTGGTCGGTCTCGTACCCGGCCTTTTCTTTTGAAACCACAATCGACTCCAGTGGCATGTCTACGAAACACATAACACCCCCCTTTGGACTGGATCAAGCCCTCAACTTTTCATTTCCTTTCAGAAACCACATGACCCGGTATCTTCGCCCTCCTTGGCTCGTTCGGTCAGATGGCTCATGGCCTTGGCATGTGTTGATACATCCAATGTTTCTCCACATTGGGTTTGCGGTGCTATGGCATCTGGACCTCCGTTGCGGACTGTCGTTTGGAGAATATTATGAAAGCGGCTGACTGATCCTCGGAGTCTACTTCCCATAATTTCTACTTCAGACCTATCCATCATTTTACAGAAGCCGTGATTTCACAGCTTTAAAACTAGCATAATAGGAGCCTCTGTGTCTAATCAAATTCCCAGATTTTACCATTAACATGACATAACGTCATAATTTTATTAATGCCATAGAGGAGAGTATTATCCGACCTTTAAGCGGCTATGTTATATATCAAGGTATATTACTCACCTTTCTCTACTTCTCAAGTGACCTATCTTCAATAGTAAGTCTGGGTTTTAGCGGAATTACTGTTATGTTATATGCCTATCTAGAGTTCAATTTAACCTGGAGTTCAGTTAAATTGTCTTTAGTATCCTAAGCCAGTTATGATTTTCATTACATTCGAAATTTCAAGAGTTATTATCCTTGATAAGTTAGACAGTTGTGCTCCTATTGTATTGCAGTTCTAGGATTACATGGTATAACCATATTTCTCTTGTTTTAGCGTGACCTTGATTAAAAGATACTTCTGCATTCTATTCTCTGTTCCAGCTCTGTTGGTTTCCGGCTTGCAGTGTTAACTTCTCCTTCTGGTTCGCAAGAAAGATGAAGTGTTCCGCCTACTATAGTATAAGGATGTCGTTGATTGGCTGTTTGTGTCAATAGGCGGATATTGGCATGGTGATGTTTATAGCTGTTTTCTATTGATTTTAATTTATTTGCTGCTGAGGGAATTAAAGAAAGAGTGCAGCATAATAGGAGCCTCTGTGTCATTAATAAATTCATGAATTGGGAGTTCAAATTTGGTTGTAAAATTATATTTTTTTTTATAAAAAAAACCTACCTAAATATGCAACCCTCCCTCCCCCCAAAATGTACATAAAATAAGACAGGTCATTTTCACATAACCAACATTAAACGAAAGTCTATAAACACCACCTTAAAAAAACAATATAAAAGCCTACATGAGCATTTAAAAGCTACATCCCCTACAACGTATGCAGTTCTTAAAAGGAAACGGTCACTACCCTGAATTTTCAATGTTTACTTATCCCCTCTATTTAACAGAATAAACTACAGCTCAATAATTCTCCTTTAATATTATCCATCTTGATAGCTGTGCAATAAAATGCTTCCTCATAAATAGGCTATGTGGACATACTGTATATGCAGGCAATCGTTGTGATCCGCCAAACCAATGCATCAACATACTTTACATTGTGATCTGGAAAATAAAATAGTGGCTGCTTTAATGACTTTACGAAACGGAAAAAGTGCAGTTTCCCAGAAACTTTTTTTTTTTTTTTTTTTTAATTTGCAAGGTTGCAGGAACAACCTTTATGAAGAGAGTTAATTACTTAAAGTAATTTTAACAAATATGCTTTGTAGGCTGCTTATCAAAGATTGTCATAAACGCTGTACTTTGTACCTGAAAGTCAGCATTGTGAAGTCATTCAGAGGAGAAACGACACAATGTTACGATCTGCAATGCATGTCATGGCTCTGCCTGTACATAACTGGACTGGGATGCCATTTGTTGAGTGTTCAATACAAATTTTAAAAAAAAAAAAAATCACCACATGAAAAAGTTTTATGGAAATTGGAGGTAATTTTCAATGTTTTATTCAACTGTGTAGTTTACAGAAAAGTGATGGTTCCCCTTTAACGTAATTGAATCCTGGTCCAGCCAATATATAAACACGTTTGAATCCCGCAGAAAGCCTTCTAGAGTAAGCTCAATGCTCAACCATATTGCTCCAACTGAGAAAGTGTTAAATATTAGGTTACGTTAGGTTCAGCATTGAGAGTCCTTTAACGCCATGTGCATTTAAAAAAAAAAAAAAAAAAATAATCTTATCACATACATTTGGTTATTTTACATGACTTTTTCAACTTTCATATACACAAACACATGTACACCGTTAGCAATTATATGTATAATTTATTTTTCTTTCCAGCCAAGAAAAAAAATAAAGGACACATATTTTAAAATATTCTCAACGTTGCAAAAGAAATATATAAATTATTTGTATACCTTTGAAATCATTTTTTTAACATTTTGTTTTTCATTAAAAAAATGAACATTTTTTTCCCTCCATTCATTCACAAAGTGGCTTTTCAATGTTGTTAAATTACACAATTACTTCACAGAAATGCCTTTTGAGACACTGGGATTAAATGAAGACTACAGACTGTATCTTGAGCGCAGCAGCCCATTTGTACCATTTTCTTCGCCCTTACAATGTAACCACAAAGCCATAAATGCAAGCAAAGGCACATAAAATTAAAGAGGGTTTTTTTTTTTTTTTATTTCTATTTCTTGCAGACTATGGCCAAGATCAACAAGGGTTAAAAATAAACAAGTATCAAAAACACAGCAAAAATTGGATTAAAAAAAATTTAAGGTCAAAATTCATACGTATCTTGGTTAGAATACTTATTCCTAACTACTGAAAGCTCACTAGAGCAGTAGGTTTTAAGAGGCACTCTAAGCACCATAAAAACTACACAGTAGTTACACAGTAGTTATGGTGCTATGGTACTGCCCCTTGTTTTTGTCAAACCGTTTAAGATAGTCAGCGCACCTCTAGCTCCCAAGCCTCTCTAATGTTGTGAAAGATTCACTCCAAAAACAGTTTGACAGAAACCAGAGTCACAGTATATTTAAAAAAAAAAAAAAATGAATAAAAATCTTACGCCATAACAACCACCAGAGAGCTGTAAAGGTTATGGTGCTCTGAGTGCTCTTTAAAAAGGACCAAAATGTTGAAGTGTTTTCTGTTTATCCAAAAGAAAAAATTAAATTTTTAAATTGGATTTATGGGGTATAAACACACTGTTCTTCCCACATCTGCATTGTGATCCTATATTTTAAAGGCTTGATTTGCCATTGGGTATGTGCACCTCTGGAGAGATGGATGGGGGAAAAAAATAAAATAAAATAAAAAACACATCAAACTTTATTTCAGCTTGAGTCCTATTTTATGTATTCTTTGTTTTTTAAACTGTAAAATACAGGGACTAAAGAAATCAAGTGTTCAAAATGATTTGCTATTTCCTTTTTTGTTTTCATTCATCAGCCGGCATGCATAGCTCGCAAATAAGCCTTTCAGTCAAAGACATTTAAAACCAATGTACTGAAAAGAGTTAAACTACAGCAATCAAAGAGACTTTCTTGTTCCTCTGGCACAGAGGAGGTCAGTGCATTATCTATTCAATGTTTCCAACAGCCTTAAACATTCAATGCATCATTAACCTCGGTCCAAGGGAACATCTGTATCTAAACAAAAGGGGGATTGTTAATTTAAATAGGAATGTTAGGATGTGTTCTACTACTACATCACTGGTAACTACCTTTTCTCCTGTTACCCTGTGGCTAGATTACCTCGAACTAATCACAAGTTTAACCATTCGAGTGTCTGGTGTGCACCTGCTAGGCACTCAGAGGCTAAAGATTAAGAGCAGCAAAATATACTTGGAATACATATTTCCACATTCACAGCTCCGTGGTCCTTATTTTCAGATCAATAGCTTATTACGTTAATGAAGGAAGGGAGTAACTGGCATGGTCTGTAAAGGAGGGCAGGGTAGGATTCTATTTCTTAGAACAGAATTACTCTCATAAATTGGATATTATACAATGCATTATAGTTTTTCATCTGTAGAGTAAAATGGAAGCTTTTTAAAAAAACAAAAAAAAGAAAACCTAGTTTGAAAGACTTCAAACCAGTATGGTGCAACAGCAACCAGTATTGCTCTGTGATGTAGACAGACTGATTGACGTAGACAAAGTAGGCTGTGGGCGATAATGCTGTTCTGTCATAGTATGTGGAACATGATAAAAACAGCTTACTCCAATGCTTTCCAGTGTGCATCATTCATACAGATCAGCACCTGTGTTTCATGTTGAAACATGTTTTTATTCTAAATTTTCCTGCCTCTTGTAATGACCATGTTTGGATGTACATGCAGATTATTGCTTTTTTTTTTTATTCATCAGAGCAAACAACACATGAAACTGGATTGGGGGGGGGAGGGGCTCATCACTCTCACTAAGGAAAAAAAAAAAAAAGGTGCAACTTCTAAAACACTGAGTGGTCATCAGAACATAACACCAATAACAAGATACAGCTGAAATTTCCAGTACAACAAGAGAGTTCTCAATTTAAGAGAAAATTACATGTATGCAAGTCTGTTTGATTTGCGATGGTGGTGTGAAAGGGGTGGGAGTACAATTTCCATTTAGCAAAATATGTAGGTTAAGTCTAAGATATTGTATACATATAGATGTTTTATTTTATGTAACGGGCTACTTCTCTGCCACTAGATAGACAACACTGCTTATGTTATTTCTATGGATCCTGTACTATAGAAGCTGGCACTTAAATCTACAACCAGAGGGAATTTATATGATCCGTAAGAATCTCAAAGAGAAGAAAATAAAAATATTCTTCTCATTAGGGATACTGAAAAACTATATTTTTTTTTTCCACATTTACTCTCATGTATAGAATGCTCTAAAGCAGACAAAAAAAAGTCTGTGCAAACATATGCAAGGCAGAATAGTCCAAAGATGGCATCTATGCCCTGACTGATCATAAAATTAATGTTATGCTGCATGTCAGCCACCAGTCACATTTTCCATTTACAATGCATAAAATATACAGGAACCATCGATTGTTAAAAGACTATCCCACTGAAACGGACATATCACATATTTATGGAACAATAAGGCACTGCTAACATTAAGGTAAATCTAACAAATCTGGTTTAGAAATCTTCAGCGAGAGTAGTTTTTGGTAATTACACTACTTCAAGTTTTCTCTATGCAAGTAAAAAATAAAAATGGTGGAAGGGGGGTGATGTGTTTAAACAAAGGTTACAGGAGTAGGAAGAAAAATGTTTTTAGCAAATGTCACTGAAAATTTTTTCAACTGTAGCATTATGCACAAAAAAGTGCAATTGGGCACAGCAGAAACATTAAGGCAGAGGAATTCGGTCCTCTGGCCAGTCACAGCATGGTGCACATCTGCATAGAAAGCTCCTAATATCTGGGGAGATTGGGGTAGAAAAAGATTAAAAAAAAAAAAAAAAGCTTTTGGTGTTCTGCCTTGTGCTTATGCCTCGTGGCATCTAAGATTTATTTGATTAAAACAAAACAAAAAATATATATATATATATAATTTAAATTCCATTAATTTGTTTTATTACTTACTGCATTTTCTTTCTCCTAAATATATATACACATACATATAGATATTATATATATATAAATGTGTACATGTATATAGAATTTTAACAGCCAGTAATATCAGTGCAAAAAACTGTTCTAGGAACCTTTTGTAGACTTTTGTTTTCAGAAATCAAAGCCTGTGTAGGACTAATTTTGAGGTTTTGCTGAACTGTCCCATTTGCTCCTTTGTAAGGAGACAGAGGCCTGGGTATTGTCCTGCATTGTGATCCAGTCAGAGCCTTAAAGATCTTTGGACGGGCAGTCAACTGATATTTTGTGATGTAAAGGCTGCCAGAGGAAGATGTAAGGTTTACCTAAAAAACAAAAAAAAAACAAAAAAAAAAACACAAGGCTTAGGATATACTTTCACAAGACAATGTTCAGATTATATGCAGGAGGATCACATAAGTCAAAGCAGTGTTGACAAGTTTTAGGATTTACACAAAAACACAAACATCAGGGAGATACAAACATTATTTGCCATCCCAGATCATTAGCTCAAACAGCAAAAAAAAATATTTTCATTGCACAATCAGTATTACCATGCGGGGAATTATTAAAATTGGTTAACGCAGCACTGTCACCACCTGGAGACTTTGTTGAATTCACAAAGACCTGTTGGACAGTGTCACTTTATCATGGTCAGACTACTAATTATAGTGGATACACAGCCAATACGCAGACTAGAATAATTTATATTTGCTGCTCCATTAGTTACATATATTATATAGGGTAAAAAGATACGGCCGGGAAGTGTCAGCTTCACATCAGTTTGTGGTTTGTGGTTGAAAAAAAAAGGTATGAAGCGCTTTCCAATTTTGCAACAAACAAGAAAAATATTCCTTTTTGACCTCACAATGGCAATTGTTGGATCAATAAGCAGTTACCCCAAACATTAAAAATTATATCCATGAAAAATATGTATAGACCACCTGATGTATGTGATAAACCACCTCTTCAGGCAGAGAATTTCACATGCTTATTGTAAAAAAGTAAAAAAATAAAAAACAAGAAAACAAAACTTCTAAATGTGCTGTACAATTATAAATGAAAAATGTTTTTCCCTCATTTAGTTATGTGAATCACAGCTAGGGGAGGAGTGGCTGCAGGAATGCATTAACAGGAACAAAACTAATTTAACTCCTAGATGGCAGGGAACTGAGTAGAGAGACGGCAGTGGCAAAATGTAAATACAAAACTGCTTAACCCCTTAAGGACACATGACGGAAATATTCCGTCATGAATCCCTTTTATTCCAGAAGTTGTGTCCTTAAGGGGTTAATTTGGCTATAGTGTATCCAGGTCACACTTGTATTATCATTACCTGTTTAAATAGCACTGTGACAAACTCCCCTTTCCACGTTAGTTTGCCACCAGCTCCTGGAGACCCAGACCATGGGCCCTGCAAAGTGTGATGTAAAAGTCTCCGTTCGCGTATTTGGACTATATGGTTCGGGAACCAAACAGCCTCACGAAGCAGAGACCGCCCTGGAGCTTTTTAAGCCTAATTGCTACAAAGTAGCAATTTCCACCGCAGTGTTCTATGTGTTCGTCTGGGTGGCCGCAATTCCTATGGACGACCACGAGGTGGCAGCAGTCTAGTTTGCATGAACACAGGCAGCAGTGTTTGGTCGTCGAGTTCATGGAACTATTTGCAGACACTGAAATTCCCGAACACTGCTGGACTTCCATGATCGCCTGGGTTCGATTCTACAACACTAAGAAAGGCGCTGCTCGGTTGAAACGTTCCCATGAACAAGGGAAACAAGCTCCAGGGTAAGAACATTGACTATGTTCGGTAGTTTGTTCGGTTTTTTTTAACCTACCAAACTAGAGCTGGAACGGGTTTGGGCATGGGACCATGCGTGCGGTCCGTCAAATTATGACTTCCAGGAAATTCTTGAACCGATCTGGGTGATTTTTGGTTATGTTGGTCACCCAGATCGGGGCTATCAGGGGAGGTAACTGGTGGGATTTTATGTATTTTTAATGTACTTTTGGGGTGTTTGGGAAATGTGTGCTCTTTGTACCTGGAGATAATGGAGTTTAATACAGTACTTGACTCCATTATCTCCCAGGAACAGGGGAGGTATTATCCTGTTGTGTATAAGAGTGTCCTGGATATGAGAGCCAATGTAATTGTGTATTTGTTTCTACTGTGGTTTACTCTCCAGTCCAGGGGCAGTGCCCCTTGCAGGGGGACCTGCATATAAGGCCAGTTGTGGTTGCCAATAAAGGCATTCCAGCTTGTACTCCCAGAACTAGTGTGGAGGATTCAACGGGGAAAGTCCTGTGCCTGAGGGTGTCTAGAGCGAGTTCCGCATTCAGCTCCAGGACGCAGTGGTTCCAATACCCCAGTCAAGCCACGGCGACTGGGCAGAAGTGCTGCAGTTTTTCCCCTGTTCCAACTACAAGCACTAAAGAAGTTTTATAGTGTACAAACCTGACATACTTAATTTAGATTATCCGCAGGAGAACATTCTGGTGTTTGCCTGTCCGGGACTGAAGGCCACTGGACCTCATTCTGTGTAGTACTGTGCAATGAGCTGGATTCTCTGGCAAAGAAGAGAGTTAATGCATTAAAATACCAATAAACAATTACACTTGGTGGATAGATTTACAGAACATGTTTCTGATGCTTTGCAATAACATTTTACAGGTATTGTAACCTCACTATAATGCATTATAGAACTTTTAAATTTTATTCATTTATTGTAAACTACCTATCACTGGCGATAAGGGATAGCATGAGTTCATGAAAAATAAACACATCAGCCTGGCATTTGTCCACCATTGCTAGTCAGCAAACTATAGCTATTTATCTGCAGGAGTACTCTTGCACAGGCAAAAAAGTCATGTATTGGTTGAGAGTGTTTAAAGGAACACTACAGGCACACAGACAGCTTCATCTCAACAAAGTGATTCTGGGTGCCATGTGTCTCCCTTTCTAACCATGTAGCTGAAAACACAGATGGCAATGTTTTCATTGTAGGGTTAACCTGGCCTTAGAGAATGATTGTCGCAGTGCAGGGTTTACTTATGGGAAAGCATTGGACTGGCAGAGATCAAGAAAGCGGATCAACCAAGAAAGCAGAGCTGTGCGCTGGAGATGCTGCACTGCGATGGAGACAAAGTAATTAAAATAATGCTTTTAAATCTGAGTGCGAGGGCCCTGTCACCTAAACTGTGACTAGGGCACTATACCGTTCGGAAGACACATCTGTATTTCTAACATTTAGAGTTCCTTTAAGGACATGCTCATGTGACACGTTTTGATGACTTCGTGTCCCAAGAAACAGTATGACATAGAATGGGATGGAAAAATTAAGGGCACCGAAGAGGAATGCCCAATAAATGTTAAGGCATTAAATGGATGTTCTTGTTACTATAAACTAAAGCTTAATGTAGTAGTTTTGATGTCTAGTCCCTGCGTGCATTTTAATATAAATACTGACTTTTCAGAGAAATGGCAGTGTTTACATTACTACCTAGGAACACCTCCAGTGGCACTCAGGCAGCACTAGAGGTGCTGCTTCCTGTGTCATTGCTGCACAGTGTGCAGCACACACGTTCCTCACAGATGTATTGATTCAATGGATCTCTAAGATGAGATGCCGATTGGCGCAGTGAGGCGTTTTACTGCGCATGCGCAATAACCTCCCAATGCTTTCCTATGGGAAATCATTGGATTGGCTGAGATCAAGCTTGATTATCTATCAAGTAGCGCAGCAAGTTCGGAGCTGGGGACGAGGGGGGTCGGAAACCTTAACGACACTTTAGTGTCTGGAATACATGTATATATTTTTGACACTATAGTGTGCTTTTAAAGATAATTTTTACCTCTTGTGGTAGAGTTGTAAACAGCCTGCTTACCGGTTATCTTGCAGGTGAGTTTCAATAGAATTCTTATCTATAGTGTCATTTGGTAGTTCCAAACTTTGAAGTTTAGGTTCCCCTTTATTATCCATAGTAGAGGTAGATGGTGCTGTATCTTCTACCCTAAAAAAGGGACAAAATTGCATAGGACCTTTTTAAAATAGAAGTAAAAACAAAAACAAAACAAAAGTATTTATTTGGAAAAATGACAAATGATTCTAGAAAGAAATTGCTACCTGACGTGAGTTTCTGTCTTTGGCTTCCCTTGTGTCATAGATTCTTCAATTTCCCCATTCCAGGTTAGCCTGCATTCTGATCCATCACCAGATTTACCATGTGAATTAACTGGAACTGTATCCATATCTACAACAGAACAATGCGTGGGCTCTAAACTTTCCTGGCTGTTACCAAAGCTGGTTGAGGTTATTGAGGTTACTATAAAAAAAAAAAAAAAAAATTAATAACAGAACATTTCAATGTGTCTTGCCATCCAGAGTATATGAAAAATTTTACTTCTGAAACAGAAGGAATTCTTCTTTAACCCCTTAAGGACTGGACTGTTTTTGCGATGTTGTACATTTGCGACCAGGCCTCTTTTTACACTTTCGTGGTGTTTGTGTTTAGCTGTTATTTTCCGCTCTCTCATTTACGGTTCCTATACAAATTATATATTGTTTTTTTCAGGACAAAAAAGGCTTTTACATACCATTATTTATATAATCTCATTTAATTTGAAAAATAAAATAAAAAAATGAGATGAAAAATTGAAAAAAAAATACAAAAGTACAAAAGCGAATAAAGAAAAACTGCTAAATAGATTCAAAATTTTGTCCTGAGTTTTAAAATTCCCAGTGTTTACATGCTTTTTTTTTTTGCAAGTTATAGGTACAAGTAGGATATTGCGGTTTCAAAACATACATTTTTTTCAAATTTATCAATAGTGACATTGTAAAACTATTATCTGTCATAAATCTCTGAATAACACCCCACATGTACATATTTTTTTTTTTAAAGTAGACAACCCAGGGTATTCAATATGGGGTATATGTCCAGTTTTTTTTAGTAGCCACCTAGTCGCAAACACTGGCCAAAGTTAGCGTTCATATTTGTTTGTGTGTGAAAAAAGTAAAAAACTAAATTGAATGCTAATTTTGACCAGTGTTTGTGACTAAGTGGCTACTAAAAAAGACTGGACATACCCCATTTGCAATACTTTGGGTTGTCTACTTTAAGAAAAATATGTACATGTGAGGTGTTATTCAGAGACGGTACATCTTACCGTTCAGGACAGTCATCGGTCGGCAATGCAAAAATGCCAATGACTGTCCTGAACCGTCCTTAAGGGGTTAAACAAATGTTATACCTAAGCAACAGATTAAACAAACTATCAGGATACATACTTTCTTCTTTAGACACTTTGTTTTTATAATCTTCCTGAGGAATGAGGTTTTCTACATCTGCAGGTTTTTCCTTTTGTGTACTCTCCTGCGAACTAAAAAAAAACATTAAAGTATGGAAGCGATCCATTTTTAATTCTTAAGACCATAATGTAGATATAGTTTGTTAAAATAAATTAATAAAATGCTAACCTCATCTCTGCACTGATGTCTGTGAACACAGCCCAGCCCTCTTCAGAACTGGCACCTGGAGCGGTCTTATCCCATAGCGATGACCCAGTGTCTGCTGAGCTAATTAATGGAGATGAAGAAACATCTGTAGGCATAGATTCAAAGGTTGCAGTCCAGCTATTTTCTGAATACATTAGAAAGAAAAAAAAAAAAATTACACATTGAAATTTTATTATATCTTATTAAATAAATAATTTCCAACAATGTAACATTAATGTAAGTTTTTTTTAAAACAAATTTAATTCTATGATAGGCTCTCTCTAACAGGAGAGAGTTTTCACCCTCCACCTATTACGTGCCTCCTAGGATGACAAAACAAAATAAGTTTAAGTAGGCCACTGTAATTATAGCATACGTTCTTTTCTTAAAGGCATAACAATCCTAAAACGATTTTAACTATTAAATTATTGAAGCAACTATTGAGCACCAGGCAGTGTCTTGCAAAGCAATTCCGAAAGTTACCAATATACTTAAGGAAGCAGCCAACAAAGGAAATTCTCCTGCGTGTATGCAAGTTCCAACAAAGCGCAGTACAATGGGTGGACTAACAGACACATATTTATACCAAGACAAGCTGGACACACTGGAACAGAGGGATTGAGGGCCCTGCTCAATGAGCTTACATGCTAGACGGAGTGGGGTATAGTGACACAAAAGGTAAGGATATGGTAGAAAAGTAGGTTGTTAGGATCACCGAGAGCTTAGTGCTTTGTTTTGATGACCATTGCAAGAGAGGAATCATGGTGTAGGGAGGAAAAGCTGTTGACAGTTTAATTCATATTTTTCCTGAAGTAGTACATTTTCAAAGATTATTTTTTAAGGAGTGGAGACTCCGGGGTGAAAGTGTAACAGAGGGGAAGGGGGTTCCATAGGAATGGTGCAGCCCTAGAGAAGTCTTTAAATCAAGCAGAGGTAGGAATACGAACAGAGGTTAGACGTAGGTATTCAGGAGAGCGTAGGGGCTTAGAAGGGATATATTTGTGTATTAGTGAGGATAGGTAGGTTAAAGAAGCATTGTGTAGAGATTTGTAACCACGTTAAACTGAGTCCTATATCTAGAAGAAGCCAATCTACGAACTGACAGAGGGGGGAGGCGGTGTTTAGGACTGCTGGATTCAGTTCTAAATACTTGTGGTTAGCGCTCTGTTCTGAGTAACATTGAATCCAGTTAGACAGGTTTTGGTACTTAACCCCTTAAGGACACATGACATGTGTGACTTGTCATGATTCCCTTTTACTCCAGAAGTTTGGTCCTTAAGGGGTTAATGAAGTGACATACAGAATAAACATCCATTGGCACAATTCAAAATGATGCTTTGATACACGCAATATAACTTTGGTTTGGCTGGTCTACTAGGTGTTGCCATCTGTGTAATAATCAGATGGGATATTACTTATCACCTAACAAGCAGGTAAATCACAAAGATGATAGAAACCTACAATCAATGCAAGTATAAGAAAATGGTTGTACAAGTTGTTTTGTTCCCCCACAACACATTTGTGAGTCATCCTGAAGCCCCAACCTGAAAATGACCTCTGGTAAGGTATAACTAATTAAAAATATAACTCCTATGTATTTACTTTTTAGCAGCAGAAATTATAGAGTAGAATGGAACCTGGACTTTTCTCTGACTCCATTAGTCAGAGGAATAAGAGAGAAAATGATGGATTTTGACTAGTTTGCCATAACAAAATTACAACATTTTCCTACCTTCTGATGTTGCTGGAAGGGCATCACCGGGATTAGGATTTGTACCATCGCCACCACCAGAATCTTCCTCTTCCTCATCAGAGTCTCTACTGTCCTCGCTATCTGTACTTCCGCAACTCCTAATATAGAGGAGGGGAAAGCACATGCCAATATTTTAGTGTCATATGTGACACAAAGTATTCAAAATACTCATTTTGTCTGTTTTTTTTATACACAAACCAGTAAGGAAAATTTAATTCTGCTAAGTTTGCGGATTTCTGAGTGTAAGTTTATGATGGTGTGCATATTTGGGAAATAAGCACCAATGTTCATTAATAATAATTTCAGGTAGAAATGGTCTAAAATTATCAGGCAATTGCAGTTACCATCTAGTAGTAAGAGCAAATCACACTGTTCAGTAAACAGCATTGCATTTCCTTTAGTTTATTGAACCCCTTAAAGACAGACGCAATTGTCCAGATTCTGAAAACCTAGAATTTGCACTGTTTGTTCAACCCTAATGTAAGTGTTTATGTGTTAAGTATATATATATATATATATATATATATATATATATACACACACACACACACACACACTATATACAATTTGTAAAAAAAATTTTTTTTAAAGGACTGTGAATATATATCCTATGTGTATACCTAACAAAGCATTAATTAACATAATATGTTATAAATCAGAGGGGCATGTTTTTTCATATTTTTGTTTATAATTGTAAAAAATCTAGTGAAACTGAATAAAGAGAGCTCAAAATAGATCCATATATCAGTTCTGCTTGTTAAATGCATCTTATGTGGAATTCTAACCCCATGCTTATACTAAACGTATACTTGCCCTAACCTTACCTTTACACTATCCCTAACCCTACAACTAACCATACAGTTGAGGAAACCCGTTGGTAATATCAGCAGACCAATTTCCTTGTTAAAAAAAAAAAAGTACAGAGCATTATGTTGTCGCCATCTACTGGCTGTTTTCAGCACAACATACCTCTGTAATGCTGAAAATTAAGTATGCAGATTATACTGTGATTGGTGCTAAGCATCTGGCATACCCCAGTACTGATCACAATTGTCATGGGGCCTTGTCAGGAAATCCCAGAGGTCTCTTGAGCATCTGCCAGTCCAGAATAACTGCAACTGAGAGCAATCGCTCAGCGCGGTGTTCTTCATGGATTTAAAGGACTATACGCAGGGGCAGCACTCAAATTGAGCACTGCATACAGCTTATATTGGTCAGCCTGAAGACACTAAGTGTGGCCCTAGCTGACAGAGCAGACCCTTTAGTATCAATTGATACCTAGGTCTCTCCAGGGTAAAAAAGTGAACCCTTGCATTAAATAAAACCGTACTATTAATTTGAAATAAAATTAATAGTACTATCCTGTTTTCAGCCTGCCATAAGCCAGCACCCTCAATTGCTATATATTTGAAACAAGAGGAATTCATAAAAATAGAGAAGCACTGGCATCAAAATTGTACTACCAAGCTAGTGACTGCAGTCTGGTTTTAAAAGTTTTAAATTGTAGATGCCGTCAGTCTACAGACATGATTTTGGGAGCTTGCTTCTTTAAGCACAGGAACAATTTAGGAACTAGCAATGGATGATTTCCAATTTATTTTATTTATTCCAGAGACTGTAATATAACTCAAGTATGCTGCCTTGGTGTAAAGTACTTCTTTTTAGGTTATCCCCAATATATCCAACTTCGTCACCCTACCCTTTAAAGGGCCACTAAAGGCAGCCAGGCCACTTGAGGCACTGCTACCTCGTAATTGGAGTCAAACGCAGTTCTTCAATCAAATGCTGCTCAACGTATCTCGTCCCCAATGCTTGTATTTGAGAAGCATTGTATTAAAAAACAATGTAGTAGAGTCAGCAGGTATGCTGAGAGTGCGACTGCAGCGGAGGTGCCAGAAAACAAGGCAAGTAATATTTATTGGAGGTCTTTTTTTTTTTTTTTTATCAAGGGGTATGGACAGTGGTCAGTGACTAAATGGAACTTTTCCCCAAAAAAAAAAGAAGAGCTCCCTTTAATTTGACCAGTTATGACTGAATGACTCAAGTCTCATCCTCAATTATTATAGCCCATGTTCAAATATTTCTAACAGCATATTCACAAACACAACCTATTTGAGTCTTCAAGCCCCCAGTGTCTTTTCCGTTGACTAGTTCAGTGCTAGTGACCTCATCGATACTAACAAGTGGTGTGATCAACAATGAAATTTAAACCATGCCTTAATAACAGAATGTGCCAGGTTTTAATTTGAGTGCTTGTTGCATTTAACCTGTCAGCGTGTAGCAAATAAATTTGTCCCTAGCTGATGGGAGATACCAAGATCTCTCCAGTTGGGGTTTAATCGGAGAGTTTGTGATTGCAGTTTACTAAAAACCACCACAATAGAATGAATGAATGAATGAATGAATAGGTTTACTGGTGTGTATAATGCCCATAAAAAGCGACAGGCATTTATCCTGTACAGGGCATTGCAGGGAATGGGGAGGGGAGCGCAGAAAAACATTGCTTATAAGACCATCCTTCTAGAAAGAACTTTCTAGATATACAATACAGAGAAAAATATAGAAAGTATGCCTCTTATCACTACCTGGTACCAGTACTTTGCATAGTGCCAGAAGAAAAACGCATCTCTTTCTCCTGCCAGATATCTTCACCATCAGAACCTTCGTCTTCATCATCATCAAACTGTTGGATTCGTTCTTTGTAGCAGATTTCAAAGAGATTAGAGTTTGGCTGTAGGAAGGACAAATCTTTAAATACAATCTTGCAGACTCTTCCTTATAAATACATTTTCAGTTGCTGTGTAACTTATTAGGTATTAAACTACATGGGGACATGGTGCCCATTTGTGGAGATCCAATAATTTTAACTTTAGAAAAACACTTACACTTTCTTCATCGGCATTAAGAGAAAATGTGATGTTGGCAGTTTTGTCAAATGGCGCACTAAGAAAAAAAAAAAAAAAAGTTAAATTTAACATGTGTTGAGCGAGAGGCATTTTGTTAAGGCACTGCACCAAGAGCTCAAGAAAACAAGAAAAGAAAAAGCACATAAAGACGTACACAGGAAAAAAAACAGAGTTGCATTTCTTTTGTGTTGTGACTACTCATGCAGCAGCTTTTATGTCACCGTGTTCCTATACCCATTCCAGGCAGTGTTTATGAACAATTTTGTGAGCAATGCTTACAGTGGCTTCCATCATGCTTTATAGTAACTCGTGCAAGGTGACTATTGCCATTGGACAGCTCATCTAGACTTCCAACATCACCAAATAGAAAATACACAGGACTGAGGTTTTAAAAAAAAAACAAAAAAAAATGAACCACTTGCCTGCGTAATGGTTGCGCTTTTTGCAGTACTGAAAAGCAACCCTTCATAGAACACCTGAGTAGAAGATATATGTCTACGTAAGGGGAAGAACCATATAAGAAATAACTGCATTTAGGTTACATTATGAAAACTCATTTATGGAGGAAAGTAGAAAAACTTTCTCCATTCATTGCAGAAGATGTGTTGTTGGAAGGTCCATTGAGCTATTGTATTTGAATTATGATGTAAAATGTTACACTGAGATAATGAAATGGACTGCCTGAAAGATATAAATACATCAAGCCACAGAATCATGAAGGCCATTTTTGGTCTCCTTTAAGACAGACGCAAGCCAGCATTACAGTCAGTTACTAGTCTTATAAACAAGACACAGATAGCAGCTGAAGGGTGCAAGAATGCTGCCGTTTCATGCCCTATTTTTTTTTTTTTTTAATGTTTGGAATATTTTATTTTACCTCTTCAGCTGTCGAAAGTGAGCGCTGCAAGTCAGAGAGAGACAGAGCACACATCAACTAGAGAAAATGAAATGAAAGCAAGGAGCTGGACAGATAGCATTCAAAAAACCTCACGTCAGGAAAAATATAAAATCCAAGAGCATAGACACAGTGCCTCAAAATTACAGAACAAAAAAAAAAAAAAGCAAATTAAATAATCCTTAACTTTAAAATTGTAAGTCTTAATAGTAGCTTTATTGCAAATCAAAGGTTGACCTGAAGTTATTAACTAGAGATTGTCAGAAGTGTTACATTCCTATTGCTATGCAGGTGAACTACCAAAAACAAGACATCAGCCTTTAAAATAAAAGAATAAATCCATCTGTTTAGCTGCTGTACTCAATTTAAATTAAAAATTATTTTAAATATACTAACTTTACACTCTCTTCTTGTTCTCCGAACTCTTCATCATTAAAACCAAAGTGATCAATAAAGGCGGAGGTCATCTCCTGCATTTGGTAGTCCACAAAGGCCTGCCGGGGAAAATGGAGAGAAATCAGAAAATATAAAAAAAAAATATGGTATGAATAATCACATTTACAGCTGACTCACTGAGCTTGTTCACTTTGAGTTGCTTAAAAGTAGTCTCTTAAGAAGGAATTAAAAACAGGCGTTTAAAACAGTACTTGTTTTACTGTCCGGTTCTTGTGTTTGGTAACAGTGGAAATGGGTGATAATAGGATTGAACATCTTGCTACATGTATGCATGCATGCCTGGATGAATCCATCTAGGGTCCACACCCCGGTGGCATGTGTGAGCGAATGGCTTCTCTGGAGAAGCGAATTGTAACATTGAAACAGATTGACAATCTGCTGCAGAGTTTAGTGGGGGGCCTTTAGAAGAGAAGGAGAATATAAAACAACTGGGTAACAATATCATGTGGAAGGAGGGGTCGGGAGGGGGAGAGGTGGGTTATAAATGGCTAGACACATCATCATTGTAGGGGGACTGTATTGCTTAGAGAACGGCCACTGTGATTCTCTCAGACAGTTTGTTGTCTCATGGGTGCTCGGGTCCAGCATGCTGCTGACAGTAGATGGATTATTGAGAAGGGCTGGGGATGTTCCAGTTGTTATGGTCCATACTGGTAAAGACAAAGTCAGAGTAAAACGGAGGGTCCTAAGGAATAAGTTCAGGGAATTAGAAAACAAAATGAAGAAAAGGACCTTTGAGTTAGTATTTTCAGAATTACCTGTGCCATGCGCTACAGTAGAAAAGCAGCAGGATATTAGAGAGGTTAATGAGTCGCTCAAGTCATGGTGTAGGAAAGAGTTTTGACTTTAGAGCACTGGGCCGAATTTGCGTTTGGTACAATCTTTATAGCCCCCAGGTGAAAAGAGTATCTACTGTGCTGGAGAACAGGATGGCTAGGAGGTTGGAGGACATTTTAAACTAGTGGTGGTGGGGGGATTGGGGGTGAGAAATTTACAAATGGAGATAGGACAGAAAGGAGACTGACTTTAGCCAAGTGCAAGGGGTGCAGATGGGGCATGGGCAATATTAGAACAGGTGAGTTATGTAAAAGTAATACAAATTCACAAAGTACAAGAGACTCATGATAATGTTAAATTTATGTTAACTCACGCAAGAAGCCTAAATAACAAAATGGGGGAACTAGAGCATACACTAAGCAATATAACATAATAGGCATAGTGAAAAAAATTGTGGGATGAGACATTACTGGGCAGTTAACTAAAATGGTTATACATTACTTAGTAAGAACATAAAAAAAAACAAACAGGAAACATGGTGGGGTAGATTTGTTACTCAAACATGAGTTAAAGTCAAATATTAAGCAAGTGGAATGTGATGAGGAAAATATGGAAGCATTATGGATATTTGCTTGGGGCAAGCAAAGGGAAACCAATTATTGGTTGGGATACGTTATAAACCACTGAATGTTATTATTGAGGAGGAAGAATTGCCATTAGAGCAATTGGGAAAGCTGCACATCTGCATAAAACGTTAATTATTGGAGATTTTACTTATCTGGACATACATTGGGATAGAGGGACTAGTAGTTCAGTAAGGGGAATCAAGATTTTTAAAGTGTTAAATGACACCATGTCACAACTGGTACAAGCACCAACATTAAAACTAGAAAGGATGGTCGTCTGCGTCTGGTTATAACAATGTCGATCCTTTGACCAACATTCAAGAAGGTGAGCACTTGGGAAATAGTGATAATCTGGTGTCTGAGAAAAAATAAATAAATGCACGAGTATACTAAAACAATATTATAAAGGCCAATTTCCATAAAAGGGAAGCTTTACAACATATTGACTAAATTGACAAATTATTTAATGGGGGGAAAAATAAAGAAAGTAGGGACTAATGTAATATCAAGCAAATATCAGAAAGGTGCACTTCTCAGTATGTAGTACTGCGTAATTGATATAACAAGCAATTTTAAACCATGGTGACTTCGGGGGCAGGTAAATCAAGAAATTACAAAGATAATGACATCTAAAGAATTTAAAAATAAGATAAAACAGAAGCATCTTGTATAAGAAAGTCAAACGTGGGGGGCGGAGTCAAGCTACGGACAAGGATAGTCGCATGGCCGAGGAGCTCCCGACTAAAATTATACAAACCTGCTGATATTGAATCCCAACACGGCCCAACGGACCCCAAGGTGCCCTTAACACACCCGACAACAATGGGCAGAAAAACGAAGAAGCCAAAGCCCGACAAGCCCCGTCAGGGTATGAACATCGGGGACATGTGGAGACAGGCCCATGAGGCCGCGAGCGCAACAATGGAGTCCCTGCATGGAGGATGTACAGACTTCTCGGATGAGACATCCGATGAGGGAGAAGGGAGCCTCATACCAACAGGCTTACCACCACTGCCTGAGAAACCTCGACCACCCGCCTCAACCCACACGCCGGTCACCATGGAGGCTATCTCGGCACTCATGGCCTCCCACCATGAAAAAATTTCAACGGAGGTGGCAACAATCCGGAAAGACCTGCAAGGCCTGTGCACCCGGCTGGGAACGGTGGAAAACACCTCCAGAGACCACACAAGCCAGATTGCGGAACTGCAAGCAGAGGTAAGCGACCTGAAAAAACAAGCGACACTACATACACAACAATTGGCCACCCAAGAAGATAGGAGACGCCAAAATAACCTGAAGCTAAGGGGGGTCGCGGACTCCATTCCTGAAGCAGAGCTCCCTCACCTTACCAGGCGACTGCTAACTGCGCTCCTGACTCCAAAAGTGGCAAGAACGATCCTGCTGGATGAGATTTTTCGCATCCCAAAGCCGATTACAGCCCCACCAACGGCCACCGGTGATATAATCCTCCGCTTTCAAACAGCAAGAGACAAAAGGGCAGTACTCGACGCCATCAAGGGCCGGCCAACATACACCTTTGAAGAAATGTCCCTCTCTTTCTATGCGGATTTATCGAGTGGCACACTGTCCTGGAGAAGGTCCCTCCGGCAGGTCACCTCTCTCCTACGGCAGCAACAGATCCGATACCGCTGGGGACCCGGCCGGACCCTGAGCATAGAGAGCGCAAGTGGCCCTGTGCTGGCCCGGAACCTACAAGAGGCCGCAGAGGCATTAGAGAAGCTAAACCTCCCACTGTCAACCCTAGAAGCTGCATCAGCGCAGAGAGGCCTCGGGACACACTCGGCTAGCGCACCGGAATTTGTGCCAAGGCAAACACCAGCGGAACCCTATGCGGCAGCCACCACTTGAACCGGGACTCTGAGCCTGGGACTGCTCACCGGGACGTTTTCTTCTTTTTTCACCTACACAAAGGTGTGAACTCTCGGGGACTATCAGTTTGAACAACACCCAGGGTCCTCCACCACAGCCCATTTAACACCGTGACCTCCCCGAATACCACTCCAGTGGTGATACGCACCTTGGGCCACAATGAAGTAGCCTAAGCTCGCTATCTCACGCCCACCGTGTCTAATCCATTTATACACCATATGTATAGCACATACCTCTCATAAAGACAGGGTGGTTCACTCCATCACAGCTTGACATTATGTCGGTTAATTCAACCCAATTGCATACCTACTATCCACACTAGCACACGCAGTCTAGCCACTTAACTATAGCTACGCTAGGGGTATGGGATAACCCTATCACTCACAGCCCTACCACTCATGTCGCTGTGTCCTTGACCTCAGCGAGCTGAGGCACATAGCCTTGGGAGGCCACACTGGCTAGCAGCGCGACACTACACCCTAACTCTTTAATCGCCCAGATTAGGCGAAGTTTATGTTCGGTTTAGCGACCATCACCTGTTTACTTCTAACGTTACCATGTTAGTACTGTATTCAAGCATACCTAGATCAAGCTCATATATCATTCAGTTATTTTAACAAAACATAGAATGTGCGGACCTTTTCTGCTTCAATTTATAAAACTGTGCAGTTCTCTCACTTGCCATGTCAGATAATGTATGTTGATGTTATGCCTGTGACTGCTGTTGTGGCAACATGGGCTTGCTGTTCTAAACTTGCACTACAAAAATAAAGAATTTAAAATAAAATAAAATAAAGAAAGTCAAACGTGCATGCAAAAAGATGAGAAACCAGAAAATAAAGAGACAAAGAGAGCGAAACCATAGTACATAAATTAAAAAAGAAAAGAAAAGGTAGACTGAAAACAGATATGGGTGTGTTCATTGCTCACATTTCTTGAAAACAGACTCTATTAAGTAGACTCTTTCAAGTAGGAGTTAGAAAACCAGGAGATAAAACTAACAAGGTGTTTAAACTATCAAGATAATTGTTTTATTGTCCTGTATCTGGGGAAATGAGTGTTAGCAAGATTGCTGGTTTGACTCAATGCACATCTTGTTGCACGTATGGATGCCTGGATGTACCCGTCCAGTGTCCATACCTGTGATGGTTGTGTGCGAGTGGCTTCTCTGGAAGCTCAGATTGGAGATCTTGAGAAGCAAATCTCAACTTTGAGGGAGATTGACAATCTTGAGAGGAGTCTGCTGCTCACTGAGCAGAGTTTAGTGGGGACAGGTAGTGGAGAGGGAGGAGATAACACAGATGGGGAACAGGCATGTAGCTGGGTGACAGTGGGGCAAGGAAGCAGAGGGGGAGGGAAGAGGAAAGGGCTAGCTAGTCCTGATTTGGTGCAACCTAGCAGATTTGCCAGTTTGAGGGAAGATGTTGGGAGCATCAGCTCAGGAGTACTTCTAACAGCCCCCCTAGTATGGGTGGGAATCAAAATGTAAGGAAGGCAAGACAGGTTGTGGTAGTAGGGGACTCTATCATTAGGAGAGCAGATAGGGCAATCTGCCGCTCTGATCAGCTCAACCGGACAGTTTGCTGTCTCCCGGGTGCTCGGGTCCGGCATGTTGCTGACAGAGTGGGTGGATTATTGGGAGGGGCTGGGGATGACACAGCGGTCATGGCCCATGTTGGTACCAATGACAAAGTAAGAGGAAGATGGAAGGTCATAAAGAATGATTTCAGGGAATTAGGTAGCAAACTTAAGAAAAAGACCTCCAAGGTGGTATTCTCTGAGATATTACCTGTGCCACGCGCTACAGTGGAAAGGCAGCGGGAGATTAGAGAGGTCAATGCGTGGATTAAGTCTTGGTGCAGGAAGGAGGGTTTTAGGTTTTTAGAGCACTGTGCTGACTTTGCGATTGGGTACAACCTTTATAGTAGTGATGGATTGAACCTAAACGGGAGAGGGTCTGCAGTGCTGGGGGATAGGATGGCTAGAAGGTTGGAGGAGATTTTAAACTAGTAGTAGGTGGGGGAGGGTCATAGCAATCTACAAAATGGAGATAGGACTGAAAGGAGATGGGCTTTAGCACAGTATAAGGGGTGTGGAGACAGGGGGGGAAGGGCAAGCTCAGAACAGAAAAGGTATATAATGTTGATAATTCACAAAATATACAAGTGACGCATAATATTAAATGTATGCTTCCTAATGCAAGGAGCCTAAATAACAAAATGGGGGAACTAGAGGCATTAGCATACACTAAACAATATGATATAATAGGCATAACTGAAACATGGTAGAATGAGACACATGACTGGACAGTTAACTTAAATGGGTACTTGTTATTTAGGAAGGATAGAAAAAACAAGAAGGGTGGTGGGGTATGTTGTATGTCAACCATGATTTAAAGCCAAATCTTAAGCAAATGGAATGCGATGAGGAAAATGTGGAAGCTTTATGGGTAAATATCTGCTTGGGGGAAAAGAAGGAAACCAACTATTGGTTGTGATAGGTTATAAACCACCTAATGTTAATATTGACGAGGAACAACAGCTGTTTGAGCAAATTGAGAAAGCTGCAAATCTGGGTAACACTTTAATTATTGGAGATTTTAATTACCCGGATATAAATTGGGACAGAGGGACTAATAGCTCAGCAAAGGGAATTAGGTTTTTAAACTTGTTAAATGACACCTTCACGTCACAACTTGTACAAGCACCAACTAGAATAGACGCTTGTCTGGACCTGGTTTTAACAAACAACGTTGATCTTTTGACCAACATTCAAGTTGGTGAGCACTTGGGAAATAGTGATCACAATATAGTGTCCTTTGAAATAAACTCACAAAAACCAAAGCACACGGGGTATACTAAAACATATGGTTTTAAAAAGGCCAAATTTCAATAAGTTAAGGGAAGCTTTACAATATATTGACTGGCATAAACTCTTTAGTGAAAAGAACACAGAGGATAAATGGATCATCTTCCAACAAATATTAGAAAGGTACATTTCTCAGTATGTACCATTGGGAAATAAATATAAAAGAAACAAATTAAAACCAATGTGGCTTAGTAGAGAAGTAAAACAAGAGATTAAAAATAAAAAAGGGCATTTAAAATCGGACAAATCAGATGCATCTTTTAAAAGATATAAGGAAGCAAATAATAATGCGTGCAGAAAGGCAATTAGACTTGATAAACTTCAAAATGAAAAAAATGACAGCTAAAGAGAGCAAAACCAACCCCAAAGCATTTCTTAAGTACATAAATTCTAAAAAACAAAAAACAAAATTAAAGTGTAGGAACATAAAAACTGAAACGGGGGTGTTAGTTAATGAAGACCAGGAAAAAGGCAGGAATTTTAATAACTATTTCTCCTCCGTATATATTAAGGAAGAACCCATGGCAATAGATGTGCAAATTATTGCTACTAAAAACTTGCAGAATCTGCCTAACCTATATGGCTACTACATGGCGACACACTTGTCGCAAATAGCCTTATGGAACTCGCCACCTGGAGAACGCAAATGGGTGGATTTGGAATCTCTGATGGTGGGGGCAGACATTCCGCAGCTACTCATTTGGGTCCCCAAAGATAAAAGACCAATCATTAGAGCTACATGCCCAGCTATATTGAACTCTATACATATCTGGGATAGAGCTCAACAGCAACATGGGCTGGCATCAGCCCCATCCCCTCTGATGCAGTTTCTTCGAAATAGAGCATTCCCGCCGGGAATGGCAGCACGAAATTTCATGAATCTAGAAAGAATAGGTCTGCAACGCATACATCAGTTGGTACAGGATTCAGAGGTAGTATCTTTCGACACCCTACAACAAAGGGGTCACCTCACGCCTGCAGACTTCTTCAGGTACTTACAAATAAAAGATTTCGTAAAACTCCCATGGGTGCGGGCAGCGGCCCAAAAACCCATGACATTCTTCGAACAAATATGCCTAAGGGTCTGATAACTCGGCTGTACGCCCACCTCTGCTCTGTAACTAACGAAGGGGGAAATCTGGCCTACACGAACAATGGGAGAGGGACCTGGGGGAGCAATTAGAAGGGATAGAATGGCAAGAGATCTGGGAAGCCAATCACAAATCCTCAGTATGCGTAACGATACAGGAACAAGCAGTTAAGACGATGCTTCGCTGGTATACAACTCCTGTAGTGTATCAAATGAAAAAGTGCCCTACCGACTTTTGTTGGAGAGGGTGCGGAATGAAAGGGACATATCCACATGTGGTGGAAATGCCCCCTGATGAAAAGGTTCTGGCAACAAATTAGAGATATACTAGCCCAGGTGCTGAACAGAGCCCCCCCCAGACCCATGGTTATACTTACTCAGCAGAACAATAGATGGTAAGACTAGACACAAACAAAAACTCATCCATAAAAGTAACTAGCAGCCAGGAGAGCAGAGGCAGCGGATTGGCTTAAACAGACCACTCCACCTCTTGCAGGGGTCATCAATAGAATAAGGGAGGTACATATGATTGACGACCTGATGGCAAGAGTTAGGGGAACTCAAAAACAATTCCAGAAAATATGGGCACCATGGGAAGATAGCCCCTTGAGTTAGGGACACCCAGTAGACCTAAGGCCTACAAGATAGCCAAACAAAGGGAAGCGGTTCCTCGGCTCCTCCCCTCCCCACCTCTACCTTATCTTTTTTCGACACCTATCTACCTTTTTCCTACTTCTATTCTTCTCTTATTATGTGTAGCATATGCCTCCCAGAGGATGTAGGGAGAGGTACATCCGGAAATAGTTTAAAGACCAGGTGTGAACAGAGGAACGTAAACCAAAGCCTTCAGAGGGCCCTGTCAGCTGCTAGCAACATGTAGAGAGCTTAACAACTCCCGCGATGGGAGACCCAATGGGCCCTTTAAAGACCAGAGGGTTGGAAACACGCTGCAGGCTAACTCAGACACAGGGAAACCCATTACACAACACAATATTAGATCAGTGTTGGAGGACACACACCAACGTTTTTTATGTACATGTACAACAGCCAAGTTTCATATGCTACCAAATAATTCTTGTTTTTTGTTTCTTTTTTTTTTTTTTTTTTCTTCTTCTGTTACAAATCACTAAACTAAAGTTGACAAATGGTAACTCGCAATATCAGAAAGCATTAAGGTGACTAATACATCGTTTTAGGGGGCAAAGGTGGAGACTGTTAAACCACCATTTGCCGCGTGAGTATGCGATAGATAAGTTACTACACTCTGTATACAATGTAAATGTCAATCTTTGTTTGAATTACGGAATGTGATCGATATATGCATGTTATCTCTGTCAACATAAAGAATAAAAATAAAAATAAAACTTGCAGAATAATTGTAATTGGTTAACTAAAGACAAGGTGCTGCAGCAACTAAAGAAAGTTAATATAAACAAAGCTCCAGGGCCCGACGGTATCCATCCACGTGTACTTAAGGAACTAAGTGTAGAAATAAGTGAACCTCTGTTTTAAATCTTTCAAGATTCTTTTCTTTCATGAAGTGTTCCAGAGGATTGGAGGAAGGCAGATGTGGTTCCTATATTCAAAAAAGGGCTCAAAATCCTTGCCTGGAAATTATAGGCCTGTGAACTTAACTTCTGTGGCTGGTAAAATATTTGAAAGGTTATTAAGGGATAATATTCAAGAATTCCTTGAGAAGAACATGGTTATCAGCAAAAACCAGCACGGTTTTATGAAGCACAAGTCATGTCAAACTAACTTGATTGCGTTCTACGAAGAAGTGGAAGTATAGATCAGGGTGTTGCCGTGGATGTGATCTATTTGGATTTTACCAAGGCATTTGATATAGTTCCACACAACAGATTAGTGTTCAAACTCAAGGAAATCGGTCTAGATGAAAATGCTTGTTCTTGGGTAGAACATTGGCTTAAAAACAAAGTACAAAAAATTTGTTATTAATGGTAAGTTTTCAAGCTGCACAGAGGTGGCAAGTGGTGTCCCTCAGGGGTCTGTTCTGGGACCCCTTATATTTAACATATTTATAAATGATCTTGAAGACCGCATTGAAAGTTATGTTTCAGTGTTTGCAGAGGACACAAAACTTTGTAAAATAATACAATGTGAGCAAGATATTAGTTTGCTGCAGAGGGATTTAGATAGACTGGGCACTCAAATGGTAGATTAAATTTAATGTTGAAAAATGCAAAGTTATGCACTTCGGCGTAAAGAATACACAACCAACGTATACCCTTAATGGAAGCGAATTAGTGATAACGCATGAAAAGGACTTGGGAATTGTTATAGACAAACTATGCAACAATGTGCAAGGCCAGTAAGGTATTGTCATGCATGAAAAAGGGCATGCATTCTCCAGACGAGAATATCATTTTGCCTCTTTATAAATCACTGGTAAGACCACATATTGAACATGCTGTGCAATTTTGGGCACCTGTTCTAAAGAAGGATATTATGGCACTAGAAAAAGTGCAGAGGTGGGCTACAAAATTAATAAAAGGAATGGAACATATCAGCTATGAAGAAAGGTTAACAACTTTAAACCTATTTAGTTTAGAAAAACATCCCCTGAGAGGGGATATGATAACATTATACAAATATATTCGGGGCCAATACAAACCATTGTCTGGAAATCTATTCACAAACTGGACTTTACATAGGACACGAGGCCATGTGTTTAGACTGGAAGAAAGAAGATTTTGTCTAAGGCAAAGGAAAGGGTTTATTTTTTTTACTGTAAGAACAATCAGGATGTGGAATTCTCTGCCTGAAGAAGTGGTTTTATCAGAGTCCATACAGATGTTCAAACAACTACTAGATGCATACTTGCAAAAACAGAATATTCAAGGATATAATCTTTCAATGTAGGGTAATAACTGCTTGATCCAAGGATAAATCTGACCGCCATTCTGGGGTCAAGAAGGATTTTTTTTTCCTAGCTTGTTGCAAAATTGTGCTTCAAACTGGGTTTTTTTGCCTTCTTTTGGATCAACAGCAAAAAACAAATGTGAGGAAGGCTGAACTTGATGGACGCAAGTCTCTTTTCAGCTATGTAACTATGTTAATGAAGATCAGGAAAGGGCAAAAATTTTAAACTATTTTTGCTCAATATATATTAAGGAGGTACCTATGGCAATAGATATGCAAATGATTGCTGTTAAAAACTAGGGGATTGGATGACTCAAGACAACAAAGCTCCAGGGCCTGACTATTCACCCATGCGTACTTAAAGGGACACTATCTATGTAATGCATTAAGAGAGTCAGGAAAAATGCGTCAGACCAATTCAGCTCATTGAAGTGTCCCAGGTCCCTTAACCCTGCAGTGATAAGTGTGGCAGTTTTAGATAAACTGAAATAGTTACCTGCTGGTGTTAACTGTCCTGTAGACAGCCAATAGAGGGACTTCCGGGTCGTTGGGCGACTCCGGTCGCCTGACACTGGACGTCCTCACGCTATGCATGAGAACATCCAGATTGACTCAAAAGCCCAGCCGCACATGCACATTAGGTCCCCCCCACGCCAAGGAGCCTGAACCATTCCCCCCTCCCTTATCTTTTAGTGCACCCCCCCTCCCTAGTGTTACTTTTCCTTTCGCTGTACCTTAGTGCCCTCCCTTAATGTTCCCTCCCTATCACCTGCCCCCCCCCATAGTGTTCTTTCCTGCACCCCCCTCCCCTGTCACATAACGTTTTTATCTCCCACCTCCTGCCGGTCACTCCAATCTAGACGCCCACCGGGCCAGTGGACGCTTGTGTCTCCTTATGGACGCGCCAGCCGACCTCATTTTCGGTAATACACGTGAATATCCCACACCTATACCCTCGCTTGCTTGTACAGTCCCAATAGAAAACAGCATACCTTCATTAGCCTGACGATGGCCAAACTGGGGAGCTTCAGGGAGGGCCTGCTGGTGGTCGTGGGAGACCTGAACCTACCGCTTAACCCTCGCCTGGACACCTCCAGAGGCCACAGCGCAGTCCCCAGACACTGCCTACGGGCAGTGCTCCGCTCCCTGCACAAGCTGGGGCTGGTAGATTGCTGGAGGGCGAGTCATCCGGAAGGCCGAGACTACACCTATTAATCAGTCGTCCATGCACATTACAGCCGTATAGATTACATATTCCTCGCACAAGAATATCTGCCGCTACTACATGGAACAGAGATCGGGACAATGAAACAATCAGATCACGCACCGGTGTTAGAGCACACGAGTTCCCCACTCTTCAAGCCCAAAAAACGACAATTGAAACTCAATGAGACCCTCCTAGACTACTCCGAACTCACTACCACGGCGGCACACACATTGACCCAATATTTCACGATGAACAACAACCCAGATATCACACCACTTACGCTCTGGGAGGCACATAAGTGTGTCATCCGGGGACATCTCATAGCAGTTAGCACCAAGAGCAAGAAAGACCATGCTGCACGTACAATTCACCTGTCTAAACGAGTCGCCGAACTGGAACAGGAAGATAAACGCACACTAGATGAAGTAACCAATTTGCTCCTAACTGAGGCCCGTAGAGAACTCCTAAACATATTCTCCCAGGGACTACTGCTCACCGCGCGAAAAACAGCCAGGTTGTGGCAGACTGCTTGCAAAAATGCTACAAGAGAAGCGGAGGACACAGCACATCCATAAGATCTGCCCACAGGGACAAGGAGTCACACATCTCCCCGAAGGCATCCTGAACGCATTTCACAAGTACTATGCGGCACTGTACGACCAAACACAAAACCGAGCAGAAGCGGAAACACGACATCACCAGGAACGAATTACCGCTTATCTGGACAGCCACGTCGCCCGCAAGCTTACCCCGGAACAAGAAGCCAAACTAGACCAACCCCTGACAATCGAAGAGCTGGCAGGCGCGCTGAAAGTAACTAAACCCCACAGAGCACCTGGCCCAGATGATTTGCCCGTATCGTACCTACGCACCTTCAAGGAGATCCTACTACCGAGACTTCTAGAAGGATTCAACTCGCTACAAACAGGCAGTCAGTTCCCTACGGACACGTTGAGAGCAACATTCATGATCATCCCGAAAGAGGGTAAAGATCCTACTAACTGTGCCAGCTACAGACCAATTTCGTTGCTGAACGCCGACCTGAAAATCTTCGCCAAGGCACTGGCGCTCAGAGTCGCCCAGGTGCTACCTGACTTAATACACCCAGACCAGGTCGGTTTTATTCCCGGGGGGGAGGCCCGGACAATACAATTCGGGGCCCTTAATGTGATCCATGCGGCTACAGCTAACCAACAAGAAATGGTGCTTCTTTCCACGGATGTCAAAAAGGTGTTCAACCACGTGGATTGGACTTTTCTCTCTGAATCCCTACACACATTGGGTTCGGACCGTACTTGCGTACCTGGGTGGCTGCACTGTACACGATACCAACGGCGCGTATAAGAGTCAATGGCGCAATCACTGAACTGTTTAATATCCGCAATGGCACAAGGCAAGGCTGTCCCCTGTTCCCCCTCCTGTTTGCCCTCACTCTAGAGGCCTTTCTGGAGGTGGTCAGACGGGACGGTGGCATTAAGGGTTTCCGCATGGGCCGGGTAGAACATCGGGTAGCGGCATATGCGGATGACATGCTCTTCTTCTTAGACCAACCTAGAGTTTCAATCCCGAATTTATTGAAAGCATTCAAAGAGTACAACGCAGTATCCAACCTAACACTCAACTTGGATAGATCAGAAGCTATGCCGTTGGCCCGAGATGCCGCCATAACGCAACGCCTTCAAAAGCACTTTCCGTTCAGGATCTGTGCAACGAAACTCCGATACCTGGGAATCTGGCTACCAAAGGAACTTATGCACATATACCAACTGAACTTCGCACCCCTCCTCGCGACCCTGCAACAGGACCTTTAAAAAAAAAAAAAAACGACAACCCAGTACATCGAATGGTTTGGTCGGATTAATGCAATTAAGATGAACGTAATGCCTCGAATTCTATACTTGTTCCAGACGCTGCCTACGACCATCCCGTGACTGTTCTTTCAGATGCTAACAACCAATATACGGCAGTTTGTCTGGAATCAGAGACCCACACGTGTCCGAAGGACAATCTTGGAACGACTGAAGAACGCAGGAGGAGCGGGATTGCCGTCGGTACTCGCATACTACCAGGCGGCCCACCTACATCGACTGGTCGACTGCCATGCAAACCAGACCACCGAACAATGGGTACATATGAAGACAGCAGACGCAGGGAAAGATCCCCTCCCTGCTGTGGCTAGGAGGAGCAGTGCACGGAGATATGTGCACAGGAAGCCCGATGATTAACTCCACATTGAGGGTCTGGTGCAGGATAAGATATGCCAAACAACTCACAACATCACCCAACCCCTCACTCCCATAACCAACAACCCAAGACTGGTGGGTGGACTTAATCCTGCTGCTCTAAAGAACTTTCAGGCATCAGACGGGACACATTTACTCCAATGGTGCACTGACTTGAAACTCAAAACCCTTGTAGACCTGATGCCAGACCGCAGACCGACAAGACTAGACTTATTTCACTACCACCGGCTAAGAACATACTATGCCACCCTAACGGGAAAAGACCACATACACCGATCGTTGTTACAACTGGAACAACTATGCACGGACAGGCGGCACCTCTTGCATGGCGTATCAACACTGTACGCCATACTTCAGCAAAACGGAGACAGGAGCCCGCTGGGCTTCACTGAACGCTGGGAGAAAGAGACCGGAATATAACTCACGGATCCCGAATGGGATAAGATCTTCCAGCTGACACATAGGGGGAACATAAGCTCTAAATACCAGGAATGTAATTATAAAATATTGACACACTGGTACAGGGCCCCAGACATCCTCCGGCATGTACACAAGTCAATACCAGGTGAATGCTGGAGATGCGGAACGGAAACAGGCACGGGACACCACATATGGTGGACATGCTCACTTAATCACACCGTTCTGGCGGCTGATTCACCATACGACCAGAGAAATAACCGATGCAGACCTCCCACTACAACCCCTGAAGATGCTGCTTAACCACACACCATACACCTGCTCGTAGCCTCAAAAACACATACCGACACACTGGAAAAGCACAACGATACCCACCTTCCAACAATGGATCGACAGGGTGGAAAAATATATACAGCACGGAAATGACGGCCTCCCTGCAGGGACGATCTGACAAATGCGCTTTGACTTGGTTCCCATGGAAAGACTTCATGGCCAAGAGGATGGCACGAGCCGGCACGCGGTGTGGGTGGGGGGAGGGGGGGTGTAAAACAGACACACTCCCGGGGAAACAAGACCCAAACCAGCCACGAGGACCCTAACCACTCCACCTTAGCAGAGGAGGAGGGGGGAGAAGAGTAGGATGTGGGAAAAAACAGAGACAGACATAACCTTAGATCCACAAAACACGCAGTTACCGATATTGGGAATTATATCGGCAACCCAAGGGAGACGCAAAGATTTTGAAAGCACAATCTCGCCATGACATACAGATCCCGGTAACCACAAAACTAAAAAACGCCGACAAATGCACACAGGTAAACTAAACATAAGACATATAACCACACACACGCAAGACATCCAAGCCCAGGCACTGTAGCCGAACCAAAAACTGACGCCATGACAAAGTTTAAACACAATGATGCACACCAAACCACAGTGCAATAAAACTATGTACAGAGATACACAATACGGTACTGCAACCAAAGCAAAAATATGGAAAGCACACAGAATATACAATAGGCAGCCCATACCAAAACTCAAAAACTGCGCCACATATCAAGAACATCCCAGAAAACGGTTGAGATAACCCTTTATTAAAAGTCCTCATTATCCTTTTAATTAGGAAACTGAGATATGATGACGACCTAGCCTTAATATATCGAAGACTTAGACACCAAGGTTAACTCATCAGAAAATAGCTGAACACACAAGGTTAGAGTTCCTTGATTAACCCAGATGAACACGGGGCGATTAGACCAACCACATCCGGGGAAGACTGTATTCCTACTGATCAAAATGTTGGGGGAATTTAACGTTGTTAATGTAACAATACTCTATACATATTGCTTACAAATTGCCTTCATATTTACGCATTTCTTCTGTACTTTGTATTGAAAAAAGTAACAAACTTTAATAAAAACAAGATTGTCAAAAATACAGGTGAATATCGGTTGATTGGTAATCTATATAAATCACTGGTAACACCACACCTTGAATATGCTGTGCAATTGTGGGCACCTGTTCAAAAGAAGGATATCATGGCACTAGAAAATGTGCAGAGGCGGGTTATAAAAATAAAAGGAATGGAACAATTTAGTTGTGAAGAAAGATTAGCACATTTAAATATGTTTAGTTTAGAATACATGGTAGCATTACACAAATATATTCTGGGCCAACACAAACCATTCTCTGCTTGAAGAGGTGGTTTTATCAGAGTCTGTACATATGTTCACACATCAACTGGATGAAGTGGATAATGGCATAGTTTTACTACAATAAACGACTGTCTTATATTGATTTGTTGACAATGTTTAATTTTCATGATAATGCAAACTTATATCAGCATGGAGCATTGCTGAAGGATTTTATATGGTACAGCAACATGTGCTACTTACAAAACTGAACTTGCATTTTATTGAAGCTTCTCTTTCAGTGCAGTGCTTGTCAACCAATTCTAATTTACTATTTAAATAAATACTGCCATGTACAAAATTACATGGGTATTTGCTTATTCGATGCATCATAGTGGCAAAAATACCAGCAAACAATAGATTCAAATATACCTAACTGATCTAAAGACAGCAGCCAAAATCCGTGCAGGCTGTATATAGTGACAATTTGAAACTATTTTGTTATTCCGATGTTTAATTCTCCAAAAACACCACCATAGCATTTTTGTATGGTAGGTACACTATGGTATAATATACTGGAAATTAACCGTAGCTAAATGTCTTTTCAATGTGGGTGTGCATTTACCAAAAAAACGATAGGTTACCTGTTGAAGAACAGCTTCCTGGGGAAAGGTGAACTCTTTTAGGTCACTCTCGTCATCATCACTGGAGGAGTGCATGTTACGGGTGTTTACCTATGATGGAAGAATGAAAATAACATTTTATGGTATGGTTTGTAATCTATATTGTTGCTGGTTATTTGACACACATTGTCTAGATTAAAATGACGAGAGTAGTGCTTTGCAGTCTATGGACAACACTTCTAGTGCTTTATATCTCCTTGTCAGTGTTATTTTCCCAATTCAAAACAAACTCGCTTGGAATATGGGAAAAGAACTCTCTAGAAGAGTGGGAATACCAGGAGCTGGCTAGGTGACTAATGGCTAAAATACTAATACATAGAGATAAATATAAAAAATATAAATATAAAAATATATATATGGTACTATGCCTTTAAATCTGGAATGGACAAAGTATCCCTATAAATGTGCAAAACTGTGAGTAAAAGTGCTATGAGTGGAGATCTCAAATAAACGGGATATCCCTTTAAATGTGCAAGAATACAAAGAGAATGCTGCTATACCTTTAAATGTCCTTTAAGAGTGTGCAAACATGCAAAGCAGTAAATGTCTCTGATGAAGTAGGGCCCATTCCCTACGAAACGCGTAAGACAGGCATTCCAGCAACACACGGGATCAGACGCATGTACCAGCAGCACCACTAATCTGCACACGCAGGACCTGTTTGGAAAGTACCGCCACCGGAGGCATCTGTCCTGCACGTCCCCTGAAGTGAGGCTCCTGCTCGGGACATGCTCACAGACACAAGCCATCCTCACCGGCAGCTGTATATTGAATCATCACAATCCATATCCATCCTTAACAATCTGAAGGTCCTTGCTGTTATTTTTCAATGCTTCAGTCTGGTAATGCATTTCTGAATCTAGTGTGACGTGTATTTTTATATTTAACTTTTTCCAAAGTTATTTTAATATATTCAATAAACTGGCATTTTTTTCTTATATGAAGTGATCCAGTTTTATGCTTCAGTTTTCCAGCGATATATTGTTTTCATTTTTATTGCCTAAAGCTAACAGTTCCTTGTACTGTATAGCTTATTTTTTACTCCTATCTTTTACTAAGTATATTATTTGCAACAGGTATCATTTATCCCTCATGTTGTTTGGGATATAGACACCAGTTTCATACATATTTTTTGGTCATCCAGCAGAGAATTTGGTCTCTCATCTTTCCCCTTTTTGCATTTTAGTATTTTATATAATAAATATATATATATATATATATATATATACATATATACACACACACACACACTTTTTTTTACCCCCCTTATATAGCACTGCTTTGCATGTTTGCACACTCTTAAAGGACATTTAAAGGTATAGCAGCATTCTCTTTGTATTCTTGCACATTTAAAGGGATATCCCGTTTGAGATCTCCACTCATAGCACTTTTACTCACAGTTTTGCACATTTATAGGGATACTTTGTCCATTCCAGATTTAAAGGCATAGTACCATATATATTTTTATATTTATATTTATCTCTATGTATTCGTATTTTAGCCATTAGTCACCTAGCCAGCTCCTGGTATTCCCACTCTTCTAGAGAGTTCTTTTCCCTTGTTCTATATAGGTTTTTAGCGAATCCCTATCATTACCAGTTTTCGAGCAGCTTAGTGCTAGTCTGTCTCCCTCTCTCCTGTGTGGTATATTAGGTACACCAGAACCGTTCTACTTACCCTATTAATTTCGCTTGGAATATGTTTTACAATTACATGGTCTACAAATTTTTGTTATGTGTAAAGTAAGAATTAAAAAAAAAAACTGAACAAAAACTAAACAGAAATTCTTACAAGGTCCACAGTATTCTTCTTATTGGTGTCTGTAAGGGATCCACTAATGAAATTATCCCACTTCTCCTGCTCTTCCTCTGTGAGATCTAAAGAATGACAAAAAACAAAACAGATTTACATTCATTCAGTTACATGAAACTGAACCCATGAGAGAAAGACACATGGATAACAAGAGAAAGAAAATATGCTATGAAATGCCAGACTTTGTGAGTCACTGCACTGACACTACTTGACGCATTTTTCCCGACACGTTTAATGCATTACATAATGGCAGAACCGACATACAAACTTCACAAGCACAGAGGCAAGCCAGCTACCCTCTGCAAGCGGCTACAAGCACAAGCAATGACACAGGCGCAGAGAAAAAGGGCGGGAAAGGAGCAGGTCCCCCCTGGGAACTTCAAATGCAAAGTGCACACACAGTTACGTATGGAGCCCACTCAGAGGGAAGTCAACCGTGGGATTACCCCTGGAACATCAGCTACAGGTGCGGAAGATCCGACGCTACAGAGGGAGACCCCATGCCAGGATCATCGATAATACCTACACAAGGCAGAATGTTGCCCTCACCAGGAGAAACCGAACCCGCAGTCCGTGGCTGCGGGTCCCTAGGACAGTCCAGGGCCCTGAGGAGGGCTTACCAGAACTTTGCTACCATATCGCCTACAGCCCCCTATGCCCATTACCAAGCCTAGGCATCGGCTAACCCTGGACACTATACCCAGCACTTGTGAGCCGATTCATCTTTGCAGTTGCGGAAACCAGACTGCACTCACAGCCCCACATACCCATCGACTTACCTAACAACCAAGCAACACCATCAGTATCCAGAGAGCATCTAATGCACATACCACAACACAGCGCTCGACAGACTCACGATACCACAATCATACTACACACAGGCCCTGACAACCCCCACGACTACTGATATGGACCACAGACCTATCTAGGATAGTACTGGCAGACAAGACACACTACTATACACACACACACACACCACCACATTGGTACCCATGGCAGACTAAGATAAAGAACAACAGTACAGCCCAAACGACAATAGAGACCAAACATTCACGCGACCATAGCCTGTAACCATTTACCACTATGAGGTACAAACACTAGTTAAGCAGTGTTTAACTCCAAACGATGCCACTTTATTTTTGTATTGCGGTAAGCTAAATATCGTGCTAGTACTGGATCGGAGGTTATAGGAGGTGGGAACAGCAGGGGAAAGCATTCTTCCCAGTTTAGCTCATTTAACATGTCACAGTGGTGGGTAAAGTAATTACATTCTAGTACAAAGCGGCAGAACAAATTGTATAACATATTACATTTATTGAGGTGGGTTTGCGGTGCGGGTGCAGGTGCATACACTACATTCCCATAATCAATGGTTGGCATTAGCATTTGTTACACTGTTTCCTGACTGTAGGGCTTAGGCAGGATTTGTTTCTGTACAGGGCACCTAGTTTTGGGTAAGGTTTTGAAAAGCTGTGAAGGCCAAAGTATAGATTGGTCTAGCAACATACCTAGATATTTAGAAGAGCAGACTTATGTCAGTGTGCTATTTGAATTTGTTCTGATACACAGTTGATTTTGCAGCTTACGTTATTTAGGTACAGTTCCAAAGATCATTGTAACGGTTTTGTCAGTGTTTAGGAAGAGTGTTATCCGCTATCCACTTTTCTACCTCTGTGAATTGGTTTTGGAGCACAGCCTCAAGCTGCGGTAGCTTGAGTTTACTAGCCTAGATTACAGTGTTGTCTGCATACATGTGTATACTTGAGGATTTGCAGACATTAGGCAGATCTTTTATAAATAATGTGAATAGCAGGGGGCAGAGTATGGAGCCCTGGGGAACACCATTCATAACTGGAAGAGGGAGGGAAGCGCTATAAGAAATTGCCACATATTGCAATCGATCGGAAACATACGATCGAAACAAGGTTAGCGGACGATCACCAATGCCGGAGTTTTTAAATTTTTGCAAAAGAATGCCACGGTCTACTGTGTCAAAAGCCTTTGCAAAATCAAGGAAAAATAGCTCCAGTTAAGTCTCCTTGTTCCATGCCAATTTGGATGTCATTGCAAACTTTTAAGAGGGCAGTCGAAGTTGAGTGATTTGGACGAAAGCCTGATCAGGGGGTCAGATAATTTGATCATTGATCATATTCACATAGTTGCACGTGAGCGCATTTTTCCAAGAGTTTTGACAATACCGAGTTTTGAGCAATGATATCGGGCGATAGATACCAAAGTATTGTCACCACTTTTACGGATAGGTACAACTTTTGCAGTCTTCCAAAGTTTGGGTATGTATCCTGACACCAGGGATTCATTGATAAGGGTAGTAACAGGTTTAGCAATTGCTGGCGCGCTATGCTTAAGCAACATTGCTGGGATTTGATCTGGTCCACACTGGTTTTTAGTTTTTAATCATTAAGATGTTTATTAACGACACTAACAGGCACAGGTCTAAAATTGAATTTCTCTATATGAGGATTTTGAAGATTTGGCAGGGCCTGACCTTTTTTGCGGTCTGAAAATGAGTGTCATTTGTTATCTTATCAACCAGGGTGGTAGCACATCCAACATAATTATTAAAGACATTTGCTACATATTGTTGCAGTGTTTGGTTGTCCATTTTGATAGTGGAGGGTTGGGAGTGGATTGTGGGGGTTTGTATGAGATTTATGATTTTCCAGAAGTTTCTTGGGTTTGATAGGTTGTTATTCAAACGGCCACTGAAATATTGGCCATTTGCCATGTTTGTTTTGTGCATGCATTTCGCCATTGTCTATAAGTACAGTGATCGTTCATGGAGCCCGTACGCTTGAACTTTGACCACAGTGAATCTCTAAACTGGTACATTTGAATGAGCGGAGCTGTAAACCAGAGCACGTGTGTCCCTTTTAGTCACACTTTACGCAGAGGGGCATGCAAATTCCAAACGCGCAAGAGCTCGGACTGAATACTCCCAAAGAAAACGTTTCACTTCTCCCTGTCACTTCTATTTCTTGTCTTTACGAATTTTCACTTGAATTGTGCTGCAAATTATGTTGGGGGGGCGCATTCTTGCACCTCTTTTTTACGACAATAGCGCCAACTATTTAAAACAAAAAATGAGTCTCAAATCATCACATTTAACTTTTAAACAGGGTTTGTTTTTTTATGAGAATTGAATGGATATAGCGAATACAGACATTTGTACTATTAAACCTTATATTCACAGAACTCCAAGTGACTTCAGAATCTTGTGAAAATACATTACAGTAAACTATTTGTAATCTTGTTCACCTTTAATCAGCTGTATAACAAGGTTGACATTAGGTCCTTTTTCAGAACTCTGAACCAGTGCATTTGCAATTTTTGTCAGGTGACCCATGAAGCCTTTCCGTCTTCCACCTTCTGACCTTAAGTAACAGAAAAAGGTCTCATTTATTAATGAAGACTTAAACAACAAGTCTGTGCAAATTTTCAACCACTTCTGTACCGTTCATTAAATCAGCATTAAGGCATTGAAATGATTACAACATATTGTACTAGTTATTGTTCAAAGATTCTACTGGTACAGTCACTTCCAAATTTGGATAGAGAATGAAACAAAATCCATTGTTACCTTGGCAGGCATTGGATAATGGGAGAACACAGTGTCTTCCTCAACTGGCTCTAAAATTGGTTTGACAAAAGTTGGAAAGACTGCTTCCCAAGATTTATTGCACCATAAACATTACAATAAGTAGCATAGGTTACTCATTTCTTTAATGCATTTTATGGACAAAAATAAATTTTTAAAAAATGAAACCACTTTATACCCCTTCCCTCTTCATTCCCCTCCCCCCACCCCCCCACCCCCATTTTCTTTTTTTTGTTCTTCAAAATTTCTTTAACCTCTTTCCAGGATCCGTTACCTAGAGTCACTTCCAAATCCGTTTCAGGCATGCACTTCACTTTTAAAGTATTATGCATGATCCTAAATAACGTAGTGAATAATAAAAGAAGCAAACACAAACAAAAAGGTTACTCCCTTTTAAAGGAATACTCCAAACACCAAGATGCCCAGAGTGCCCTCCCCATCATAAGTAGTCAAACTGTTTTTGAATGACCCAACTTTTTACATGGATTGGCCAGATGACATTTTCAAGGCCTCCTCTATTGAAGCTGGAGAGCGAGACGTTCCCAATCAGTAACTTGCCCGAGTGTCCGCTTAAGAATTTCTGGCTTTCCATCTGAAGCAGTGGAGATGGGGAGGGGCTGAACCTGGGTACAAAATCAAACCATTTAAAACAGTTTGACTTATGAAAATGGGTAGGGCACTCTGTGCATCATGTCTATCTCTAAACACACACATAAATATAGAAAACACTTACTGTTCTTTTTCATTTTCCTCCCACGCTGAAAGTGTTCTATGGAAAAGTCGACATTTCTGTAAAAGCTGACAAGGATTATGAGTTTTAAGAGTGCTACCGAGTAATACATGTAACAAATACAAAATTACACTATAGTAATACTTTTTCAACATTTGATTTCTCTTTGTCATTTTCAAATGTTCTTAATATTCTAAAATACTTTTGTTTACCATGCCCTATTTGAGGAAAATGAATAGATATTGCAAGGGATGTTCTAGGTATAATTTTTACCAGCATGAAAAGAACAAGAAACTTACACCCCCATCCACCCTAAAAAAACACTTCAACACTGGCTGAGATAGCTTAGCTAGTTTCAGGGCTGTCCTAGGCATTGCAACTTTTAGACTATTTAACAAGTTTGCTATTTTATATACCGTATTTCCACAAAATGTGTTAATGCATTATGTAAAGTGCCACCCAAAAGCCATCTTGGGTCAATGCATTTTAGGTACATATTTTTCCCCATATCCACTTATGCCAGTCTCTGAATTGCACATCTACGGTTTCTTTCTATACAGGCAGAACACAAATTTTCCTTACATATTTAACGAGCGGGTTTACTTGTTCATCAGTTTCGTTGGTTTCTTCAATAGGTGCAGAATTTAAAATCGTGTTGATGCAAAGTTCTACTTGTGAATGCAGGAAATTATTGTACACATATTTGAAATAAAGATCCTAGAAAATAGAAAGGTATAAATAAAATTAGATGTATATTAAGTCATACGTTCTTAGCAAAACCACAATTTTGTATAGCTCATCAGGTGAACCATTTAAGCTAGACATTTTTTTATTTCCGGTCATAGGTGCTTATAGGACAGACTTATTCACATGTCACACCTCCACATAATTTCAAAACCACCCACCCAAACACGTGGTGGTCAGAAAACATCCAGATCAATTCAATATCGTTAGCTAGTGTAACTTTATAAATACTAATGTATCGATGCAATGAGCATGTCACAAAAACATACCATCCAAAAAAAAAAAAAATGCAAATAGACACACATAGTATAGAAAGGCAGATAATCATTCAGACCATCTAGTCTGCCCAATTTCGTCAATACTTTCATTAGTCTCTGGCCTTATCTTTTATCTAGGATAGCCATGTACCTATCCCACACATGCTTAAACTTCCTCACTGTTTTAACATCTACCACTTCAGTTGGAAGGCTGTGTCCAATACCCTCTCAGTAAAGTAATACTTCCTGGTATTTTTAAACACCTCCCCTCTAACGTCCTCTTGTTGTGGTAGTTTCTCTTTTAAATCTAGTCTCCTTTTCTGTGTTGATCCTCTTTATACATTTAAATGTTCTAGTCTTTCCTCCAAGCTATACATGTTAAGATCCTTTAACATTTGAAAAATTTGAGAGGTATTGGAAGAAGGATTATATACTCCATTTGATGGGTACAGGCAAGGAAGTTTTTTGGTTTAAAAAAAAAAAAAAAATTCTATACACTGTTTTGAGTTTCTCCACTTTACATGAACACAAGAGGCGGCATTATACAGACTGGTATGATTTTACCATTTTTTACCATCTTGTGAGTGAAATTTACACAACTAAACAAGCAATATTGAGCAATACTACGGTGTTTGCATTTTTTCTGTAGAGAGTGGTATGCTTTTATATTCATTTTTAAAGTTTGGGAGGAATTTTCAGCTCTAGAGATTTCTGAATCTAAAAGATTAATTTGTCCTTTATACATTTTCCGCTGGTGTTCACAAGGTGTTTGGTTATATTGTTGCTCATGTGATTAAGTTAAGGATTGCATCTATGGGGTGTGAGATGAGAGCGCTTATGAAAGGAAGATAATTTTGAGACAAATATAACCCTTTTACACTTACCAATATTACATTGAGGGTGTCTAGGTCAATCAATTCTTGGTTTAATGCTTTGTTGTTTGCGTTAATTGCACTTGCAAGTAATTTCACTACATGGAGACGTGTGTTTCCCAAAGGTGGATCAAGGACTCCCCAAGTGGTCTGCAAGGAGTATTTCTGTACAAGAAGGAAACATAAAATGGTGTTATTTTTTTTGGAGGTTGGGGGGGTGCTTATCCAGACATCAAAACTGTATGCCTAAACAGCTTGAAGTACCTACGCCCTAGCGCAACATTAGAGGCAGAGAGTACATCTCAGTCTGAAAATGCCTAATGTTTTGTAAGGTGCTAAAAGCTGACCAAGAAGCAGCCATGCTGATTTTTTCAGGTGAAGCAAGAGCTTTTCTCTGCCCACAAAGTGGCCATGGCCTTTGTGGAATGCACTGTGAAAGACGCTGGCGAATCAAAACTACTAAAGCATAGGCCATATGATTGACAAAATAACGAGAAATAGAATTAGGAGAGGCTTCATTCCCCTTAAAACTTTCCTAGAAGTTGACAACAGGTGATCTGATCTTCTGATTTTGGCTGATATTGATAGGTACATCTGAAATGCCCTTTTTTTTTTTTAACTCTAGAATATGCCATCTAGTTCCAGCGGGGAGGTGGCATAATTATAGAGGATGAGCTTTTTAATGGCTCTAAAAAGATAACTCTGTAAGATTTGAAGTTTTAGCATGAAACAACTTTCACCCTGATGGAATATAAGACATTCCACTGAACAAGATATATCCTGAAGCTCACTTACTCTCTTGGCAGGGGTAATGGCCATTAAGAATGCTGGTTGAGCTTTAGCATATTAAAAAGGAACCACCTACAAAGTAAAAGGTGACCTGAAAGACTGAAGAAAGATCCCAGGAGGGAAACAGAGCTTCCTGGGTGGCCTATTGCTTTAAAGAAACTTCTAACCAATATATACGAAGATCAATCCCTTCTCAGAAAGAATTTAGGGAATACAATTTGGTCTTAATGTGAAAACACCCAACCTGTGGAAAACGTCTGAAGGAAGTGTAAATTTGAACCAACCGGACAAATTAACTAGAAGACAATGACAATTCCCAAATCCTCATGTAAAGGTTAGAGGCGGAACGGCTAGAAGATTATACGCAACAAGAGGACTCTGACTCATGAAGATGCAGGAGATGAAGAATACACCATGCAGTGCCCTACCGTCAATAACCTATTCAACAGTTCTAGTAGGATATCCTGTCTTCCAAAAGTGTTTTCAAGATTCGGAAGATCCCCAAACTTGAAAGTCATCTCCACCAAGGCCAAAAACTGGCTCGTGTTTGGCCAGTACGGAAAGATTGGCAGAACCAATGTTCTGTCTGTTACCTCTTTGAAGAAGTTTTGGAAACAGTCTATAGGAGAAAAAAAATGTAAGCCCAGAGAAATACCCTTAGATAGATAGTTGATGTTGGATAGTTTGTCTGTCCTGTACAGAGAGGCAAACCTGAGAGTCTTCAGGTTCTCCCTGTTTGCTAAACGGTCTATCCGGGCACTCAAAATCTCTGTAGACCGTGAACATGATCGGATCTACAGACCCTTACTCTTGATTCAAATTTCTTGAGCTGAGGTTGTAAGTGATGACCTTGCTGACACATAATTGGAATGGAGAGAGGAACTCCCAGAGATCCTGAGCCCAGTACACAGTTTTGGTACATGGCTAAAACAGACGTTGCCTCTGGCACTGCCCTGTCTGTTGATGTGAGGGAAACCGTATTGTGATCTGGCCGCATTGTAATAGGTCCAATCAACCAACCAAGATCTGAATCGGTGAGGGGAGTGAAGAACTGCCTTAAGAGCTCTGAAATTGGTGGACTATTTTTGTGGGTAGACTGGTGCTGGGTCTAGATTTTAGATGTCTTAAGAAGAGGTAAATAAATTTTCACCAGACACTAGAAATAATCGAAAGACGCTTCTCTTCGGTACCTGCGGAACATCTCAGGCAGAGCAGCTGATACACTATTTGATTCTCTATAAGAATTCAAGATGGGAATGATTGCATATTCTCTGCTTAATTTTAACCAAGAAATTGCAGCACCATGGTCCTATTTATAAACCCCAGAACCATATTAAGAGGAGTAGCACAGATACAATAAGCAAAAGCCAAGTATAGCAGAGGCATTCCACGGTGTCCATCTTGCAGATACAGTCCACTTTCTGCAAAACAATTCCATCCATAACTTGCAGTTTTAAATCAGAATAGATTTTCAAGGGAAAGATCAGCTAATCTTATGATACGGGGAACCCTTCTGACAAGCTTCCGGCTGCCAGAGAGAACAGCATAGCGATCCGCACTCTGAGGTTTCCCGGAAGTTCTGGTTTGCGCATGCATAATAGTGCACCTGGAACTGGTGTAATGCACCACCACCCGGGGTATTATTTCAGGCCAATCCAATGCTTAGACAAGTACTGAGGACCCATTTGTGTGAGGAGGATTAACTTTCAGCAACACCAAACATGAAGACTCAATAATTTGGCATTGGAATGTAGATTAATCACTGTAATGTCACACACTTGATGCATGTGTGGGACTGCTGAACAAATGTAAGACTGCTCGCTCATTAGGTATTCCTGCGTAGGTGCCAGAGACTTGACTGGGCAGTGAGTTCACCCACAAAGCATGAGGACAGCAGAGGCGCACAACCTTTTTTTTTTAACCCTACCTCTGCCGCTTTATTTAGCCCAATAAAAAAAAACAATGTAGTGTTTACGGTTAAGGAAACAAGCAACTGTCACTACCAGTCAAGCAAGACTTCAACCTTAAGTAAACTGTTAGTTGTTTGTCTGTGTTGCTCCATGTATTCTTCTCAAATGGAAGTTCTTTGTAATCTAGACATTCCTAACTCCTTCAGGACAAGTTGGTCAGAAAATCCTATATTATGACACTGTCGTGAAAGGGTTAAACCAGAGCAAAAAGTTACCAAAAATAAATTTCCAACTCATCTTTTTGGAAAGTTGCCGAGAATCTTGTCAGCCTAGAAGATTTTGTACCAGAAAATAAATTGCCATAAAGCAATTCAAGGACAACACAGACAGTAATGTGGAGGCACTGTAAGATATTTTTATGTTTTACTGGCATCTTTGTTAAACCTAGGAATTTAACTTTACAGACAAAAACTCCAACACAGACATTGTGCATGGACCAGCTCTTATTTCATTAGTTGCAGTCTCACCAATAGGTCTAAGTAAATAATCAAGTACAGAGCACCTTAAACTGACTGGTAGCAAAAAACAGACAAGATAAAAGAGGGGGAGAGCTTTACAAGACATGGAAGGTTGATGGAGATGTAATGCTTCGAATAGAAAGGGTTCCTTGTTGGTATTCATTGATCAACTAAATACACAATTCTGTTATAAGAAATATATGAGAATACAAATTTTAATTTCAAGACATTGTTCTTACCGTTGGTGGATCAACTAGGAGTTTATGAAAGTCGCACAAATGCTGCTTAATAGCAAGCAAAGTGTCTAAACTGGCTTGAGTGTTAGAAGACGAGTCCATACCAGGAGGGTTGATCTCCAACTGGCCTTCCAGGTTACAATAGAATCCACTCAATCCACCAAGTTCAGCCCTGCACGGCAAGAAGAGCAATATTTAGAAAACAAACGCAAAGTATATTACAATTAATGAGAAAGAAAATTTATTTTGGGAAATCACAACTGCTAGGTATACTGCATGAAATACACACTGTGGGTATTTAGATTAAAAAGGACATGGCCAACATGATTAAAGATTTACCCCATCAGAGGGAAGGTCTACTTATCTCATTAAAGAGCACTGTCATGCCAAACTTACCTTTCCACAATCACTTCATCTTCTCTTCCTCTCTCAGGATCAGTTCTTCTTTGATTCCTGTCTGAAGTAGTTTTCTTTAAAAACATAAGACAAAGTAGGGACTACTCTGTCTTATGGATTTTTCCTAAGCATGACCAGCTTTGACCAAAGGAGGAGCACGCTCCATTTCCTATGGTCAAAGAAATGTTATCACAATACTTCTTCCGGGATCTCGCAATGCCTCCTTTCACTATTCCCGAACGTCCTGTCATATAGACAGAGTGCCGGCGAAGCTACCAAATTTTATTCTAGCAGAATAAGTACACTTTGTCCACTCATGTTAGAACAACATTCTGCACTTTTTTTCGTTTGAATCAGAATTTAATTCTAATGAACTGACATTCCAATCCTATTCGTGCTGCGGCTGCATCTTGCAGCCACTTAGTAGATAGTTACCCAATACCGTGGGAACTAGGGAGCTATCTAATAAAAGGCTGAAAGAGCAAAATTGGTCTTTTATCCTACTTTACTAATACTAAGTAAAGATTACCTAGTATTCTTAATTTAGGGAGATTTAAAAGAAGCAAAACACGGATGCGGCCATGACAGTGCCACTTTCACCCCTTAAGGACACGACATGTGTGACATGTCATGATTCCCTTTTATTCCAGAAGTTGGTCCTTAAGGGGTTAAGCAGTCAATAGTAGGCTCATGCACCTGAAATTGTGAATGAAACCAATGGCAGTAACGGCTTTAAAGCTTAACTTTAACAATTTGAAATCCAATATGTTCTCTTAAGAACTAAATGAACTGATTTAAGGAATTCATTAAAAACTTTGGGTTAAACCTACCCTCCAACCTTAAAGGGAAACTATAGTGCCCGGAAGGGATGGGGAATTTTTTTTTTTTTTTCCATTAAAAAAAAAAAAAAAAAGAAATAATTACCATTGCAGAGTTAAGCGACCTGAGGCAGTGCACCCAGACCACTTCAATGAGCTGAAGTGATCTAAGTGCCCTCCAGTGTCCCTTTAACCCCTTAAGGACACATGACATGTGTGACATGTCATGATTCCCTTTTATTCCAGAAGTTTGGTCCTTAAGGGGTTAATAAAGCCTGCAACATCAATTTCTCACCTCTCGTCAGATTAAGTTGGACCATCAAGTGCTCAAGATGAATATATGTACCATGCCTCTTATTTCTCTTGCAAACTTTACCTGTTCTTATACCTCGTCCATTATTCACACCGATAGAAAACACCTTTATTTCCTATGTGTGGCACAACCACAAGCCTAGACTAAATCTCCACCTTCAAACACAACCAAAAAACAGGGGTGGAGTGAGCCAACCCAACATTGCCCTTTACCATAAAACAATTAACTGACAAAGAGTGATTGAATGGACCATTGCTTACACTCTGGATAGCATTGGAATCAGACTTTGCGGGGACCCCTGTCTCCCACCTCACTTAAGAACCAAACAACCAACCATCCAACGGTCTCATCCACACTTGGGATCTAGTCTAGATGCTTTAAAATACACTGTTTCTTCCAACCTAGCCCATGTAATTAGGGGACTTTTAAACTTCTGTGCGCTAATCCTTTCTGTACAAGTTATGGTCTGAAAAATGTTATGTATTCATAACAAAATGGTTTGGCTCGGTAAATAAAAAAAGTTGTACACACACACTACATGTATGGAGAGTAAGTCATATAGACTGGCTTCTCGCTCAATGGCAAATTAACAATTGCACCCTTCCAATGACGTACAGCACGAACTGCTCCAGTGCTTAAAGAGATTAACCATAGCGCTTAACATGCCTCTAAATTTCTTACTAAGTGTTTAATTATATGTAACCTACTCTCAGATAGGGCTCACAGTCTACCATGATAAGAGAGTCAGAAGGATGTTAAATCAGACATTAAATGCCATAGCACCCTGGAATTCAGTAGACGGATAACACCATGCTCACGGTTAACCCAAGTAAAGTCAAAGTAGCCCCTACTTTTCCTCATATATTTTAAGAAAAATAGATTAAAAAGAAAAGAAAGAACAGATTAGAAGTAAGGAAGAGAAGAGGAACAGGTTGAAGCAAAGCAAGTATAGGGTGACCGTCACTTTAATTTATCTCCCTGTTTAAATTAATTCAAGCGTAGCAGAGAGCAAGCACACAGATTAACCATAGCGCTTAACATGCCTCTAAATTTCTTACTAAGTGTTTAATTATATGTAACCTACTCTCAGATAGGGCTCACAGTCTACCATGATAAGAGAGTCAGAAGGATGTTAAATCAGACATTAAATGCCATAGCACCCTGGAATTCAGTAGACGGATAACACCATGCTCACGGTTAACCCAAGTAAAGTCAAAGTAGCCCCTACTTTTCCTCATATATTTTAAGAAAAATAGATTAAAAAGAAAAGAAAGAACAGATTAGAAGTAAGGAAGAGAAGAGGAACAGGTTGAAGCAAAGCAAGTATAGGGTGACCGTCACTTTAATTTATCTCCCTGTTTAAATTAATTCAAGCGTAGCAGAGAGCAAGCACATATATGGCACTTTCAAACCACATAAGAGGAAGGGATAATGGACTGATGATGTTCTGGACACACAAGTGCTGCAGAGATGAATTTGCTTTATAAATTACCTCTTCTGCACTTCATTAACGTTTACTAGCGTGAGGGAATGAGGAACGGTCATTTTCAGTAAAGTGAATTAATTTTTTTTGTTTAAATAAAAGAAAAATAGGTGTTCGCTCAACTTTCCTAATGTTCATCACATGTATTTTTATTTTTTATAACGTAATGTTTTTAGAGGGACTATGTACGAATTAAAAGCATGTGAAATAAGAATCTAGATTACAAAATAACATATAGCACAACACAGCCACTATAATTTAAAAAGCACCCTAGTACATGCCCTGTGATATGAGTGGCACTACTAACTGTTCTACTACTAAAAAAAAAACAAAAAAACATTTTACTATGGTTTGAAACCTACCTCGGTCTACGAGGCTCCAGAAGAGTCAAAAGCACTTGAATGCCGTGAACAATTACAGATTCGTTGTGTTCTCCTTCAAACATGTTACTTAGGAGCTGCTCAATTGTTTCCTGCCTTTTTGGAAGAAAGGAAAAATATTTGTTTTTACAATGCACTGTGCAAAGGTAAATACATTCTAAGCACCAAGGCACGGAGCTTGAACATTCAAAAATACAAAGAAATAAGGGTTTGTACTTTTTTGTGTAAATCAGATCCATAACACAAAAAAGGTTGGATTTGTTTAGCAGGGATGGATAATATATGGTGGTCATGCACCCTTGTAGATACTTGGAAACAACTAATATGAATGTGACTAATTATGGGTCACAGTTAACAAAATGCCTACTAACAAAACCCAAAAGCCTGACAACACCACTAACTCCAGTAGTAGCTACAGAGCGTTGAGGGGATAAATTGAATGAAAACATTAATAACATCCATTAAACAAAGATCAGAAAACACATGTAGGCACATTAACAATCTGATCTTACAGCACAGTGTTTACTTTATAAGCTCTCATCTCCCGCTCTATTAATTGAACAAACACTGTAAACTGCTGTATGATCTAGGATGCTATTAACAGAGCAATATATAAGAAATTCTAAGTTAAATAAACACACTGTGCAATAAGGGAAGTTTAAAGATTAGACCTCTTTTTAAGGAAGTGTGTAGGGAGGTTGTGAGAGTCTCAGCCAGATGAGGTGTGGCTAGGACTGCAGAAACAGAAAGACCTAATGGCAGTAAATTGAGCAGTGTGCATGCAGTGGCATTATCTATACACTAAAATATCTTCATTAAGTTAAAGTTCTTTCGTTGCTCAAATTGTCCTTGTAATATGTGAGTTAGTATATAGATACACAGTGAAATTCCCAGGCCACCGCACTCCAAGTGGTAATGTCACCTCTGGGTTTCTTTAGACAATATGCAAATATCCATTAAGTTGACAGTCATTTAAAGAATAGTGTTGATGTCTTATGAGGACATATGAACATTTGCAATTATGCTTAAAGGAACACTATAGTCACCTAAATTACTTTAGCTAAATAAAGCAGTTTTAGTGTATAGATCATTCCCTGCAATTTCATTGCCCAATTCTCTGCCATTTAGGAGTTAAATAACTTTGTTTCTGTTTATGCAGCCCCAGCCACACCTCCCCTGGCTATGATTGACAGAGCCTGCATGAAGAAAAAAAAAAAAAAAAAAATACTGGTTTCACTATCAAACAGATCTAATTTACCTTAAATAATAGTATCTCAATCTTTAAATTGAACTTTAATCACATATAGGAGGCTCTGGCAGGGTCTAGCAAGCTATTAACATGGCAGGGGATAAGAAAATCTTAAACAGAACTTGCAATAAAGAAAGCCTAAATAGGGCTCTCTTTACAGGAAGTGTTTATGGAAGGCTGTGCAAGTCACATGCAGGGAAGTGTGACTAGGGTTCATAAACAAAGGGATTTAACTCCTAAATGGCAGAGGATTGAGCAGTGAGGCTGCAGGGGCATGTTCTATACACCAAAACTGCTTCATTAAGCTAAAGTTGTTCTGGTGACTATAGTGTCCCTTTAACGTCAAACAGTCCAATTCAGCCAGACTTTCACCTTTAAGACTAAATACATTTCTTACATTTAGAGTACAGATTGTAATGTGTTAGTGTCCCATTTTAATTCGTTAACCCCTTAAGGACTGGACTGTTTTTAGCGATGTTGTACATTTGCGACCAGGTATCTTTTTACACTTTTGTGGTGTTTGTGTTTAGCTGCAATTTTCCGCTCTCTCATTTACTGTTCCCATACAAGTTATTTATTTTTTTCCAGGACAAAAGGGGCTTTCTTTACATACCATTATTTATATAATCTCATGTATTTTAATTAAAAAAAAATAAATGATGCAAAAAGGAAAAAAAAAAAAAAAAATGTTTTTTTACTTTTACTTGAAAAATCTTTTACTCATCTACAAAAGCGAATGAAAAAAAAACTGCTAAATAGATTCAAAATTTTGTCCTGAGTTTAAAAATACCCAGTATTTACGTGCTTTTTTTTGCATGTTATAGGGCTATAGGTACAAGTAGGATATTGCGGTTTCAAAACATAAATTTTTTAAATTTATCAATAGTGACATTGTAACACTATTATCGGTCAAATCTCTAAATAACACCCCACATGTACATATTTTTTTAAAGTAGACAACCCGGGGTATTCAATATGGGGTATGTCCAGTCTTTTTTAGTAGCCAATCAGTCACAAACACTGGCCAAAGTAAGCATTCATATTTGTTTGTGTGTGAAAAAAGTACAAAAAAAATCAATTGAACGCTAATTTTGGCCAGAGTTTGTGACTAAGTGGTTACTAAAAAAGACTGGACATACCCCATTTGCAATACCTTGGGTTGTCTTCTTTTGCAAATGGTATGCCATCATGGGGGTAATTCTCATTCCTGGGCTACCATACGCTCTCAAAGGCAACGTAACCAACCTGGCCATTTTCAATGTAAAAATATTTGACCCATATATTTGACCCTGTAACTTTCAAAAATGCTATAAAATCTGTACATGGGGGGTACTGTTTTACTTGGGAGACCTCGCTGAACACAAATATTAGTGTTTAAAAACTGGAAAACGTATCACAATTATATCATCAGTAAAAATGCTGTTTGTGTGTGAAAAATGCAAAAAAAGTAACTTTCACTGACAATATCATCGCTGTGATATGTTTTAATGTTTTGAATCACTAATATTTGTGTTTGGCGAAGTCTCCCGAGTAAAACAGTACCCCCCATGTACAGGTTTTATGGTGTCGTAGAACGTTACAGGGTAAAATACAGTGCTAGCAAATTAAATTGTCTGGAATTTCGGCAATTCCCTCAAATTGCAATCAATAAATTTACTTATTACATAAATACGCACGTAGAATTTAAATATATGCATATTTATATATTTGAAGTCTACGTGTATATTTATATAATTATTTATGTAATTTGGATATGGACATATGTATATTTCGTATTATTTTTATTTATTTATATATACAAATTCATTCTAAGTGTATTTTGATATATATATAAATTTTAAAATACAGTTAGTATAAAATTTCATAAAGATAAAAATTGTTAAATTTTTTTTATATTTTATATCTTTTATATTTTATAATATAGTTATATATACACACACACACACACGTGTAATTTAATTATAAGTGTATTTTTATATTAATATAAGTACATATTAATCTAAAAATACACTTAGTATGACATGACATTATATAGCTATAATATATGTCTCATATATACACACATATACACATATATATATATATATATACACACACACACACACACACACACACACACACACAGTTAATAAAAATAAAAAAAATTAACTTTAATTTTATTTTACAGGGAGACTGCCTGTCAGCACAGACAGTCCCCCTGCAGGCAGACACATGGACACCTATTGTGACCATGTGATCGCTGTGTTGAGCAATCACATGGCCACAGGGGTCCTAATCCAGTGTGGGGAGACTGTCTGGGCTGCAGGTAGTCTCCCCACAACGGGAACGACGGTGATCAGGTAAGTAACTCAGACTGTTAGGACGGTTCAGGACCGTCAGCGGTCGGCAATGGGAAAATGCCGATGACTGTCCTGAACCATCCTCGGTCCTTAAGGGGTTAAAGGTGAATTCATCTTTTATTCCCTCTGATATTTTTTCCTTTCAGTTTTGGCAGGGAGGTAGTATCCACCCTTACCAAGCACGTGGTTAAGTGTGTAATAAAAATATAAATTTTTAGGCATTTGTTTTTGTTAAACCCATTTTAAGCATTTCCCCCCCATACTACGGAAACCATGTAAACGAACATAAAACAGATGCGTTAACATTTAGAACTAATCCAATAAATAAATAAAAATAATAGAAGTTTGTGCACATTGTGTGCATGAATTACTTTTCCAAAGTAGCCAATAATTGATCTGGTTCTGGACTGTCCTGAATCTGGATCATTTGCTCCCGGCTCAGACGAATGATATCACACAGGGACTGGGAAGCATTGGAATGTTGCTGGGGTTAAAGAAAAAAAAAAATGAACATTAAAACGGAAAATTAGAGAGAAATTAAAAAAAAAAAAAAAAAAAAAATTGTAATTAATAGTATTGCAGCAATTTGTCCAGATGGCACAACATTTCTGTTTGTATTCAAATACAAATTTGCATCTCTGTCATTTATTGCACCAACACATATTATACATTGTTTTTTTTTAGAGGGCTGTAAACAGGGCTTTAATTTGATGTCACATATACATAGGTACATTCTCATTAATTATATAAAAATGCCAAAAAAGTGGGGGAAAAAAAAAACTAAACAAAAAAAAAAACTTTTCACAGTTTTGGCAATAATAGGGTGTGCATAATATGTCCAGCTTAGAAAAAGTAATTCACAATAAATTCATTTATGGGTCTTGATTTATAGAGTACATAATATGTATAGGATTTCAGCTTATTTTGAAAGCTACAGGTCACAAAATACATGGACTAAAATAAAATTTCAATTTGCAACAATTTTAGAAGTTGGTGTGTTTGTCTTGTAGGTTTAGTAGCCATCACAGAAATCAAAATTGCCACACAAAAGTATATATTTTTATAAAGTAGACATCACAGGCTATTTACCTAAGGTTAGTTTGACACTTTATGTAGCCATTTCATCGCCAATCTCTGCTAAATATTGGAGTAAAATTGTGTTTTCTTTATTTTGGCATTTATACATAACAAGGTTTTTGTAATGTGTTTCGTAAAGTTGGTGTGTGCTATTCATCCATATAGTGTCCAGCTACATTTGCAGAGTATAACGATAACCCCATTGTATGTCTTTGGCACTATTCTGTAAAGCTACAATGCAATATAAAAAAGAGACAAGGCTATTTCAGTTTCTATAGTTAGAATTTCTATAGATGGATTTGACGGGCCTATGTCTCATTTTAGGGTATTATAGCAGTGTGACTGTTCAATTAACCCCACAAAAGGACTTTCATTTGATAAAGCAGACACCGCAAGGTATTTGATATGGTGTATATAGTGCCTTAACTTGTCACAATTTTTTCACCAATTTATGTCAATGTTTGTGGTGGTGGGGTGGGCGGAGATGGCATTTTTACATATATGTTGCATTTTTGCTGAGTATTTCTTACACTTAATATGTACCACTGTCATAAAAAATCCCCAAATTATACTCCGTTACATCTTCTGAGTAAAACAATATGCCCAATGTATGACCTAGACACTATTTTGTTAAGATACAGTGCTGTAAAAGAGACATGACAAGTTCAAGTTTTTAAGTGTGAATTTTCATGGAGGGTTTTGATGCGTCCGTGTCCCACTTTGGAGCACTTGAGCAGGCTACAAATTACAACTACACCATAAAGGCATATCATTTCTTAAAGAAGACATCCCAGGGTATTTCAAAAGGTATATTTTGAACCTTGGCTTGGGATCATTTTTCCACTAGTTTGTACCAAGTGTAGTGGCAATAAGCATTTTTTATGCCTTTATGACACACAAAGTGAGTTTGCACAGTATATTTTGCAAATTGTATGTGTGCTACGACTGTGTAATACTACATTTGTTGCTCAGCTATGTCGTCTGAGTACAGCAATACTCCGTATGTACCTTTGCCAGGTATATGTGGATGTTGAAGAGGCACATTTGAAACACAGCCAGTTTTTTTTCTAACTTTGAAGTTTTACGCTATGTCCATGTTCCATTTTGGAGAAGTTTAACTTCCCCACAAACACATACTATTTATTAAAGAATACACCCTGAGGTAATTCAAAAGGCGTATTTTGAACCTTAGCTTAGGATAATTTTTTTCTCTCGTTTGTTCCAGGTCTAGTGGTAATGATCATTTTTAGAAGTATTTTTTTTACTTATTAAAATTTTTCTTACAACTTTCCAGATTTATTTATTTTTATAAGTTTTATTACCGTTAACCCCTAACTAGCAGTAAGCAGCACTAACCATAAATTCCCCAATTTACCATAGCTCCCACCCACCCCAGCTAGCAAAATAAATAATTTAAAAATATTTAAATTAAACACCTGAGGGTTAAAAAGAATAATAATAATTTTAACCCTAAGTGGTAAAAAATGTAAAAAAATAAAATAAAAAAAATCGCATCACAATATAATACTGTGATCTGTAATTTGATCACTGTAGGTAGTGATCAACTAGCAGTGAAGGGGTTAATTTTTTTATTAGGACTAGGTAAAGGAAGGTGGGAATTTTTTTTTTTTACGTTAACCCCTAGCTAGCATAACACCAAATTCCCCACTAACTTCCATCCACCCCAGCTAAATACATAATTTTAATAAATAAAATTGGCAGGTGTTAAAAATAAATAAATAAGATCACAGTAAAATGTAGTCCCAGCCAGTTGGTCACTGTAGTCAGTGATCAATTGGCAGGGAAGGGGTTAATTTTATTAAAGCAGGGGTGGGATTTTACTATAACTTTATTTAATTTTTTTTACAGGGAGAAGATATCACTGATCCGTCTCCCTGCACTTCACACAGACCTCGGAAGAGCAGGGAGGCGGATGGTGAGTCTCTGCAGCACATGTGCTCGCTCTGACAGCCTGTCAGAGTGATCACTGCTGCAGGGGCAGCGCGATCGGGTGCTCCTGGTCTGCCTCTAAAACAGTATTTTTCTGTGTACGCTGTTCCTTTAATTGTATTTTGCATATGTTTTGGTCTTTAAGGCAGCACCATTGCTTTGACATGCATGTTCTGTGTGTGCCTCAAACTCCCTTGTTTAACCCTGCAATATAAACATGGCAGTTTCTACAAAATTAACATGTTTTACATTGCAGGGTTAAATCTACAGAACCAAGACCAATTCTTGCACCAAGACCAATTCACAGATGACGTTGTCTGGGTGAAACTTCGTGTGTGACTGCAGAGGATGGGTGTTATGGGTCACTCCCGATCCCTAAACACCTTTAGCTTGCTAAAAAGCATTATGTGTGAACAGTGTGTCCTCTTCATTTTGCAACTAGTGCAGATTTCAATTACCTTGGTTACACCTCCTTGGTTTTCAAGCACACAACAGGTAATGTTACTTCCTGATTTTGTTTGAACTCAAAAGGCAGCAAATGCCCAGAGCTCCTTACTTACAAAGACTTCTCATTGAGCTGTATTGGGAAGTCTGTGGTTGGACAGCCACAGAAAGTCTAGGCAGTGTTAGAAGGAGAGGGTTTGCAAATGCAGAAGATAAGAGAACTGCAGGTTTTGTAAGCTGATTTTAGATATATCTTCAGTGAAAAACAAAACATGATACGCATGTAAGTTTTCATTTGGGGTATATCTACTAAACCGTGATTTTTATTTATTTTGAATTTGGGCAATGGAGTGTCCATCTAAGCAACTCTAAAGGTTTGTAAGCAGAACAGAGGATGGTGTCCATAGAATAAAAAGACTATAATCACTACAATGAACTGTAGTCGGTATGGTGTTTCTTAAAGGAACATTCAAGACCATTAAAGCACTTCATCTTGGTGAACTGCTTTGTGTGTGAAGAATGCATCTTTTTCATTTTACAAAAAGTGCAAATTTCAATAGAAATGGCCACTTTGGGCGTGGCCTGGACAAGCATGGTGCAGGACGCACGGTAAAGGAGCTCCGCACCCGAGGCAGAGAAAATAAGCGATAACCAGCCCATACTCGGAGCGCAATGGTCCGGAACAAGAAGCGGTCAGTACCGGGGACGTAGCTAACAAACTGCCCGCGGCGGAATACGGGCCCGATGGAGGATTTCCTCACAATGCCGGCGGAGTAGAGGCTCCCTTACTGCAGACAAGAGGCGCCAGCCTCTCCGGAATCGGAGAGCACGGGGGACTCCCTATCCGGAGCTGACTATGCAGGGGCCCTCTCACACATAAGAACAGAGCTCACGCAGATATCGCAGCAAATTATGTCTAAAGCAGACAGGGGTACCCTAGTTCAGGAGCTGCGCGCAGCCTTCAGGGAAGAAATGGCGGGCCTGCGCTCTGACCTGACCATGTTGGAACAGAGGGTGGAGGAAGTGGAGGCGGCGGCCCAAGACAGCGAGCAGCAGCACAGGGCGACAGATAGCTATGACCAGACAGGGCAATATGCTGATAACCCTCCGCAGGCAAGTAGAGGATTTAGAAAATAGGAGCCGTTGCCACAATAGTCGCATACGAGGCCTGCCTGAGGGGGACACAGATCCCATACAGACCACGCTGGGTGCCCTATTTAAAACAGATTTTGAGAGCAGAAGCACCTGAGGACATCAGGCTTGAACGCGCGCACAGAGCACTGGAGCCGCCGAGACAAGATGGCAACCCCAGGGATGTGATCTGCTGTTTCCACCTCTATAGCCTAAATGAAAAAATCATGGCCGCCACAAGAGGGACGCCCTCCATCCTGTTCCGCAGCACAGAGGTGACTCTTTCAGGATCTCTCTGGCTTGACACTCGACACCAGGCGAGCACTACGCCCAGTGACCAGCGCCCTGAGAGAGCGGAGGATCCCATACCGCTGGGGATTTCCGTTTAGCATACAAGCTAAGCACGGTAACTCATGGGTGACAGCACGCTAGCCTGAAGAGCTACCCGGGCTCCTGAGAACCCTCAACCTGCCATCAATCCGGGTTCGGAATTGGATCCTAGAAGAGGCGATTGCTACAAGACGGGACCCCCTGGGTCCGCTGCGAAGCACTGACACCCCAGCCAGAGGGAGTGCGCCGCCACGCAGGCGAGGAGGGCCGGATTGCCCGGAAGAATAGCACCGCACGCAACCATGTCGGACCGAAGGGTAACTGGTGAGTTACCATACACAGGGGACGGAAGGGCTCCACGGGCATAACCAGGACACTTGGGGTGGGACATGGGAAAGGGAGCATAAGGGTTAGACCTAAAAGAGCGCAGTCTGAGGCTACAACCCCGGCACTCGAAGTCGCAAAGCACCCACGCGCAGTTGCCTACCCCTGGAGCTTAAGGTCACAGGGGTATCACCTCTGACGGGGGAAAGATCAAGGGCCAGGAACACACAAAAGGTACCACACAGGAGTGAGTTCTTCCTGTGAGGTGGGGAGGGGAACAAGCTAAAGCCTTGGATACGCAGCACAGGCCCGGCTTGGAGGTGCATGTCCAGGCCTGCCGCCTAAGATCATACCAGCATAGGGGAGATTTGATGCCAAACAGTGCCTAACACACACCTCACAGGGCTACGAGAATCGTTGACTGACGACAGAACCGCCAGTATGCCACAAGCCACGTTTTAGACAGCTTCATAATCATTGGAGAACACCACATGGGGGGGACCGGAGACCTTGGGAGGGAGGAACACGAGATGGGGAGATGGGTAATGTGCTGGGGGAGGATGCTGAAGTGTACTGAATTGATGCAAGGTGATCACCAATAGCGTGGGTACTTGTTCCAACCCCTAGGGAAGCAGAGGAACGGGGCCAAACGCAAATTAGGGGTAGCGTAGGGAATGGAGACGTCAGGGTTAGGGGTCTTCACACAAAACTGAGGGACCACGCAAGCCCAGTGGCCGTTTCAGGGGGTAAGGGGGGAGAAAAGAGGGAGGTGGGAAGAAAAGAGGGAGTGGGGGGAAGCAAAGAGGAGGGGAAGAAAAGAGGGAGATGGGGAAGCAAAGAGGAGGAAGCAAAGAGGGAGGTGGGAAGCAAAGAGGGGAGGTGGGAAGCAAAGAGGGGAGGTGGGAAGAAAGAGGGGAGGTGGGAAGAAAAGAGGGAGGTGGGAAGAAAAGAGGGGAGGGGAGAAAGAGGGGAGGGGGAGAAAGAGGGAGGGGGGAGAAAGAGGGAGGGGGGAGAAAGAGGAGGGGGAGAAAGAGGAGGGGAGAAAGAGGGAGGGGGGGGGAGAAAGAGGGGAGGGGGAGAAAGTGAGGGGAGAAGCAGGGGAGGGGGAGAAAGAGGGGGGAGGGGGGAGAAAGAGGGAGGGGGAGAAAGAGGAGGGGGAGAAAGAGGGGAGGGGAGAAAGAGGGAGGAGGAAAGGGAAAGAAAAGATATATCTGTATAGAGAGGGGAAGAACACAAGAGAAAAGGAAAAAACAGTACGCAAGCAGAGCTTACCCCTAGGGAGCCCTAGCCATGACCCAGATGAGAATAGATGACCACCCCGCAGAACTCCAAGCCCACTCGGCCGACAACAGACGAAACACCACAACTGACATCACAACTGACGCGTCAGACTACTACACAGTTCCAGGACTCTTTGCCTCCGGTATCACCATAGCCGGCCCGGCCTGGGGGACGTGGAACATAAAATTCACACACAAACCCACGAGATACGGATACCCTTTGACTTGGGACCCTACACTACACCTGGGATCTACACACAGGTGGACTGTGCAATCCCTGCGCCCGGTCCTGTGCAGGTGCGGTCTAGGCCCGATACCCCCCTGACGGACGCCTATTTTGAACTGGTGTGGAGGCAGGTGGATTGCTCTCCACAGAGTATACCGCACAACGCCTCTGCCACAGATGTCAAGTCATAGCGGATCCCATCAGTGGGAACCTACTTAAACCCTATATCTAGGAACCCCCCCCCCCCTTTTCCCCTCTCTTCTCTCTCTCCTCTTCCCTCGCGCCTCCTAAACAGAGCACTCGGTGCCTCCTGCCCTCCCCCTGGGATGGTCGCCCCGCCTCCTCTTCCGCCCCATTGGCCGCCGGTCATGGGATCGGGATTTGCCCCAGTGCCTCTCCGGCACTGGTCGAACAATGTATAAGGCCTCAACACGTCTGAACGGAGAACTCAGCTGCTGTGCTCCCTATGGGCGGAAAAGGCATCAGTTGCGTTCCTGCTGGTGGACTGCTGGAGAGCTCTTCACCCGAGCGACAGATTATACCTACTACTCCACAGCCCACAAACGATACAGCAGACTGGACTAGATCCTTATGGCTCAGGAATTCCTGTCCCTGCTCGTGTTGGCCGAGATTAGACCGCTTGGATGGTCTGACCACCACCCCCATACTAATTACAATAGACTCCCCCCTGCACTGACCCAGGGAGCGCCATTGGAGGATGAATGAGTCGGTCCTAGCGGACACCCCAACTGTCACGGGACTCCGTTCGGTACTGACCACGTTCTTTGACGAAAATGAAGACCAGGATATGCCGACCCCGACATTGTAGCAGGCACATAAGTGCATAGGCACCTCATTAAACGGTGTACCGAACGTAAGAAGGAACAACGACGGCGTATGGAACAGCTCACCCGACGGATCTCGGAACTAGAGGCGGCTCATAAGTCCACGCAAACGGACGACGACTATGCGACTACTGGAAGCTAGGAAGGCTCTTCGCGATATACTACACCAGAAGCTCCAAGATACTCGACGAAAGTCTCACCGCTTTTTCTATGAATATTCAAATAAATGCAGCCAGCTCTTGGCTCGCATGCTTCAGAAGAAGCGACGTATGTGCCACATCTCTAAACTTAAAACTAGGGAACAGACGGTAACCCAACTCCCGGATAAAATTACCGAATCATTCCGGGAATACTACCACGCCTTTTACAATCTGCTCACGGTGACCTCACCTGACTCAATCCACCGCAGAGCGCAACGAATTACGGAATACCTTCAAGAACACGTTACCAAAACGCTGAGTCAGGACACAGCAGAAGCACTAGAGGCACCCATCTCGATGGAGGAGCTGCAGGTGGCGTTGAAGGGCGCTAAACTCAATAAGGCTCCAGGGCCGGACGGACTGCCCATCAAATACATAAAGGAATTTGGGGAGGTACCGCTCCCCAAACTATTAACAGGCCTTAACTCCCTCCTGGAACGGTGAGCGTTCCCAAGAGACTCTCTCATGGCAACAATAGCAGTACTACCCAAGGAAGGTAAAGACCCAGCCAATTGCGCCTGCTCTCCCCTCTCCTGTTTGCCCTCTCCCTGGAACCATTCCTGGGGGTTGGTCAGACGGGACAGGGGAATAGAGGGATTCACACTGCAGGGAACGATCCATAAGGTGGCTGCCTATGCCGATGATATGTTTATTCTTCGTCAGCAACCCCCTGGTCTCCATACCGAACTTACTGAGAGCTTTTGCGTAATATGGGCAGATATCCAACATAACACTGGACACAATAAAAAAAAAAAATCAGAAGCCATGCCCCTCTCCATGGCAGAAATCCCAGTTCGCATTCACGTGGTGCCGGACAAAGATTAAGTACTTCGGGATTTGGCTCACCGCGGACCTCTCGCAACTCTACGCCCACAACTTTCCCCCCCGATGATGCTCACACTGAAAAACGATCTGGCCTGTGCGTGTCATGGTTTGGAAGGATGAACGCAATTTAGATGAACCTATTGCCGTGCTTGCTATACCTTTTCCAAACCATACCGATAAGTATACCCTAGACATTCTTCCGACACATGGATACCGCCATCTCCGGTTTTATCTGGCAGTCCTGAGACCCCAGACTCAAGCGAACGCTGTTACAACAACCGAAGGCCCAAGGGGGAGTGGGACTCCCCTCCCTGCTGACCTACTATAGAGCAACGCACTTGCTCCGCATAGTGGACTGGCATGTTCCAAGGACGTGCAAGAAATGGATATATATGGAACGAGCTCAGGCAGAGGGGACATTACCAGCGGCAATCTGGTTGAGCGGTCATCTGAGGAGCCCACGTACCCGGACTCACCCACTCATCTAACCAACTGGCGGACCGTGCGGACACCCACCATCCAACAATGGATGGACAAGGTAGAGGAAATACACAGGATGGAGACTCCCACAGCGACCCTGAAAGGAACAGTGGACAAATACATGCAGACTTGGACCCCGTGGATGGATTTCATATCACACAACAGGACGTGAGGGTGCCGGACCCCGTGTGCGGCTGGGGGGGTGCGCGGCGGGCCCGGGGAGTCCGACATTCCCCTGTTTTTTGGGTTTTTTTCCCCCCTCTCCTTCTCCTCTCTCCTATAAGGAACGACCAAGGACTTCCGAAATAAACAATTTAGCGGTCAACCCAAAACACACTAACACAATAAGGGAGACCTACAGGCTGGTGAAGGGAGACAAAACAAGTCCAATAGCCCACACAACCGACATGACAGCATTTGAAGATATAAACAGGAGATAGACGCGAAAGAAGGTCCCCCGCCAGACGGCAGGAACAGACAGCCACGACCAAGAGAGAGAACTCGCTCCTAGCGCACGACCAGGAATTATCCTACGATATAAGAAGTGAGAATAAGGGAAGCATTACTACACACCTGTGGGCCCCGAGAACCACATAGTTACAGGAGGTAACCCCATATTGAAGTAGCACACAATAAGTCCACACAGAAAATGGGTAGACGACTAGCTAACTAGCCTGTTGCTCAGCAATCTCACAAACCAGGCTATAACACTTAGTAGCAATAATATTTCAAAATCAGCAGTGCATGAGAAAGTGGCAAGCTCTGAAGCCAGTGATAATGACCAGCTGCACAATGTGTAAATAGCATAGCATTTGAACAATGTTAGCCAGGCATGTTTCGAAATGTACAAATGGGAAGTTTCAACGTTTTACCTTGACATTTTGTCCAATTGGCTTTGTAACCAATAAGCACAGTATCTTGTACGATTACTTAAATATGAAAATAAATATTCAAAAAAAAAAAAAAGAAGAAATGGCCACTTTTCTAAATTAAAGGGATTCTATAGTGCCAGGAATACAAAGCCGTTTTCAAGGCACTATAGAATCCTACAGTGTCCCCCTCCCTCGTATCCCCACTCCTGCGGCACTTAAAACCCCTTCAGTCAGTTACTTACCTGAATCCAGCGCTGATGGTCCCTTGGCACTGAGTCAGGCCCCGCCCATGCTCACACTGACATTGGTGGGGAAGACCTAAGGCGCATGCGCAGCAATGGTCAAGCTCACATTAAGATTTACTCATAGGAAAGCGTTATTGAATGCTTTCCTATGGGGGGAGACAGACGCTGGTGGTCCTAATGCAGAGCGTGAGGACTTCCAGTGTCAGATACCGGATTAAAGCCACTAGAGGTAAAGTTAACGATGGATAGTAATTAGTTTCTCAATAACTGCAATAATTACTATTTCAGGTTAAGGGACATTACACCCAGAGCACTTCAATGAGCTGAAGTGGTCTGGGTGCCTACAGGGTCCTTTTAACCTTGCTACAAACCCTTGCTGTCAGAACAGGCCCTGTTATTTTGTGGTTTGTTTAGCTCAGTGAAGCTAAAACTCAAAAGATTTGTAAAAGCAAAGACTTCTGATTGAGCTACATTGGAAAGTCTGATTGGACAGCCACAGAAAGTATGGGCAAAAAGGGGAGGGCATGAAGAGTCTGCATACAAGCGATCTGCAACTATTGCATGCATTTCTTACATATACCCTCAATAGATATTTGTTACACTTAAATGCACACATGTTTGCATTGGGGGAGAGGGGGGAGCAAGTCTACAAAACCATGATATTTATTTTAAGCAAGTTAAATCCTTATGTATTTTTTTTTAAGCTGTACGGACACCTACTTTTTCTGAAAAAACAAATAAACATTAAATTAAAGAGTAAGGAAGTCAGTTAGTTAATACTTACATTGTCATCCTTTGAAGGATGAATCATTTCAATAAGTCTTTGTACTATTTTTTCTTCATTAAGCCACTGTAAATCATAAAAAGAAGATTATTGCTAAAGAATAACAAAAAAGGACAGCACTGCCCTAGACCACATGCTTATATTTGGTTAATAAATTATAAGAATCTGCAGATATAAAATATAGTGATGGCAAACTCAGTGAGCTTGATCTCAGTTCATATAAAACTTTGTAAAGCCATACACATAATTAGCGCACTATATAAAGTCGTCCCTTGGACCTTTCAATCTGCAGCAAAACCATAAGTTGTCTCATTACAGTATCCCAGAAAGTACTTCAAGGAGAGTTACGCTTTAGTTTATTTAAACAAATAGTACATCAAGGAAGAGAATGGTAATTACCATTTTCCTGTCTGTTAAAGCAGCCACATTGCTTAAAGCCAAAATGTGAATGGGGGCACACCATACCAATAACATTAAGGTGGAGTCTTTACAAACTGCTTTTGTTTTTTTGCTCAAGAAGCAAAAGTGAAGCAAGCAAATATTTGCATTAAACGTGCTTTCCCACCCCCCAGCAACATACACCATGCCTTCTAGTATTGCCAGAGAAAACTACTGAAAAGAAGCGGGCATAAATCAATGAGTAATACTAGTGCAATTTAGAAGAGAAAAAAAATAAACACATGCACACTAAAAGTGACATGGTAGTAATGAATAAAATCAAAACGTACACATATTGCAAGCAACTTTACTAGAGAAATGACATCTCATTATGTCAAATTCAATTAAGTCTCATAAGAAAAGTTTGAACATTCAGTAATTTTTAACCAACTAGTTTCAACTTGCACACACACACATCTTCTCTCCCTTCCCCATTTAGTATCTTGGCAAAGAAAATGAAAGTCACATTTCTAAACGAACATTATAGTTTGCTGCATTTAGTGAAAATTCTCTTGAGGGAAGGGGGAGAGAATATAAAACATTTTCTACTGTTTTCCCTGCCTGCAAACCTTACAAAAAGCCATGCACTGCTTCAATATTTGAAAATTATTGTCTTTCAGCTATACAAACGAAAGTGAACTTTAACAGAAAACGTGTTCTGGTGGATTGCTTAATTCCTAGGACTTTACTCCCATGTTAAATCTTCCACAGAACCCTCAATGCACCATCCTTCAATGGTAGGCCAATGATCAGTTCAGGACCATGAATTAAGTGTCATGAAAATAATAGAAGGTTTATGATAAAGAAAAAAAATTTATATAAAATATGTTAACATTTTGGTACCTAAACACTGCGCTTGCGAAATTGCCAGAAAATGTGTGTGTGATTGTGATAGAATTATAATATATCAGGGTTATTCCAACTGGCATAACCCCTGCAGCCCACTGTATGATTTTAAGGCTACTCTGTGTTGTTCCCTGGTAATGTAGAAGCCATTTTAAACTGGACTGCCCGGCCTTTAACCTGGTCCTGCCGGACGACGGCACTGAACAGGGTTTAGAACATCTGAAAGCCGGTTGCCGATACTTCCACTCATTTATTGTTGGAGAGTGACAGCTGACTACTTTTACCTAACGAATTAGATTCTGTGCATCGGAATTTGCACAGATTTGACAGTGGCCAACGCAGAAATATATTCTGGACAGGCTAATGACACTGCTGGAGGCGGAGTTATACCCCTGGCAGCTAAGAAGATAAATCCTGGAGTTTGCAGTGTTTCAAAACCAAACTATGAACATAGACACTTGAGGCACCATTACCACTTCAAACCACTAAAAAGAGGTTATTGCGCGTAGAGTATCCCTTTAAACAATATACTTACCTGAAGCTTGTCTCTGCTTCATCCAATATGTCCTCCAGAAAGCATGTGTAAGCTTTTAATATGCCAGCCATATTTGTAGTTTTAAAACCTCTATGTTGTTGACAGAGGCAAATGGCAAAACATTTTTTTGTAAGCACAAGGTAAACAGTATTCTCATTAAAATTGCACAGGCACATTTTACATCAAAACACAATGCACTCGGTATGATTTACGATGCTAAATTTTCTATGATCAACTTACATTGAACACATCTTGTCTCAGTCTAGGCTGTTCAACACATGTCAGAAGCCTCAGTAGCAGGTCCATAATGGCAGACGTGCCAATGTGTTGTAACAACAAGCTTACAAAATCATCTTTTTTTCGAAGAAAGGCTATAATCTACAAAGTTAGGAAGAAACTGTATAAGCAAGATCCTTTATTTTCAGCTCCATACATTAAGTGAATACAATAAGACTTTCATATGTTCGTGATAAATTACCAAAAAAAAATAAAAAAATAAATAAAAAAAAATTTAAAAAAAAATACAAAAACCACACAATTACTGATCACTGTAGTCCATCATTACAGGAAAAAGGACCTGCCACTCACTCCATTACTGTTTCTAGTGTACTTTATTAGTGAATCAAGACTGGAAAAAAAATAACCAATGAAACGCATGCAAACACTGATACAGTACAGATAAATTTTAATGGAAAATAAATACTGCAGGAAAATCATGTTCAACCTTTGCCTCTGGCAACCCTGGTAAGTGAGTGAGAAAGTGGAGAACCATTGCAGAAGGGTGTATAAAAAAATAAATAAATAAATACAACTACCGGTAAACGAAAAAAAAAATAAAAAAACAGCCGGTGAATTTCAAGAACCCAGACCTTTCTCCAACTATTTAGGCTAGATTTTAAAAGGTTTTGAATTTTCATTTTCCCACAACTTATTGAATTCTGACTAAACCCTATCGTATTCTACAGCTACAAGTATTAAAGAGTGGCTAGCTAAAATATTTTGGCCTCATGTGCATTTACAGAATTACAGAAAGTAATATTGTATGCATCAAGGAACACTGCCAGGGCTAAAGCCCCTTTTCACCAATTACCTGACCAGACATGTGTGCTGTATTGCTATGACCAGACACACGTTCATATTGCAATGACATCATTGCCAGGTAAATCAGTGTGATCTTCAGTTGGGTAAGTGAATGTTCTTATCCAAATGTAAAATAAATGGCAGCACGCAGGTGTAGTATAGCTGGGAACCTGACAGTTACTTTAAAGTCATTTATATGGGTATTATATGCTACTACAGTGGTTTACAAAAACATGGCAGTTTTAAACTCCCTATGCTTCATTTCTACAATACAAGGTATTATATGGAATGTGCATGGTAGTCTAAGTCACTTGCACTGTCTAGTTCATATATTCAGCACATACATTTTTTAACAATAGTTGCTATTTTTATTTACATATATATTAAATTTAACAAGCATAAAATCACTTTTTCCCCCAAAAAATAAAGTGACCAAAAATTGTACCTGTTCAGTCTTCCTGTTGATTAGAATGCCCATCACTTTGCTAAAGAAGCTAGCCAGTAAAGGATTAAGGCTTTCATTGTTTTGCAAAAAGTCATACAGTCGCTTCAGTAAAGATTCATCTTCCCCTAAGGCATCATTAATCTGTGATACATCTGCTGTTAGGATCTCACAGGATACACTTGGATATCTAATACACAAAAAATCCATTAGCTGACAAATAGAACAGTACCAAAGCAGCACTCATACAAGTGAAAAGTTATAATACAAGGAGGGAATACCTTTTTTTTTTTTTTTTTTAAAGGTGTTTGTGTAATGCTTCCTAATACCATCAACAGAAAGCTTAAAAGGGACACTAAAAAAGTGGCCTGGGTGAGTGCCCATGGCAGTTTAGCCCTGCAATCTAAAACATTGGCATTTAGTAGATCCAGCAATGTTAAGATTGCAGGGCTTCACAAACCTCTGGTTGCCTTCTTCCTGCCAGCCATTAGAGGCACTCCTGCATTGAGAACAGAGTCTGATTTTGCTGTGTGACATTTGCATCTTCAAAGGCAGATCATATGGAGATGCATTTGATTGGATGAGTGCAGCACTCGCTGGGCACATGCATTTCTTCCCCAATGTTTAAAGCTCCATGCACTTATGGCATTGGAGCAGGAGAAACACACTGCATTCTCTCTTTGCTGAATGCCTGGTGCACAGACTTTAAGGGCAGAGCTTTTAACAATGAGTGAAAGGGAGGAAGACAGATTCAGAAGTAAATACTGCAGAGTGAATATTCTATGTTACAACCCTCTCACACATGGATTTGTTGAAAAAAGGGGATAAATAAACATAGTATTTAAAAATCGTGAAAAGACAGTTGCCCTTTAAATATTTCCAATATACATACTTATATCGCATCTTTTCATCCACATCATCTGGAGGCTCTTCTGTTATGCATGTGACTAGTTCTTCCATGTGTTGTGGTTGCACTAGGAAATCCACCAGCTTGCGGTTCACAACCTTGCATTCCTGCAATACATCTTCTTCATCCAAAAGCTCAAACAGTGTAACATCTTCACGCTCTAGGAGAGTGTCCACATGTGAACTAGTGTGCAGATCAAACTTCCAAAACATGGTTCACTGCGGGAAAAAATAAATTGAGTTTATATGGAGGTGTCAGAAAAGAAGTATGTTTACCAATTTAAACGAACATGGTTTTAGTCCTTAAACAGTACAGGAGAAATGCTTATAAATTATATATTTATCAATTTGTACCATAAGAAACAATTATATTTAAAAAAAAAAAAACAAAAAAAACAAACACATTATTTTATATGTTATTTAAAAGTAAAAGTAAATAAGGAAGTTACATGATGTCCTCCAGAGTGGTCTTTAATGCAGTTAGGACCACGTGGAATGTCCTGTAGTTTTGACATCAGCAGGGTTAAATACCTGCTGACACCAGGGAGCCCCAGGTATCAATAAATATCTGGGGCTCTCCTTTGCAACAATTTAGTATCAACAAGGTTAAATCCACACCCACATCAGGAAACCCAAGTATCAAATACCTGCAGCCCTCCTCTGTCAGCTTGTGGCCTAAGTATGACAGATGCGCTGTATGCAGAGATTATAGAGAGCGCTTCTACATCCATTTAAACAGACACTGTAGACACAGACCACTTCACCTCATTGACGGGGTCTGGGTACGCTTAGTGCTGCAATGTTAAACATTCCAGTTCCAGAGTAACTGCAATGTTTACATTGCAGCACTAAGTCAGCCTCTAGTGGCCACTAGTCTAGAGGGCTTCCAGGTTTGAAACTGACCTTTGGTTCGATATCTGTTGCTGGACGTCCTCACGCTTTGCATGAGGACCACCAGTGTCAGATTCTCCTTCCCCCTCCCCCCAATAGGAAAGCATTGATTGAATGCTTTCCTATGGGGAGGTCTAATACGCACAGCATTTGCATTTTAACTTTTTGTTTACCGGAGGGCACTACAATATCCCTTTAAATAGACGTTTAAATACCTATTGCTCAAACGCGGTGTAAGCTGGGTTAAATCCCTGCTCACACCAAGGAGACCTGGGTATCAATGAATACCTGGGGTGCCCCTCTGTCAGCTGATGCAATTATTAGAGGTCAAAGACTCCCCAATGGGCTGAAACTGCACAGTTTAACATTTCACCATGAAATTTAAGGGGACTTGAGCACGTCATCCAAACAACCTCAATTAGATGAAGTGGTCTGGGTAGCTGAGTGTCCATTTAACGCTATTTTAGCTATACATAATACCCAACAACAAATTTGTTGTTGTTGAGCATCTGCTCCAGGAATCTTCAGATCAGGTGGTCAAAGGACTTCTCAGCTTCTAAGGCCAGTGGTAGACCACCCCAAACCAGACTACCTCAATAGTTGACACTATAGTGCCAGGAAAACACTTGTTTTCCTGGCTCTATAGGGTCCTTGGATCCCCTTCACCCTCAGGGCCCCCCTCCCGTCGTGCTCTACAGGGAGGAAGGGGTTACAGGCTTACCTTTCTCCAGCGTCTGGCTCCCTCGGCGCTGGGGACTCGCCTCCTCCTTTCCCCGTCATCGGCTGAATGCGAATGCGCGGCACTATCAATGCTTTCCTATGGACGCTGGCATCTTGTTTTGTCCACATCTCGTCTTCCCCACACAAACCCAATTTGATCATACCCCACTAATTGTGGAAGTTAAGAATTTAAGTGCTTAGCAATCAATTTAGCATACATTTTTGCATAGGTTTGCATAGAGATTGATCTGTAATGTGTGCATGATGTAGGGGGATTTATCAGAATAATGTGTTTTTATAGTAGATTGGAGAGTACCCCTCAATGCAGCTCGGTGATACACTTTAAGAAGATACCATGCAAGCACTTGGCCAAATTTGTTTATATTATTGTGTTGATACTTGTGTTGAAAACCATCTGGGTACTTGCCAGTCTGCATATTTGATTACTGGCAACACCTTATCCAATGTGAAGGAACTTGTGAGGTGCTCCGATTATTGTGGGGTTAGTTGCAGTAATGTTATGTGAGACAGATAATTGGAAATGTCCTGATTAGTCAGTTGTGGTGTTGTCTGGTCTGTATGTAAATTATAATGTGGTAGAGTATTTTGAGAAAAAAAAAAAAAGTCACTGGGCTATGGTCAGATCACAAAATCATCCCATACTGGTCCAGGGAAGTGGCATCCAGGAAAAAAGTGTCAATTCTAGTGCGTCATGTGCTGGGGAGTAACATATACATATTCTCCACCCATCATACAGGCCAAATAAGTCTAAATTTAACTAGGCTACAACTCAATCTGGAATGGTCTTTTCCTACAGGCAGAATGAGATGCTGACGAATCCAGATAGAGAGAAATTGAATAACACTGAAGTCCCCACAAACTATAAGCCCTCCCGCTTTAGGTTTACCCACTTTGGTTAAAAATTAGTGCAAGTAATTTCTATGGTGCGAGTTGGGTAAGCATACTGGTTCAGGTGTGTTTTGCACATTACTAATCAGGACAAATAAAATAGTGTATCTAACCTGATCATCAGTTAGTTTCCTTTGCAATTGGAAAGATACATCCCTATGTATTAAGATGAATTCTCCCTTAGACTTGGTATTAAATTAGGCATGCAACTGTGTGGGGTAATATGCTGAGAAGATGCTAGAGGCAACAGGACTTTTAAAATGGGTCTCTTGTATACAGGCAACATCCATTCTTTGGAAACTGAGGTCAAGTCAATCGTTTAAAATTAAACGATTACTATTTTTATACTAGAGCGGAATTAGAGGTCACCTATTTAAACTGGAAGAAAAACTTAATCTAAGGCAAAGGAAAGGGGGGTTTTTTTGTTAGTTTTTTTACAGAAAGCACTAGTGATGCAGAATTATCTGCCTAAAGTTGTGCTTTTATCAGAGTTTGCACTGTTGTTTAAAGGGACACTATAGTCACCCAGACCACTTCAGCTCAATGAAGAGGTCTGGGTGCCAAGTCCCTCGGGTTTTAACCCTACACATGTAAACATAGCAGTTATGTTAACATTTGGGGTTATTCCAGCCTCTAGTGGCTGTCTTCCGGACAGCCACTAGATGCGCATCTGCGACGCTGGAGGTGAATTTCCTATGGACATTTTGAAAGTGCGCGCGGCACCTGTCGCGCATGCACATTCGGCTCCAGTGACGGAAGGGAAGGAGAGGTCACCAGTGCCGAGGGAGCCCGGCGCTGGATTAAGGTAAGTGGCTGAAGGGATTTTAACCCCTTCAGCACCAGGGGAGGGGGACCCTCAGGGCACTACAGTGTCAGGAAAACCGCTTTGTTTTCCTGACACTATAGTGATCCTTTAAACATCAACTGGATGAATACTTGCAAAAAATAATATTCACAGATGTAATTTACATGAGGTAACCGCTTCATGAACCAATGAGCGATCTCACTGGCATTCTAGGTCTGACAAGGAATTTGTTTCCTGGTTTGTTGCAAAACTGGAAAGCGCTTCAAACTTTTTTTTGTCTTTTTCTAAATCAACAGCAAAATCTATGTGAAAAATGCTGAACTTGATGGAAGCATGTCTCTTATAATTAAACTATGAGTCAGTACATCAAGTGTTACAATGCTAGATCTCTAATGAAGAAGAAACGGATTGCTGAAATTTGTACCTTCTAAGATTGCAAGACGCAAACTTTTTCCAAATATATGACTAAACTTTACTCTTGTGGACTCCTTGTTTGCTTGAACAAAAACCACTGATAACATCTGCGTCTAAATCCCTGGAAAAGATTATATACAGTTCAGATGCCATGCTCTCAAACTGAAAGTCTTTAAGCCTTTAAAGACACATGACATGCCATGATTCCCTTTTATTCCAGAAGTTTGGTCCTTAAGGGGTTAAAAGGGACCAGATGATACTCCAAAATGTACTCCTAAAAAGGTTAGCATCCAGCATTTATCTCCTAAAAAGGTACATCAGATTGGTGAACCAACTTCTCTTTGAAGATTGTATTTATTTTTTACTACCCTTGGAATAAGGATATTTGGAGAGAAAAATGTATTAGATGGAAATTTTATTTCATGGCTAGCAAATGCAGAAGTCTGCACTATTGCTCCTTTTGATGGAAGAAACAAAACTCATGTATTTAAAGGAACACTAGAACATTAGGAATACGAAGCTGTACTCCTAACGCTATAGTGTTAATGTCCACCACCTCCGAGCACTTACCTCTTTCCATCACCAATGTTCCCTTGGTGCTGACTAGGTATGCTCTTGCGATGCCATGGCAATGAGGCGGGGGGGAGGGTGGGGGGGAAGAACTATTGTGCATGTGTGGCAAGCACAGCATGCACTTTAAAGCTTCCCCATAGGAAAGCATTCAAGCAATGCTTTCCTATGGGGAAAATGAAGGCATCAAAATATTTCATGACGTAAAACTACATTAGAAAGGAAGTTCATCTAGTGGTTGTCTGGTTTCTGAAATTGCTACTTTTGCATTGCAGGATTAAACAAACAGGTGCACTGCACATAGGCCACTTCAATGAGTGGAAGTAGTTTGGTTGTCTATAGTGTCCCTTTAATGTTGATACTATAAGATTAATCTTAAAACTGACCAAATCTTTGAATTATCTCTTGAAGAAAAAAAAAAAAAAGGCGCTACGGAGAAAGACACCAGTACCCTGGCTATGTCCTCTGCCAGAAGGTCCCGGTTATGTGAACTGCTGAAAGAGAGTAAAGACCTTCGGCCCAAGTCAGTGTGTTTTTTAACAGACCGGTAAAGGAGGAAGAAGCCGTTTTGTGAGTGGACAGCTACTGACTGGCTTAAAATGTCAGCTGACTGCTGTAAGCCAATCATTGGCAACCCTGATGCTCCAGTTTTTAAGTTTTTCCAAAAAAAAAAAAAAAAAAAAAAAAAAAAAAACAGATGTTGGAGGGGTAAAGCAAAAACGGCATTGGTGGGGAGACTATGTGGTTGATCATTTGTGAGCAGTAAGCCACTGTCTGGGACCTCCTCGTCCCATAACAATGTTATTTTTATTAAATTGTTAGGGTGCCTGGAGTGTTTTAATAAGCCTCACAGTATGCTGGAGGACAGGTGAGTGCACACTTCAAAAACCGACTGGCAACCGCAGAATTGAACGCAAAAAAATAAAAACTTTCCACAAAGAGGCCTAACATCCACTGGCCATGTTGCAGCTCTACAAAGCCATCAATTATCAGACTCCCAGTGCCGTAGCCCCATCACTGCAATTCTAATAGGCCACGAGCGCTGCCGAGAATTGACAGAGAACTTTGTTTCATAGGGTATTGAGTTATTTTATATTTTTAGGAGGAGCAAGGGTAGAATGGGCTTAACTTTTAAAAGGCTCTGTTTTTGTGGGCTGCCTGTCCTGCAGGAGATAGCTGAAGTTCTCTTCATGTGTGTATTTACTACCTCTATCCTCAGGGGAAAAGTAACAAGAGGAAAAGGTTATCAACTGATTATAAAAAAACACACCAACTGATATTGAAAAAAAAAAAAAAAAAAAAATTTAACAAATATTGATACTCCACAATGCAGACAACATGAAAAACACAAAAATAATATTATCCGAATTACTTAATGGTTGTATGTCACATCATTCTTGATGACACCACTGATTAATCAAATTACTGTAAGACTTGCCCTAAATAAGTTTAATAATCAAATCGCATGAATAATTCTTGCAGCAATAAGAATCCAGATTGCTGGATAATGGAGTAAAGGGGTACACAAAAGGATGCAATTGGGGTTTAGTTATTCTGCTACAGAACAGGAATGCAACATTAAAATATATATATTATTGAAAAGTTCTCAAAAAAATACATCTCAGGATCTTAAAAAAAAATAAAATGTTTTTATAAATATATATTTATTATTATTATTATTATTATTATATTAAAAATAAAGCAACTGCAAAGTCAAATCAAAATGTATTATCCAGTAAATGAATGTATAAATCTCAGTCCTATACTGCTGCGTAGTAATTGCAATCCACGGAGAGGGAGGCAGAGAGAGAGAGCGTGCACCACCTTCTCTGTCCTAAAGCTGCAACAGCAGGTAGGAGGTGAAATGATTATGTAAGGGGAGGAAAATTTCTCCTGTCATGAATGAGGCCCTTTACAAGGCTGGAGTGACATAAGGATAGTACACACCACTTGCTATAGAAACAATATAGGCCAGAAATGAGAACTAATTAATTTGGAACCATATTAAAACTATCACCTCCATTTACAAAATCACAAAAAAATTAAAGTGAGAAGAAAAAAAACACAACAATTTTTTAACTAATAAAAATAAATAAATAATGAATTATGGGACCAGACTTGTAGATGTGTGATAGTTTACATTATTTTCTTCTCTCTTCTCTTTTAAGATAAGAATGAAAACATATGTTTGATACAGTGTCAGTAATATCTTTGTGTGTTTCACTTACAGTACAAGTATAACTGTACATTTAGGATCCAACTCACAAGTCTGCAAAGCCACCCGAGAGATTTAAAAGAAGTCAGAAAGTAGTTTTTTTGGTTTTTTTAAGGGGAGGTCGAGGGGGGGTTTCCTTTAAATATTGTGTTCTAATACATGCAACTATGTCCACACTGAAGCTGGATGAGTCCTACATGCTAAGGCAGTGGTTCCTAAACTAATTCAGGCATTAATCAGTTGTATTTTTTCCCCTTCCTAAAAAACACCTTAGACACAACTGGGTAATCCCTAAATATTGGATTGGTAGGGGAACCACTGTGCTATTGTGTATAATCCCCAAATATATATGCTCTCTATGTGAAGAAATTATACACATCATACGCCCCCATGGTTACTGCTGGCGCGCACGAGCGAAAGAAACAAATCTACGTACCGGAGTCTCCTGGACTCCATAAACTTCAAAAGCCTCTAGCCTACCCCACATCCCTTACACATATACACAGTATCCTTGTTGGAGACATCTGAGGTGGGCTGATTCTGGGGCAGGCCCAGGCCTTAAGCGATGTAAGGGGTCCCAAACTTTCTGATGGCAGCCCTGTACATGCATTAAAACATCTGCATAATTAAAAAGTTTGGGTGTTTATCATGGCCTGCTGTCTCACTGCTCAATTCTCTACACCTCCCCTAGCTGTGACTGTCAAATCTTACATGAAGGGGGAAAAAAAAAATCAGATCTTAACTTACTTTACACACAAGAGCCAAAGATATGAAATTCTAAATGAAACAGATTGATCAAATATGTTTAAACATTAGATCTCCATTTACAGTATGTGCTTAGGAAGGCTGTTTCAGTCACATGCAGGGAGGTGTGCCTTGGGCTGCATAAACAAAGTGATTTAACTCCAAACTAGCAGAGAATTGAGCAGTGAAACTGCAAGGGCATGATCTATACACCAAAACTGCTTCAATAAGCTAAAGTTGTTTTGGTGCATATAAGATTCCTTTATGTATTCCTGCTACATAAGTTTCATACATGCTATACACAATGGAGAGATGGTTAAAGGACCACTATAGTGCCAGGAAAACATGCCCTCAGGGTCCCCCTCCCACCCGGCTCTGGAAGGGGGTAAAAACTTACCTTTTTCCAGAGCTGGGCGGGGAGCTCTCTGCCTCCTCTCCTCCTCCGATCCGCCCTGTCCCGTCGGCTGAATGCACACGCGCGGCAAGAGCTGCGCGCGCATACAGCCGGTCGCATAGGAAAGCATTCATAATGCTTTCCTATGGACGCTTGCGTGCTCTCACTGTGATTTTCCCAGTGAGAATCACGCAAGCGCCTCTAGCGGCTGTCAATGAGACAGCCACTAGAGGATTTGGAGGAAGGCTTAACCCATTGATAAACATAGCAGTTTCCCTGAAACTGCTATGTTTATAAAAAAAATGGGTTAACCCTAGAAGGACCTGGCACCCAGACCACTTCATTAAGCTGAAGTGGTCTGGGTGCCTAGAATGGTCCTTTAATTAGCGATGAAAAACAATAGACGAGAGAAAAAAAATACTGGACCATGTCTGAGGTAAAAAGCAACACACACATATATACACTTGACAATTTGCCTAATAGATGCAATATTTACAAAAAATACAAATTGACAGGGTTATTCACTAAAGTGAGAATGCAAAGTCTATATATCAAATTTAAGTTCATAGTTGCCAAACTAAAAGCATAGCTGAACTGGAGAATATTTCCAGTTCAGCTAATTTGACTTTAAAATTTTAAGTTCACTTTGAATTCTTTCTTTAGTGAATAACCCTGTGTTTGAGTAGGCTGGAAGTGTTGTTCAAATTGTTAAAGGACCACTATAGACACCCAGACCACTTCAGTTTAATGAAGTGGTCTGGGTGCCAGGTCCCTCTAGATTTAACCCTTTTTGCTGTAAACATAGCAGTTTCACAGAAACTGCTATGTTTACAAATGGGTTAATCCAGCCTCTAATGGCTGTCTCATTGACAGCCGCTAGAGGCACTTCCACGCTTCTCACTGTGATTTTCAATACACAAACTGAACAGCACAGTTCAACATATTGCTGCCTACTACCCTGTTTAGGCGAAACGCGTAAAGTGGGACATATATATATATATATATATATACACACACACACACACACACACACACACACACATATATGAAATGACCGCACTCCTTGGACTTTATAGAGATTTTCAAATAAAATTTAGCTTTTATTCAATCCATTTAAAAAGTCAACTTTTTAAATGGATTGAATAAAAGCTAAATTTTATTTGAAAATCTCTATAAAGTCCAAGGAGTGCGGTCATTTCTGCTATGTCTACATGATCCTTGCCAGACCAGCACCGGGCACCACAGGATTACACCAGGAGTGCAAGCCCTCACTAATATATATATATATATATATATATATATATATATATATATATATATATATATATATATATATATATATATATATATATATATATATATATTTTTTTTTTTATCCTTTACTGTTATAATTATATTAAAGTATACTTTTTAAAGTTACTTTTTATTAGGGATCGACCGATTATCGGTTTTACCGATATAATCGGCCGATATTCAGTATTCTCGGCAATATCGGTATCGGCCAATTCAGATACCGATATTGCCGATAATACCTCCTAGGACTGCCAGGCTCATTACAAGCCCGGCGGTCCTGGGGGGGGGGGGCAGAGAGCAAGCGCTTACTCACCTCCCAGCAGCTCCTCCAGCTCCCCAGTGTAACTCTCGCGAGACCCGCGGCCGTCAGAGCGTTGCCATGGATCACCATGGCAACGCTGCGCGCGACACGCTGGCCGCGAGAGTTACACTGGGGAGCTGGAGGAGCTGCTGGGAGGTGAGTAAGCGCTTGCTCTCTGCCCCCGGTATCGGTATCGGCTCTGAAAAATCAATATCGGTCGATCCCTACTTTTTATATTTATTATTTTCTTAATTCCTGGATCCTGTATATCCTTGGTGGGGATTATACCACCTAAGCTGTTTATACTAGAGCAAGTTATATGCTCTAGAAAGTGTAAGTACAATACTTTTTATTATTTATTATATTATTAGTACTTACTTCACCATATTGCTACTATCTCTCCTTATATCTACTATGCACATTGCACTTTGAGAACATCCGTGGCAACTACTACGAATCCAAAGACGGGGATTGTACCGTCCAGGCGCTTCACAGTAGAGCTCTGTTATAGCTCATTCAAATGTGAGTGGACTGTACATAGCTATTATTGACTGTTTTTAAGATATAATCTACTGTATTGCACTATTATTTCTGATCTTAATTTTTTCCGAGGTTACGATTGATTGGAATACTCAAGGATATATGTATGTATTTTTAGCATATATAAATTACTAGGCGCGGTATACGCCTTCTTTCTTTCCATGTGGATAGAGGGCACCACTACAAATCACACAGCTTACGCCCACATTTTGTGTTGTGCTTGCTAAACCCAGCAAGTTTTCCAGTTTGTTACATTGGCCTTAACTTAAACTTCAGGTTGAATTCCAAAAACTTCTCACTTAACCCTATAAGCAATTTAGTCATTAACCTAGAAATCGTGCAGAACTGAAAAAGGAACTATACGGTTTGTACAATAGAGAGTGAGTTGTAGAGAACTTAAATCCACTGTCACTAGTTTAGTCCATCTCGCAGCATAGTTAGTTACATAGGCTAAAAAGAGACATGTGTCCATCAAGTTCAGCCTTCCTCACATTTGGGTTTTTGCTGTTGATCTCTAGACTTATGGTTTATTTCTCAAAGGGTTCATTGAACCTAGCTGATGCACACTACCCACCACTGAGAAGGAAACACCTCTAGTGGCAGAATGAAGAGGCAGTGTTTCCAATGAGAAGCCTGCATTGACAGGCTATAGATATCAGAACCACTATATTAAGCTATAATGGTTATGGTGACCGTAGTGTCCCTGTTAAATGCTCCAAGAAATAATCTACTGCCCACCTAAAAACTGAAATAAAGTAAAACAAACGCTTATTCAAAACGCGTTCTTCTTGTCCAACGGATCCAAGTAAACATTAAGTTATTCTACGTATTTTATTAGGAGCAGGTGCCCAATGTAGTACTTTAGTAGTGTATTTTTTACTATACACACACACACACACACACACAAAATGTTTCTGACTGTATACAATGTTGCAAGTAACTAGGCAGCAGCAACTTAACCAATTACAAAGCACACAAACAATGCTAAAATTATATATGATATATACACACACACACACACACACACTCTAAAACAGCATTATTCATTAAAGTGAATTTCAGGTTGAAAGTAGCAGAAGTAGACACATTCTCCAATACAGCTTCCTGTTCAGCTACTTTGGTCTTAAAATTGAAACGGACTTTGAACGCTCACTAGTTAACCCTTTCCTGTCTTCAGTTTTGCTCAATACTGAGAGAGACACAGGCAGCACCAGACAGGCATTACCTATTGCCTATACTATGAATTGTGCACACATGGGAGGTGTCAGAGATTAACCCCAGCTATGCCGATATCTGACAGCCGCTCTCTGGGCGGCATGCCCTGACCCACAAGGGGCCCTGCTTAACCCTCTCACTGCCAGAGCTCAGTCCCGGCACTCGGGGAGTTAAAAGATGGAGTGCCGTGTGTACATGTCAATACGGGACAGGCGGTGTGCATGTAGCTGGCTGTGTCCGGCCTTACCCGGTTGGGTGGGATCCGGGGAGACGCTCTGGGATGTGGCAGGCTCCGGCACCTTCCGTCTTCCCGGTTGTAAAATGGCGGCGGCCGGTGCCCCTTTCCCCGGGGAGGGAGAGAGGAGGAGGGCGAGCTGCAGGCTGGGGAGGTCGCCCAGGAGGAGCCGCTGTCAAGGAGTGGAGGAGAAAGGAGGGGGAGGGGGGGTTTAAAACGAATCTTCAAAAGGACAGTAAGAGGGAGCAGCGGAAAGAGCTTTACACTTCCGCTTCCGGTCTGGGGAGCTCGGGAGGGGGAGGTTTGCTTCCGGTGTACGCAACCTCATTCTACCTGCGAGCGGCGCTAGTCTTTGGCAGGCGGTGGGCGTGGTCCCACAATAGGCGTGGTTATAACTAGGCGGCGCGCAGGGCGGGAGCATTGGAATAGGGCGGGCTACTGGGCGGGAAAGCTGCGCATGCGCCTTGCCAAGGACTGTGTCTGAGAGCCCAGACATTGTGTTGTGCTGGAGGGGTCACTGTCAGCATGTGTTTCAAAATGGAGGAACCACATCCTCACACATTCACTGTTTTACATAAGTAATGCTTTAAATAAACTAATTGGGAAAATATTGTCACTTTTCATTGATCCTGTTTCTAATATATTTATTTATTTATAAAATATTTTACCAGGAAAGATACATTAAGATTTCTCTCGTTTTCAAGTATGTCCTGCGTCCACAAAACAATATGTAACTATATGTGCACAGCATGGGCAAATAGCAGTCAGGTCCTCGCCAGACCAGGAAAAGGCTCCACACAGAAGTTTCTCATTATTGTCTGTGAGATGTAATATTATCCCACAATTTGGGACTTATGAAAGCACGACTAGGGCATAGAAGCTTATTACTATTTATTATTGGCATTTATATAGCGTCACCTGATTCCGCAGTGTTATACCATATTATATACTATTTTTACATACTCAGGAAAATATTGTCACCTTCAGCAGCGTCATACAATTTCTTATAAAGGGGGGTAATGTAATAATACTTAAGACAACTATAAAATGTTACCGGAACAATAGGTTGATGAAGATTGGAGCGATTCTTAAGGATGACGGAGTCCCGACCAGCCTTGCGCGGGGCAGACTGTGCAGAGAAAGTCTGAACGAGTAATGGGGTACAAATAAAGTTTGTAGAGGTTCGTCATGCTAATATTTGCTGACGTACGGTGTGGAGGAGACCACTGAATGTTTTGGCCATTCAATATCCACATAGACCAGGGTTGTGGGAGAATGTGAGCAAGAAAGCAGCCAAATATGAACCCTCAGTCTGTATATTTATCACCTCGAAGGGATGGTGAAAGATTGGGTGGTGGTGCAAGATTTATACACTAAATTAGGAGTCCTCACATTGACATTTTATCCAAGATGTGAAGGAGTAGAATGGGGCAAAAACACTGCGTTCCTCTTAATTTATTAGAAGTTCATGATAACTTTTAATGATTTCCTTTAAAATCTGACGGTAGTGTGTGTGCTGATATATTAGGTCCATTGAACTGACCCACCTATACAATTTTACAACTAATTAGTGAATACACAACTCACTATCGTTTGTGTCAAAAGCTAGAAAAAAAGGCAATTTCTTAAAAAGGAGAGAGATGCAAAGAACAGAAAAAAATAAACAAATGCTGATTAAAAAGAAACATCAGGCAATATATTTAATCGTTTGTCAAGTGGCACAATTACAATAGCTCAAATGTGGTCACATTATGTTCAGTGACCATCAGTGGTTCAATGCGTTCTTTAGGATGATTCAACAATCATATATTGTGCAATGCACCAATACTGGCACTCTTGGTAAGTATATGAGCAAAAAAGACTGTCAAAAATTGTCTTTATTGTTCAACTTTTTGATATATATTCAGAAATACTGTGTTATACTCTACTATAACACTCACTGATATTTTGTATAAATCTTTAATAAGTATGCAAATAACAAAAACAATAATTTTGTACAAAAAGAAACAGCGTAACAGCACAAGACAAATAGCAATCAAAAATAATGTATCCAAACCTTACAAGCCTGAAGGCAGAAACACAAGTCACAAACTACCCCAATGTTTCGGCACCTACTGGTTGCCTTTATCAAGGCTATTTGCCTTGTGCTGTTACTCTGTTCCTTTTTGTACAAAATATTTTTTTTTTGTTATTTGCAATACATATTAAATATTTATACTAAATAACAGTGAGTGTTAGAGTGTGCATTATGTATTATATAGAGATTATTGTATTTAAGTACTTAAAGAAGTGCTTATAAGTTTTGCACCTAGCTAATAGTGAATGTTTAATTTTGCCTCTCCATGTGGTTTTTAACTTTTAACGCATTTCGTAGATTTTAGCCCAAAAGATGAGCAGATTTGGGTACTCCCCCAGATCAGCCATTAGCTCTTTCTGACTCACAAAGAGAAAGGTCAGAGATGATCTGTAGTAGCTACGGTACATGATTCTCACGAAGAAGCTTCATAAAATGACACCTGACTGTAGTTTTCACAGGAACTTTCTGGCTAACTGCAGGAATACAACTAATCCAGAGAGGAAAAAAGTTTGAAACACTGATTCATTGTATGTATTAATTTATTCAATGCATTATCATCATATGCATTAAAAGAGAATTTTTTATTGTATCCTACAGAGTATATTTAATATAAAAAAAAATATCAGTGACAGATTTCCTTTTAGACGAGAAGTAGCAGTGTACAGTTCAGCAGCGTTCCTCAAACACAATGTTACCATCTCCATGCAATTTAATGTGCCGGGAGCTAAACAAACCTATTACATTATTTTTCTTGATAGTCTCCAGAGCAGTAAAACGGTATCCAGTAAACAATGGTGTGTGTGCACTACGGGGATGATGGCCATAAACCTGAATAACTTACAGCTCACTGGTTCAACAGATGTTGTTTCCACTTCTTCCATATGCGTAGCAAGTATTCCTACCCAACATGATAAATGGTTTCTATTTAAAGAGTCTCTAAAAGCACCATAACAACTTTGAATCACTGAAAAGGTTATGGCACACAGAGCACCCAGCTCCGTTACTCACTGCCCGGAGTTTTTTTAGCTGCAGAGGTAAAAACTGCTGCAGGTAGATATCTGCACCCTGGAACAATGATACCAAGAAATTGACTTCCTTGTTTGCCATCCAAACTTTGTACAATGACTCTACACTACTTATATAGAAACTTCTCCCCCAACCCCAGTCCTGTTGCAATGATGTAATTTTAGAAATTTAAAAAGTATTATTTAAAGGAACACTATAGGGTCAGGAACACAAACATGTATTCCTGACCCTATAGTGTTAAAACCACCATCTAGCCCCCTACCTCCCTAAATACAGTAGAATATTAGTTGTATTCAAGTCTGCAGCTGCTGCCTCTGATCTGCCTGCTTGGCTGATATCATCAGAAGGGATTCTCTGACCCAATCACAATGCTTTCCATTAGGATTGGTGGAGACTGTCAAGAGGGCAGATCAGGGGCAGAGCCATCACAAGTCAAACACAGCCCTGGCCAATCAGCATCTCCTAATAGAGATACTTTGAATCAATGCATATCTATGAGGAATGTTCAGTGTCTCCATGCAGCGAGTGGAGACATTGAATGGCAGTGCTGCACACTGTGCAGCACTGCCCCAGGAAGGACCTATGTTAGCCATCTGAGGAGTGGCCAATGAAGCTATCCCTATGTCTTTTCAGAGAAAATGCAGTGTTTACTGCAAAAAGCATGAAGGGAATAATTCTACTCACCAGACCAAATAAAATAAGCTGTAGTTGTTCTGGTGACTATAGTGTCACTTTAATTTATTTTTTTGCCTAATTGAATGCACTATCTTTAGAACACATTGAATTCTTAGAAAAGAAAAACGAAATAATATGAAAAACCAAAAAGTGTATATATTAATGTGAGAAGAAAAAATAGAAAAATTAAATAAGACAACTTTTATTTTTAGTTAAATTTAAAAATTAGACTTATATAAAATGTAATATTCCGATTTAGATCCTCTCAGTATTTATAGGTACTAGTAACAGGGCAAATAAACCAATAGAAACAATGTATTATTGTTACTATATTTATAATGTCGATATAGAGCAGTTTAAAGGTGGAGAGGAAATAAATAGAGAGTAACCTGATACTACTGCTAAGGGGCGGAGCCAGCGCTGGCAGACCAGCGTGGCGCTGGAAATAAGGTGAGTTTTAAACTTTTATAGAGGGGCTAAGTGGGGGGCAGGCCACCTAAATGGTGGGTTAAACACTATAGGGTCAGGAATACATGTTTGTGTTCCTGACCCTATAGTGTTCCTTTAAGGGTTCCCCTCGAAGGCACATTAGCCTCAATTATCAAGAGTATCAGGTTACTCTCTATTTTTTCCTCTCCACCCTAAATTTTAAATCAGAATATTACATTTTATATAAGTCTAATTTTTAAATTTAACTGTAAATAAAAGTTAAGACTTCTTTGATTTTTCTATTTTTTCTTCTCACATTAATAGATACACTTTTTGGTTTATCATATTTCTTTCGTTTTTCTTTTCTATTTGAATTTCCCTATTTAGGGGTTACCCCCCATTTTTTCTTGAACCTTAAGTGCATCTATTTGTCTTTTATTAATGGCTCGATTTTTCTTTTTTAGATTTACATTGAATTATTACCATACTGTTGAAAGAGATGTGTACTAAATCTGTGCCATGTATTATGGTCCTAATATATAAGGTCTTGAGGTTGGTCAGAAAGTGTTAAGCATTGTAGGAATGTATCAGTGTGCACCCAACACAGTGCACAGACCACGAAGCACACTTAAAGGGACACAATAGGAACCCATGATCTAGTTTTGATATTTTAATATGTTAAAAAAATAAATAAAATAAAAGTTTATCTAAAACTAGTATGCCATGCTGCCTTTTGTCAGATGCCCTTTTGTGGTTTTTGTGGCCCTCTAGCAAAAACTTGATGTGTTTTTGACTCGTGTATTCAGCCCTGCCTCTTTCAAATTTTTCCTACTTTTTGTGACCCTTGACCAGGCTAGTTATATCGAATTCGAGCATTACTAGTATCCTTGGATTTGTAGTATTTACTATTCTCTGCATGTGAACTCCAGCCATTCTAAGGATCAGTAATATGCCATTTCTTTATCTTCCTTTTTTATTATATTTTGACCTTATTGTTACAAAGGATCACTACCTGTCCATGACACACCTGGCAGTATGTCACAGGCGTTTGCAACTGCAGACTGACAATGCACATTATTAAACAGGATAAAACCACCTTTGCTTGTAGTTTTTAGCAGTACACTGCTCTAAATATTTTGAGTAGGAAAGTTTTAATATCACTATTTGCAGCCTAATGGAGAACACTTCATGCACTCTCCTTTATGTCCTATGTACATTCATTAAAGGGACACTATAGTCACCAGAACAACTACAGCTTATTGTATTTGTTCTGGTGAGTAGAATCATTACCTTCAGGCTTTTTGCTTTTTCAGAGAAAATGCAGTGTTTACATTACAGCCTAGTGATAACTTCACTGGCCACTCCTTAGCAGTGGCGTCTCTAGGATTCATTTTTAGGGGGGCACATGGTGGGCCAGGGACAAAAGTAGGGGGGCACATTTAACCCCGCCCTCGCGACAGTTTGACCCCGCCCCTGTCCATACACACACAGACTGCTGAGCCCACACAGAGACTGCTGAGTCCATACACACACAGAGACTGCAGAGTCCATACACACACACAGAGACTGCAGAGTCCGTACACACACACGGACTGCTGAATCCATACACACACACACACTGCTGAGTCCATATACACAGACACACAAACACAGACTGCTGAGTCCATACACACAGACTGCTGAGTCCACACACACACACAGACTGCTGACTCCATACACACACACACACACACACACAGACTGATGAGTCCATACACACACAGACACACAAACACAGACTGCTGAGTCCACATACACACACACAGACTGCTGAGTCCATACACACACAGACACACAGAGACTGCCGAGTCCACACACACACACACACACACACACACACAGACTGATGAGTCCATACACACACAGACACACAAACACAGACTGCTGAGTCCACACACACACACACACACACACACAGATTGCTGAGTCCACACACACACACACACACACAGACTGCTGAGTCCATACACACACAGATTGCTGAGTCCATACACACACAGACACTCAGACGGCTGAGTCCATACACACACAGACTGCTGAATCCATACACACACACAGACTGCTGAATCCATACACACACACAGACTGCTGAATCCATACACACACAGACTGCTGAGTCCATACACACACACAGACTGCTGAATCCATACACACACACAGACTGCTGAATCCATACACACACACAGACTGCTGAATCCATACACACAAAGCTTCCTCACTAGCAGACAAACACACACACATATCAAGCCTACCTGTCCCTGGAGTCTGTTGCTGGAGGTCAGACAGCCATCTTCTGGGCTTTCCAGCAGCAGCAAGGTCTGCTGCTTAACAGCGGGGGCGGGGCATATGTGCAGGAGGCGGGGCTTCCTTTGGGGGCTGGGTCTGTGCCAGGGAAGCTGCTGAAAACACCCAGCACCATTCCAGCTGCTCTGTCCTGCATTCCCTCGGGCTGTCACACACTGTTACAGCCCGAGGGAATATAATTTAAACACATGGCCAGCAAGTTGCTGGCATTTGGGGGGGACAGCATGATGTAGGGGGGCCATGGTGTTCCTGACCCTATAGTGATCCTTTAACTCTGAGGATGCTCACCAAGAACAGACCCTGGAGCCGGGATTATACAATTCTAAACTGTATCAATTGAGTTTTCAAGAAACTCAATCTATGTGATTGGCCATTCTGGTCTCTTCCTTATTATTGTTATCCTTGAATATTACACTACAAGCTTTGTTTGCAGGTTTGTGTTTTCTTATTGCATCATCAGTCTCCTGCTTTGAGGACTGCCACTGACTTCATATCCACAAGCAAAAATCATATCATTGCACGCTGTCCAGTTTGAGGTCATCTGTAGCTTTATTACATGTGAGCAACCAATTTTGCTTTACATCCCTCATTTTGGTTTAGACATAAGCCTCTTTCCTTTTTTTTTTTTTATTGGTTTATTGTTTCATATAGAGGATCACCGCATATTAAGAGACATATTGGAAGACAAAGGAAGAAGCAGCTCTTCAACAAAGCCTGTGTACTTACTCATCTTATTTGTGATTTATTAAGATGGTATCTTTTTGTGTACTAATTTCCTATTTTAGGCAGTTTTTCTTTTATCCCTTATGTAAGGTGGCTTTTTATCCTGTATTTATTTTCTCGAGATATTATTATTGGTACAATTACCTTTTCTTTAATTTCTGACATTGCACACTGTTGCCAAGTCTATTGTCTAAAACTATTCCCACATTCTAATCAATTACTGTTATCCCTATCTCAAGGTATACCTTGCTAGGATATCCATTGAATGTGTTCTTCATCCTACAATGCTTGATTGTGTCATGTGCAAACCCTGATCATGACTTTTGATGACCACTGCAAAATCATTAATAAATAGAATAAAGAGAATTTATTTTGCCCATCATGAACATACTCCATTAATAAATATTCACTATAATCTCTTATCTCAGTAAATGTTCTAGCCCTGATCAAGAATTTTCAACAATTGCTTTCAACTTGTCCAGTAACCTTTTTTGTTGAACAATATGAAATGCCTTCCTTAATAAATCCAACTAGCTCACATCCACTGCAACATCTTCATCTAGTATTAAACTGTACTTCTTTGCCTGCTTTTTACAAAGCAGGCGCAGAATTTCAAGGCTAAATGTCATTTGCAACTGCAAACTCTCTCCTTTAGTGTACAAGAGAAAAAAGAAACAAAGGAGCCGTCTTTAACAACAAATACAGCAAGGCAGCAGCAAATCTCACGAGTCCCCGGACCCCTTGTGGAAATCATGTAAACACAAAAAAATATATATAAATGGTGATGAGCTGTGACAATTAAATATTAAACACCTCTATGAAATAACCAAAATACATACATATGGAATGTCCAAACGGGTTGCATAATATACACAAGAGGATAGGTCAGCATATGTGGAGTAAAACTTAGGGCAACATGTTAGAATAACTAAAATGAAGTGACGTGTTCCAAAAATCCACCCACTCTATAAAGAGCTTACTCCAAGCTTAAAGAAAAGTAGCGTAGTCAGTATAATCCCTGTCTTGGGATATATGCCAAAAGATGCTGATATGTTTCTCAAAATGTAGAAAAAAAACCAATATATTTGCAAACCAGAAGAGAAATAAAAAAATACCTCAAATGGTGCAGTATAAGAAACAATTGGACCATGTAACAATACAAGGAACTCTACTTATTAATTAAGAGCACATACTGGCTCTGAATGTTTAACAGCTCTGGTTTAATCCCCACCACAAACCAATACAGAGCAGGATACTACAATGGAGGCAATGCAACTTGTTTCCGATGAGGAAAGAGAATTCATTTGCCACAATAAAAATACATAATAGAGTCACCATAAAGCTTTTTTCAAAAGTGTGATCAGCTTACGGTCTTAGATCCTTAATAAGGCTTTCCAATAAGCGGCCTCAGGGGTATTTTCTCATGGTTGTCTCAGACACGGGATATCCTGTTTTCAGCATTTGATTTTGATTTGTGCTAGTCTCTGATTCTATTACTTCTGCAGTCATTGCCAGATGTGATATTGTGGGTTTCAATTGGAAGATGCTATTTATAAAAAAGGCAACAGTGGCTTCTACAGGAGCATCGTCCCGCCCGACCACAATTTAGATTAGATGTACAAACAAGGTGTGGAAAGGTGGCGCTATTAGAATATGGTGAAAAGATAAAGTTCAGCTGCTAAAAACACTCCGTGGGTACTCCTATACACCCACCACACATAAAAAATCACCAAGAGAAACAGATAAACTTAAAGGTTTGCAGGTATAACCATTAAACCCTCAGTTTTTCTCAAGTGTAGCGCTCCGTGTTGTTTTGAAGAATAGATTAGTGAATATATATATAGTGCTTCATATGCACTTACCCTCTATGTCACACTTGTATTACATATAGGGAAAAAGAAAGAAATACAAATAATCGTGCAGTATATCGAAATGGTTTTAGTAATTTTGTGAGTTTTTAAGTTTAAATCCACTCACATTTTTTAGAGCCTTTTACAGTTTTAAGGCTCTAAACTTCCTGGTGTCTGTGTCTTTTCCGGGTAGAACACACTACCCTTCTCTCACGATATGCACATATATGTTTTCCTCCACATTGGACAGAGAAAAGATAGATGATCCAATCTAGGTGTAGTATTTTAAGTATTGATAAAATCAATATAAATAAAATACAATATTGCTCACCTTGTTTAGAGCCCTTGGTACCTGGCTCTAAGTGTGTAGGTCTAGTGTCAAATAGTGGGGTGACACTACCCCTTCTTGAAATCACTTGAGTAGGATGCAGTGAGTTATATTTAAAATAAATGGTATATTTATTACTTAGAAAAGTTAAAATTAAAATGTATACAAACTTTATATAAAATAACAAACAGGTATATAGAAAGTTCCAAATGGAAAATAAATGCCAAAACGCGTTTCACCGTCAAACGGCTTCCTCAGTCAGCTTCTCATCTTCCTCTGCACCGTGTCAGTATTTATGTCCTCATAATTCCCGCCAGAAATCCGCTTTATTTTCGTCCGGTATGATTTCCATGACGCGGGCCGATGCCGTCGCGTCACTTCCGGTTGTTC